CCCCCCCCCCGGCGGGACGAAGGTGTTGATGAGTCCTATGACTCCCTGACCTGCAAGCTTCGCAAATGAGCTTGCCTATCACTCTAGCACAACAAGTGAAGCAGCTGTCTCGTCAACGCCAACAAGTCTTCATGCACTTCTAGCTTGTGAATCGAAGGCTCAACCCTGGAAGGTCTGCTCTTGCAGGGTTCGGTCTGAACGGCTGGCCGGCATTGGTAATCACAGACGCGTAGCGGTCCAGCCCGAGAAGCGGTTGATACTGTGCCCCACGAGCGCGCCACACTTGCTGATTTTGACCCTCTGAGCCGGAGACTGTCCAGTGCTTAGGCATGATGAAGTTGGCTTGAGACCCGTCACAACCCGTACTATATGTTACAGACGCACCAAATCTGCTGCCCAAGGAGGCATCGCGGGGTTTTTCCGGGACATCGGCGTGCGGAACATTTTCATTCCGGCAAAATGGCGTGTACAAGTGAGTACCCTAGGTCACTGCCCACTCGTAGGTACGGAACTTGCACCCCACCCCTTCCTTGTTCCTCGCACCGGGTTCCATCGAAGTATGCTCACCACATTTGCCCAACAATTACTCCGTACCGATATCTCTTGTTGGTGCCTCGTGGAAATGAGGCTGGGATGTGAATTTACACAGTCGCAAGGCTGATCGAATGACAAGGATGGTTCCTCGTTCGCCCGGGCAGCTCGATATGACACGGTACCTGTACAAATACAGAAACATCACCTAAACTATCTCCGGGGTTTCCTCGCCCGCAAGCGAAACTTTGCAAGAAGTCCAGATACCCACTTATTCTCCTGACTACTAAAATCCTGGTGTTCAGCGCCTTCCTCCTCGACGTTGTGTTTGCCGACAATATTCAAAAATACCTGATCCAATGTAGCTCGACTGACGCTGTAATACTCAATTTGAAGCTCAGCCTTACTTTTCTCCAGTGCGGTGAATAACAGTGCAATGCCGGATCCAGGAATGCTGATCGCGTCTTCATCTTGAGATCGCAAAGTGCCCGTGGGAACAGAAAACCGGATTTGACCAGCGTATATCTTGCTCTCAACGTCTGCGTCTGGGAAAGTCGCAAGGATCCAGTCGCGGATACGTTGCATGTCCTCTGCCGAAGCATGTGGGGCGTGCTTGTGGACCAGATGCACGTAATACGCATCTCCGTGCTTTCGGCGTAGGCTTTCTGTCGTGCCCAGCGCAAGCATTCTCCCTGCCATGATGCCAGCACGTGTTGCTAACGCATCAGCTTCCTCCATTGAGTGTGTAGTAAGCACGAGCGATCGCCCTGGTATTACCGATTCCAATGTTCGCCACATCACGCGCTTGCTCGCTGCGTCCATCCCGGATGAAGGCTCATCGAGCAGGAGTACACTGGGATTACCCATCAGAGCGATACCAAGTGACAGCTTCCGCTTGTTGCCTCCAGACAGCTTGGCAGCCATGCGATCCGCATATTGTTCTAGTCCCACGGCTCGCATCACTGCGTCGACATTATGCCGCGGATCATTGACACCCCGAACTTTGGCGTAAAAGTGGAGGTGCTCTGACACAGTCATAGTATCCATAGCATCGAATTGAGGACAAACGCCAAGCCGTGATCGAGCTTGAGCTCGATGGCGAATGACAGATACGCTATCAACGAGAATATCACCCCCCCGGCGTGAAGGCTGGATGTCGCCTCGGATGAGAGATATAGTAGTCGATTTGCCCGCTCCGTTTGGTCCGAGCAAGGCAAAGACCTCGCTTCTAGGAACTCCGAATGTGACGTTGTTGACTGCAAGATTCTTACCGAATCGCTTGGAGAGATTGAGGACGCGTAGTCCGTCTTGCGAGGAACTTACACGGGCGAGCTCGTTGGAGACTTCGGCTTCAACAGTGTCTTTCTCTTCGACCTCTTCTTCTAGTTGCTTACCACGCCATCTTCGCAACAGGGGACCCGAGTCCCACCAAAGCAGTAGGCCGAACAATGCAAACGACTGTAGGATCAAGTACAAGATTGGTCCGCCGAACACAGTCATTGAACCAGGGTCGGACGCATACTCCCGACCTCTGCACGTAACCGAAAATATGTTCAGTGTGACAAAAAGAGCTCTTGTCAAATTTGCCACTGGCGATATTGATGCAATCGCAAAATGGCAGATATTGACATAGCTGTCAATTTTCTCAACCGGAGAGTATGTCAGGACACTCATATATGCGATGAAGTAAAGCAGAAACATCACGGCTTGTCCTCCAGCGGCGAAAGCAAACGCTGCCAGTTGCGATCTTGAGAAGAGCGAGATCACATACGACAATAAGGTCGACGCTAGGCCATAAAGGAAGAAGACGACGAAGAGATACTCGATATGATACCAAGCATTGCTGACAGCCCGGAAAATGATGATGGAGATGGCGCTGGTGACAAGAACAATCACAAAGTCGAACGCTGTATAAGCAAGCCAAAGCGGTGCTGAACGGACGCCATTGCTGTAATGCAAACCCCTGACATTACGCAACCGCTCGACGGTGGGGTAGAGCGCGAAGAATGAAGGATAGACAGACATTGCCAGCCCGAAGTATGTTATCAACTGAAGCGCTTTCCCAACATCTTGCGGCCAGGGAGTATCGAAGGCTTGGTACTGGTTCGAGATGGATACATTGGTCAAGAGCGTGTCCAGTGCATTCTGGATGATGACAGAGAACGCAATGTCTCCATTTCCGCGCCAAGCAAAGGTGGGCGCCGATGAATCATCTCCAAGAAAGAAACCCCCAGGGGTAACGTTGGCAAAATTAGTGCCAATGTAATCATTGAATTCATCTAGGGTGTCCACGAAATGAAGAGAATCAAGCAGTTGAGTAAGGTTCTCGGCAACACTGGCGGCTCCAGAACTACCGGCCAGAGAAGCTGCAAAAGTTTGAATTGATTCCTGTCCAAGACGGTCTCTTGGTCCAGCTACCAATTGATAATCGATTTGTGTTGAGAGTGAGATGATGTCTGATATATCAACCGTTTGTTCAGGGCTGCAGCCTGCCTTTTCAAAATTCTTGAGGAATAGTGTCACGAGACCTGCTGCAATGATGGGAATGAGTAGGGCGGCCAGGTAAGGCAGGGTGTTGCGGCGAAGTACAACCAGCCTCTTTGAGAACAGAACCACAGCTTGTCGTGGCATGCTGATTCGTCGACCGTCGAGCAGTTTTGGGACATTGGCTAATGTGGAGTCTTGAACAACAAGCACGGGAAGATTCTTCTCGCCATCGTTCGCTGCTTCACCCCCGCTACTACGACTTCCAGTCTCTTGTAGCTGGTCATTTCCCGCGGCATCCGTCCTCTCCACAGAATATGGATTTCTGACTTCTTCGGCGACTTTGAGGAAGACATCTTCAATTGTTGGGCCATTAACCTGGTATTCAGAGAGGCCAGCGGCTTCGATGCGACCAAGAAAGTCTGCGGTTTTCCCGGAATTGGTAAGCTTGTATATAGTCTGATCGCGGCGCGAGACTTGATCGACGTCGTTATAATTCGGCAATTCAACACCGCCATGAGTCTTGTAGACATGTACACGATAGCCGGATCCCAGCTTGTGCTTCAGCTCCACGGAAGTTCCGGAGGCTTTCAGAGAACCTTTGGACAAAATTGCAATATGATCTGCAAGTAGCTCGGCCTCATCAAGAAAATGAGTAGTGAGTATGATGGATCGATTGCCACGTTCAGTGAGCAGTATGTCCCAGATCTTCCTTCTAGATAGAGGATCAAGCCCAGAAGAAACCTCATCGATGCAACATACTCGCGACCCGCCAGTAAACATCATCGCGAGTTGGAGCTTGCGCTTCTGGCCTCCGGACAGCGTCTTTGACATGGCCCGCATCTTTGACTTTATGTCACACTGGCCAAGAAGATGGTGGTTCTCTTCTTTTGTCGAAGGCGTCTTGCTCTTCAGTCGATTGAAAATACGTACGTGTTCTTCGACGGTGAGGTCATCCCAAAGAACATTCTTTTGAGGACACAGTCCTAGCCCGGTATTAGCTTCGGGGTAGTTGACGGTAATATCTCCAGAAGTGATGGAATGGAGCCCTGCAACCGCATCCAATGTCGTCGATTTACCACTGCCATTTGCACCCAGTAGGACCATGATCTGTCCTTTCGCAGCTTTCAAACTCAAAGTATCAACTGCGAGAACGGTCTTGGGGCTGCGTCGGCTAAGTATGGAACGGAGTCGTGCAAGTTGCGAGGGTCGGTATTCCTTGGTAAATCCTTCGAGCGAGACTGCCGTGATAGAGTCTGAGAAGGTAGTTTTGCGACTCTTGGATGCAGTACCATAAAGTGTGCGTTCCACATAAGCACCAATAATAGGGAATACAATGATTTGAATAATAGAGAAGATCCACAGAGCGATCCCAGGCAAAGATGAAGTGTTTTCCGGCGCTTTCTTGACAAGATTCGTCGCGAGATCCTGTCTTTCCCAACGTGCCATGAATATGGTGAAGTAGACATAGTTCATAGGTGGAAAGATTAAGGAAAGAAGAGCAACAGAGGCTGTTCCACCCTTGGACGCAACTTGAGCCACGATGGCCAACAGCAGACTGATGATAACTGAGGTAATGCCACTCAGTTGTGCCTTTTTGAAGAATGCCGCCCCAAATATCGATAAGGACGACATGGCGAGACCAGACAGGATGTGGAAAATGATGACAATTGCAGCGGAGGTATTAGAGAAGACGCTCACAGAAAGAATGATGGCCATGATAATCCAACCCGGCCCATATAGCAGGTCGAACGCAAGATGGTTCGAAAGAATTCTTGCCATTTGTGGTTGCCATCTCTTGGAATTTGGCATCATGCAGTCCAGTAGTTGTGCCATCCCAATCTCTCTTTCCGTCGCAATAATGCCAGTCAGCTGATATGTCACACCGACAATCCCAATGAAGAAAGCAACTGCCAGGATATCAATGATGCCACCCATGTATCTGGTGCGAATGCGGGCTTGCCGCTGTTCTTTCGTGAGTGAGGTATAAGGGTACTCCTGAACAGCTTCAGCCAAGATCGTAGCACCATTGCTACCATTCTCCACCTGGGATATAGCACGGTCTATGGCATGCTGCAAAGGAAGTAAGTAGATCTCAACATCATTTTTCGAAGAGTCGGTCACAATTTCTCGGGCAAGACCACCATCAGCTCGAATTGAGTAATTCCAAAGACCACCATCTCCTTCAGTTGGGGATGAAAAGAAAACGGCGCCAGCTATGCAGGTTGAAGTTCCTCGAATAGAATTCCGGCATGTCGTCAAAAGATCCTCCTCTTGTGACAGTCTCTCAATGCTCCCACCAAACGAGCCAGTTTCGGCAACCACTTGGTCGATGACGGAATTGATAGCGCCACCAGAGAAGCCACTGTCCACAAACACGAGTTTATCTCTTCCACCAGATACGAGCTCGAGGGCAGAGGCAACACTTCGAATTTGAGTGGCTTCCCCAATGCCATAGACCGACGGCGGGATAAAGAGGTAGCGAGCATACGACCTGACAGGTTAGGATTGACAACACAGCTTCACGATGGAAATACTTACAAAAATCCTACGAAGATAACGGGCAGGAGGAAAGCTCGAAGAGTGGTTGAGAACCAGTGTCGAAGAAAAGTAATGAGTATGTTCTTCAGTGTTAGAGTTATCACCTGGCGCACGAAGAGAGCCATTTTAAAGGGCGCAGATAGTAGAAGAGCTCAGTAATAGAGGTCCATAAGGATATATCTTCTGCTTTTCGTACGCGGATAATGAGTGGACTGTCGTTTGAGGAATGGCTCCCACTCCACTAAAGCAAGAGACGGGTGAGGACAGAGAGTTCAGCCACTGTACATAAGGTCATGGCATCAAAGACAGCATCAGACAACATCACCCACCTACGGCGCCATTGGCGACAAGAATCGGAAACATGGATGCCTGTTCTGGGGGAGCGACAGATGAAGGCGCAGTCTATGACACCAAGAAGCAGGTCGTGGACTCGTGGAGACGGGCAGGTTAGCGACGCCAATGGCGCCTGTCTCGTCATCTGGGCGCACCTCGGCACCAAGAAAACTGGCCCCGTTGAAGATTGGCGCCAACGGTGTCGCTTAAGATGTCTACAATACGAGTAGACCCAAGACGTATCCGTATTTTGCTCGTATTTTGCCCCTCGTAAAATCTTTGCCACGTGCAGGATCGGCTCTTCTGGAGGCGGGTCACAGACTCGCGCTCACAGCTCACCTTCATCTAGCTTTTGGTCTGAAAGACATCGTGATATCAAACACGGGACGGGATTCCGAGTACTTGGCCCTCCTCGTACCTGTATGAGTCTAATGGCCAGTGGCCGCACCGTGCTCCTGCCTGTCGAGCCAAGTCGCGACCGAAACTGAAACGCGTCACCCATAAATGGCAATCGAACCGTGGAACACGTGCACCACCTCGCCGCGTGTGGGCAACCTCATCAACCTGGTTGCTTCACCCTTTCTCAATACCATCGCTACTAGACCATGTCTCACTCCTGACTCGACTGTAGCAAGTTTGCTAATACCTGACACAAAGAACGATGGGAGCCATATCTTCCCTGCACCTCTTGGTTGAGCTTCACAATCTTCAACCGGGAGCAAGTCTCTCACAACACGACACCACCAGAGCGAATCATGTCAGTATTAAACCACATGGTATGTTCTCTACCCTTGAAGCTTAGCCTTTATCGATGACCGCAGTGCAAGTAGACGTGGATACTATCCTCTCAGCATGTTCTATCTAGCGATCTTGGACAGCACCCTTATTCAATCTTTCGGGGTTCGCGTACAACTCGCAAGACAGGTGTTCCAGGCCGAATCGAGGTGTTTGCCACCACTTTCGGACGAAGGCTAACCTCCATAATCCTCACCAGCTTCGTTAGATTCCTGATGGAGGTCCCTGGAAATCTATGCCAGGCCTAGCTCAAGCTCCACCCCATAATTTCTGAGACCTGATGTATTCTTCGGATCTCTAGGAATAGATATACTTTAAGGGCGGCCCACACAACAGATGTTCCTCTTGGAATGACCATTTCGGTCTAGTCGACTGACACGACAGTCTTCTTACCTCGAGTGCCTTCCTGCAGTGCTTTCTATCAATCCTGGTATTGCCTCCAAACCACCGGGAACGACTATCGGGGGATGAGGCTTCACCTTCGCTTGGGAGTAAATTCCTCCATGACAGGTGCCCACTTTTTGACGCATGTCTCCTGTAGCGGCTCTGCTGGAAAATTAAAGCCCCCCAAGCAGAGAGACAGGTTCTCCAAGCAAGAGGTATGCCAAAGGTGTTGTTGCACGCACACGTTCTTCTGGCCTGGGAATCCAGCCATGCCTCTGGTTTAGTGTCAACGACATGCGCATCTGTTTTAAATACCATGGTGAAGAATTGATGGACCTCTGGAAAACAAACTTGCTATCAGCTAGAAAAGGCTACATGGTAGAGCATGTCAGCGACGGCTGGAGTCATTGGCTGCGCGGGAAGGTATGCATGAACAGTTGTTCAAACGGAACAAGAAGATGAGTCCAGGTCTTATATAATCGAGTAGGAGTTACTGCTTGCAAACCCTGCATGGCTATATTCTCTCAGGCTCGAGAGACGTCGGTGGTTGAGACTAAGCATATGATACTGGGGACAGATGAGGTGGTACGAAAACTACGAGGATGAGTCGACCGAGGTCCGGCACCAGCGGTAAGCTACCGTCTGAGCAATTTCTCCAGACCTCATACTCACCTACCTACAGTACTGCCCATCAGCTAGGTACGGACAGACTTAGACTTTCGAGCATTCCTTCCATTCGGAGCTGTTGAGCGCTTTGCGTCACACGAAATGGCGGGTGAACATTAGAGCTTGTACAGACACCTGACGCGACAGTGTCGGACTTGATCCGGGCTGAAATCAACCTGTGGGACCAATGATATCGCGCTGCCTGAAAACGGAACGATAGAAGTCGATCATTCATTTCAACTCTACACAAACCCCATCATCATTTGGGACATGACTACTCAAACCCCTTCTCCCATGTCCCAGGTCTCGGGCGCATTGGGTTGTCGTCGAGTGCGTGGCATGAACGGGAGTGTACCTGCCGCCGCTCATGCGCAGTGGCAGCCTTGCCTTATTTAGACCAGCATGAAATAAAAATATGTACAACACAGACAATAGTTCCAGAAGGAACTCACAGGATTGCACCGTTCATTGGATATCGCGACCAGATGGTTCTCCCAAATAGGTGCAGGAGCTCTCGAACTGTGATTAGCAGTTAATTGCACACTCCCAACCAAATGTGAAGGATTCATCGATGCTACATTCCAGGGTCCTCGGAAAACTGGGCCTTATTCGATCGTAGAGCAGTCATCCACCACAGAAAGCGAACCAATCATGTCACCTATAGCTGCAACGCGGCTTTCTCGAACGCCCTGGCGGTTACCCTGGCCGATTGAGCCTTGCAGAAACCTCTGGCCTGGGCCCACGTTTATTTGCCGGGAAAGCGGATTCGCGGGCTTCTGGCAAGGGTCTGATGCAGACTGGCGTGCTTGGTCTTTCCAAGCTCGAACTGGATCACGTAGGCAGTGCCAGGGTTATCTTCTCAGTCAACGTGGGAATGGGCGATATGGAGCAATCTATCGACTAAAATGACGTCCAACTCAGCGCGTTTGATATTGCTTGTCTCCATGGCCGCGAGATAAAGTGGTAAAGCCACATGTCTGCTGGTACTATGTAAGTATTTAGTTTCGGGACGACGATGTTGCGCCCCGAGCTTATAGCGACCTGGACCCTTCTCTCGCTCCCGGCCACGAGGTTTAACAATCCGAGCGAGAAATATCACTAGGGTTGATTGGGGCGATTGCTTGCTACATGGACGATCCTTCAGGTACACCAATCCGATCGGGTTTCGCCGACAACCATAAGTATGCATCAAATCGAGCACGCTGCAGCGTTACATATTTGAATAAAAGTAATGAAGACCGATGATAACTCCAGAGAGCTGCCGAGTTTGCCGTCATGCTTAGAGAGAATGGAAGACACAGAGAGCACTATCGGCTGGTACTTCTTTTTCTTTCGATATTGCCGGGTAGCTACATAGCTTACCCTGGTAGCGTTGAAAATTTATGCCTATTCTCCAATTATACAACAGGACAACTGCACGCCTGAGTCAGGCCGCGATAAGTTTGACCGGCTCGCGATGTGCAGGAGCTTTAGTATGCATTGGAAGTGTCTGTTGGAATCGTAAATCAATGGAATATCTCCCGCAGTTCTTCTGGAAACGTGGGTGGTACGATTGGCTATTAACATGGCTTGATCAAGCCTTCTCCGCTCTTGGCATGGCTTGGCACATTCCTGCCGGGGCTTTTTTCTGCTTCTCCTGCCACAAACGAACATAGCTTCGTGCATGAGAGCATGGGTCCACAAATGACGAACCTTGTGTACCCACGAGGGAACCCTGGGTACACACCACCAACCTCATCCATCACGATAGGTCTCAATATGCTTCTCAGAGCTTTGCCAGTTTTCCCGACACGGTAAGACCTGCGAAAAAGCTACAAAAACTCAATGTTACCCCAATTGCTACTTGCTTCTTGTACAGGTCTATCCTCGAATTACTGTGATTCTGTCGTTGCCATCTTCAGCTATCATGAGGACGAACATTGCTCTGAAGGCTGCTTTGGCCGTGGGAGCGTTTTGTGCGCACTGCGTCGCTCAGACCTTTCGTCGTCTTGATTCCTGTCCCACTCTAGGCTGTATCCTGCCACCTGATCAAGCAGATTTCCTCCCTGGCCAATTCTTCGACATCCGGGTTGAGGTCCATGCGCCTCAGAATGGCAGTGAACGTGTTCCATATGCCAATCCAGATGCCAACTTCACTTTGACCATCGAGAAAGAAGGTGGCTCAGCCAGCCCTGCAGCGTCTTTTTTCAAAGTATCCGAACCGAAACTCGAGCAATGGAACTTTACATGGTATGAAGATCTATTTGCTGAAGCCGCCAAAACCCCTTCTCTTGTCAAAGTCGCCGCAAAAGCTTACCGGAAGGTGGCCATCTATGAACCTGGCCAATATATTGCAAAATTGGAATATCAAAACGGCTCCACTACCTATGCCAACTGGACCGTGCGGGATATTGCTCCTCAGCGAAGAGCCAAGAACGTTGTCATGTTTATTGGTGACGGAATGACCACAAACATGATTACCGGTATGTTTTGAACTTCTAATGTGCTGGATGGATACTCATGATCTTCACAGCCGCTCGTCTGCTAGGACATCAAACCATCAATGGCAAATACCAGTCTAGTATGGCCCTGGATAAATTCCCAGTTTTGGGGCATCAGATGACCCACTCTCTGGATACCTTCATCACCGACAGTGCCAACTCAGCAACAGCATTGTACACTGGCCACAAGTCGACAGTCAACGCTCTCGGCGTGTACGTCGATAGTTCCAAGAACGTGTTTGACGATCCAAAGGTCGAGACCATCGCCGAGATTTTCCACCGTATCCGCGGAGGTGGCGTTGGAATTGTCTCCACTGCATTCATTGCGGATGCTACTCCAGCGGCTCTGACTGCCCATACCCGCGACCGAGGACAATACGGCGCAGTTATCGATTCCTTCCTCAACGGAATTACCAACTTTACCTGGACCAACTGGACTGGCCCTGACGTTCTCTTTGGTGGTGGCGCAGAACAGTTCTATCCCAATAGCAAATCCTTCCAGGGTAAGGACTACTATGCAGAGTTTGCCAAGAAGAACTACAGTGTTGTCCTGAACAACACTGCTATGCAAGCATCCTCCAACTCCTCCAAGACTCTTGGAATCTTCTCCGTCAGCAACATGGCCAAGTGGCTCGATCGCAATGTCTACCCAAAGAATGTCGACAAGCCAAAGACCGCCCCCGACGGCTCCAATTCCAGCGCCACTGATCAGCCAGGCCTCAAGGAGATGACCCTCAAGGCCCTTGAGATTCTCCACACTCGCCACTCTCAGGAGGGATTCTTCTTGATGTCCGAGGCTGCCAGCATCGACAAGATGATGCACGTGTTGGACTACGACCGCGCTCTTGGCGAGCTTCTCGAGCTCGATGACACAGTCAAGGCGACCCTAAGCTATCTTGAGTCCATTGGCGAACTGAACGACACCCTTGTCCTTGTGACCGCTGATCACGGACACGGATTCGATGTCATGGGTAGTGTTGACACCAAGTTTCTCAACGCACAGGGCAATGACCGTGACAAGCGTGGTGCGATTGGCACCTACGAGAAGTCCGGACTAAGCCAGTACCTGGTTGCCAACCGCTCCGCTCCCGTGGGCAGCGACCAGAACCTTGTCTACGCCCCTGGCGTCCACTTCCCCGCCAACTGGGATCCCCGCTACACACTCTTCCAAGGCCTCGGTGCCAACCCTGACCACAGGGAGAATTACCAGGTCCACAAGTCCGGCCCCAGAATCCCGGCTTTGAACATCACCGGCTTTGACAGTGAGGATTTCTTTGTTAACTACGTAGATGCCGTCACTGGTTTCCTGATTAATGGAACCCTGCCCGTGGATGTAAGTAAAACCTCATTCATCACTGACACAACCAGTATACTAATCGTTTTCTCCTTTTAGGCCGATCAAGGTGTGCACTCGCTGACCGACGTACCGGTCTTCACCCGTGGTCCCTGCCAAGAGCAATTTGGCGGTGTCTATGGAAACATTGACATCTTCTATGGCCTGGCTGATTGTCTTGGTCTAAGCCAGACCAAAGCACCCTAGAACTGTAATGCAGGCTGTGGAGGGGGGACGAATGAATGAGAGTAATGAACGTGGACCACACGACACACACACACGGAGTGCTAAGTCTAATCATATTACCTTGGCTTTTGAATTAGGATACAGCCAAAATATCAAACCCTGATACCCCTTCCTCTTACAGCCCGATCCCTCAAGTCTGCTTGACTACTTTTTTCCTGTTTCAATTTCGGTCCTCAGCCGATGTGTACCTTTCAGCAACATACTAGCAACCAGAAGTCGTAGGGGTAAGCATCCGTTCCCGTCCGTCACCATAGAAGCTTAGCCTCAACTATTCACTTATTCCTCAATCCACCTTTGGGCCCGCGCCAGGAAACCACTCAACATGAACGTCTCCCTCGGACCCATAGTACAAGACATTCTTACCACTCAAAAACGCCAAATACCCCGTCACCCCAGAATCAGCGCACTCCTGGGCAAACGCCGCATACTTGGTTTCCCCAGCCTGCACCCGCCTTATCGCCTTGACGACGCCGTCCTTAGACCACGAAGTGCGCGGAGACATCGCGGGTGAAGGGATGTTGACTTGTTCGATTTCCACTTCTTGGCTTTCACCAGAAGTTTTCGCTTTATATGTGGTGGCCGTGCCCGCGGTGTAGTCGATGTGATAGCGAGTCACTCCTAGTGTGAGGAGAGCGGAAACGGTGTTCGGAAAGGCCAAACCACTGGCGGAATGGACTTGCGCGAAGATCTTTTGGATTGCTGTGGTGGATGCCATCTCGTATGGACGGGTGTGGGCTCGTAGATTATGTGTGTCTTTCTTTGATTGTGATGTTTTGTCTCGCCTGGATCGATCCTCTCTGGCTTTTGCTGGTTTACGTTCTGAGGTGTTGAGGTAGACCTGCTTTATCGCGAAGTGAAGCCACTTATATACCTTCCATAGATTGCTCTGTCATCTTCCCTGAGCGCGAACCTTTGAAACCTGGAAAAGGCCTCACGGTTGGACGTGGTCTCGCATCGATGTTTTATAGTTTGGTGGTGGCTTGACAAGGGGGAGTAAGCCAGTAAGTAGCCTCTGATTGGCTCTATGGTCGCCACAGCCAATGAGGAGGCGCAAGCCGCCTAGTCTTGCCTGTTTTGGTCAAGGGCGTTCGCAGTCTAGTATTTGGCTTGAGAGGGTGCTTAAGAGACCACGACTCCTGAGTCTTCATGCAAAGTATGCAACTCGAACTTCTCGGAACTTGCTGGAAAGTGTTGAAAGCGTTATTTCAAAAGCAGGGAGAATATTGTGGAACAATCCAAACTAGAACTCGTCGAGACACCCCGACCACGCTTCGCCCGGTCTCGGGAGCGTAGCACCTCGTGTCCAAGAATCTGTGAAATATTGCTGAAGGCGTCTGGATTGCTCTCCGGAGTGGTGATGGAAGGATCGCTCTTGGATGGAAAGGCTCTCATTCCAAACGGAGGTTGTGGAGACAGTCGGCATGTCGGGCCAAATGGATGCTGGAGGTAGTTACGTTAGGCATGAACTATGTATGTTGTGCCTGCGTTGTATTTCTAGATACTGTACGATACTAAGTAGTTATTGGTTGAAGACTGGGACGTGCACAATATCTTCTCTAGAAGAAAGAGCGCCGAAGGCTCTTGTTTTGAAACCTGGATATTTCAGGAGCCCGGATAAAATAGGTTTGATCCTTCACTACGATGTGTTTCGAGCGTTATGCTCAGCTGTAATATCGCCATGTAGGCGGCAAGCTCCACGGCTTTTAAATTCGCATGATGATTGGTAAATGTCGTTTCAAAGCCCTTCCGGTCCAGGTGCGGCTGAAAATTATCTGGCTTGGCTGCGTGGTGAACTCGAGGCTGCCAAAGACATTCGAACACTGCAAATTGCGCCTTGGCTCTCACTAGGAAGACTTTGCAATGCGCTTGTCTTGGCCCAGTAATTTGATATAGTACTTAAATAATCAGAGAAAGATGTATCAACAGACCACTGCTATCCAATGTAGTCACATGTCGTCAGTATTTAGTTATCAATACTGAGGCAGCGGATCACTTATGTTAGTGAGTACCAACCATGCGGAGTGGCTCATATGGCTCTCCTTCTCTAAAGAATTCTGATCGTACTGAAGGCTGAAACATAACTTCATGATAGAACTCTGCTCTGAACAGGGACAGTGACCGCTCGACTGTAGAGCTTTTTATACGCCACCTGACGCCGCCGCAATCCGCTTGTTCTCCTTCAGTGAGGTTTTCCAAGCCGGCTTACCACTTGTGTACATATCATCGATTTGCTCTAATGTAAGACGACCGGTCTCCGGCACGAAAAAGTAGCAGCCAAGCCAAACAAGGGCAGATATCCCTTGAAAAAGCAAAGTCAGTATGTCAAAATTGTCCGTGGAGTGTATGGCTATGGCTCTGCACTTACCAAAAAAGAAATATCCAATGTTTAGGCCCATGTTGCCGTACTTGGCGCCGATCATGTATGGAACACTAAATGAAAGCCCAAAAGCGAAGACCTCGTAGATGACAATTGTGAATGCTTGCCCGTTGGTTCTCAGACGAATAGAATGCTGCTCGGCAGATATGGTGGCGAGGCTTGCGCTGAGGGTTAACCCATAGACAAAGTTCCAGAGACAGAGAAAAATTATAAGAACAACCTGAGCCACGCGATTTTGTTGCCCGAGTCCCGTCCCAACTGCTGCGATGATTAACATGAAGGTTCCGAGAGTGCTGTAGCCTGCTAGGAGACCAAACCGTCGCCCAAGATACTCCATCAAGAATGGTGTGCCGAGGACTCCAACGCATACGCAGGAGGCCATGATGACTGTGACAAGATATGGATTGCCTATCCCAACACCAGCTAAGAAAATGACGGAATAGGTAGTGATGAATCGGACACCGGTCAAAGCTATTCCCAGTACCACGATAACAGCAGCAAACGTGCGTCTCAGGTTGACTCCACGCACCAGCTCGAGTGCGCTTGCCGTCTTCATTGCTGCTCTTTCCGCCTCTATATGGGAAGAGGTTTGTAGAATCTGATAGTTTATTATAGGGTCATCGACAGCTTTTCCGTAGTAAATGGCGAAAGACTTGCGTGCTTCGGCCTCTCGACCCTTGGTCAGGAGCCATCGGGGCGACTCAGGGAATGCGTACGTGAGCAAACCAAACATAATAGCTAGTGGAATATGGCAAATTATCGGAGTCTGCCATGCCAGATATGTGGTATATCTCGAAGTGGCCAAGCAAACGCAACCAGCCATTGCTTGTCCGACGGCGAGTCCCCAGCCGAACAAAGATAGAAATATACCACGAGTCTCGGCCAGCAGGACTTCTGCTCCCCATAATGGGCTGGCTGCAAGCAATACCCCAAGCCCAAGACCTTGGATGCATTTGCACACCATGTAATTGAGGTAGCTGCCCGCTGTTCCGAGCATACCTCCAGCACCAACAGCAATCAGGAAACAAGCTGCTTGAATGGCTCCGCGACGTCCGCCATATTTGCCAATAGGTCCTGCAAGGGCACCACCAACGCCGATGAAGATTATGGCGACGGAGACAAGTGACTGCTGCAGCGCAGTCAAGCTATACTCATCTACTATTGTGCCGTTGGCCTTTTTGACTGGACCATATGAGCCGAAAGCTTCCTTGAAAGGCATCATCTGGAGGACAATGCCACTGTAGCCTATACGGATTTAGCATTTAGCAGCGTTCTAAACACTCACCCATCCTCATGGACGCCTCACTCACCAAGATCGAAATTGTACATCCAGCCTGACATACCTACGTAAAACCCCAAACACATCATTCTCTTCGTGGATTTGGGGCGTTCCGGAAACGCCCCGTTGTCGGAGGTGTCGTCAAAATGCTCAGCGATAGCATGCTGCGTGGCCGCCTCCTTCTTTGCCAGATCGAGACCCGACATTGTGAGCGTTTATTAGGTTTCCTGGAATGCTATACTCGTACTGATATTTGCTATCGTTCTTGCAAGAACAAGTAGAAGACCACAGTGGATGGCTCCAGGATTGATCGCGTCCTTATGTAGCTCTGCGATGTTGGTTCGGAAGAAGCACTAATGAGGTGAGGTGCGAACCCAGTGCCGACCCCTTCAATCATCTCCTCGGAAGACAAGCGTGCTATGGGGTATTTAACAAACGTAAATGCACCATCGGAGAATCTATAAAGCTGAAAAAACCCCGGGTTACAGTTCTTTCCGCTTTGTTAACACAGCATGCTAGCGTCCATTCCCCAGATGTTCGGCCTCGAGAGTACCGAGTACTGAAAACGATTTAAAGCTTCGCGGTTCCGCGATCTCGACTTGCCCAAGTGGGTTTCAGGTAGATGTCGGCTCTGAGCCGAAATTTTGTGGGTCCCTGCATGTTCGAATCGGGCTCCCAGCCGAGGCTCTGAGCCTTTTTTTCTGCGAGCATCGTTTTGACATCCAGCTCCCTTCCTACATTTCATATGCTTTAGCAGTGGCCGCGGCTAGTCTCGTACGACCCGTTCATTTAGATTCGCTGAAAATGGCTGGGCGAGTTTTCTTTGTCACTGGAACGTCGAGCGGGTTTGGCAAGAACCTCGTTGAAGAGATAATTGCCAGAGGTGATAAAGTTGTTGCGGCTACACGGAACCCAAGCAGCTTGAGCTTCGCTGCCGCTGGACCAGAAAACTTTGTCTCGGTGGCTCTTGATGTCACCGATACAGAGTCGGTCAGCAAGGCATTTGACATTGCCCTGGCCACCTTTGGACGGGTAGATGTGGTTGTCAACAATGCAGGATTCGGCCTTTGTGGTTCATTTGAGGAGCTTGACGAGGCACAAATATCGCAGCAGATGAATGTCAATTTCTTTGGATGTATCAATGTCACAAGGAAAGCCATACAGGTCATGCGCGAGCAAACCCCCCGGGGCGGCCTTATACAGCAAATTTCAAGTATGGCCGGTCAGAAAGGTATGCCTACTTTCAGTATATACTGTGCCAGCAAATGGGCTCTTGGTGGCTTCACGGAAGCTGTTTCACAGGAGATGAAGCCGGAATGGGGAATCAAGTTCACTTGCATAGAGCCTGGAGGCTTCCGGTAAGAGCCCCTTCTGATGAAACCAGTCTCCCTAACTAACAGAAGTGCTCAGAACGAACTGGGCTGGGCCATCGATGGTTTTCCCCAAGCGCAGGCTTGATGAATATAATCACCTTAATGCCAAGGAGAGGATGAGCAAGAGACATGGTACACAGGGTGGAGACCCACTCAAGGCCGGTAAAGCGATCTATGAGCTTGCTGTTATGAAGGAGCCTCCTACGAGGATTGCCCTGGGTTCAGATGCGTATGATTTGGTGATGGCAAAGCTAGATGACTACCGTCAAATTTATACTGGGTTTGAGGAATTTTCAAGAAGCACAGATATCTGATAGCCAAGGAGCCCTCCGCACTCTTTGAGCCAATTGGAATCCAATCTGCTTTGGAGAGAAGAATAAATATAACAATTAGAAATCGATTCAGAGATTTCCCATGCTTGCTAGTGATAGCTTCTAAACTGTAGGCTGTAGCTATCCAGACAGCGGATAAGGAGGGGGGTCACAGGACGACATATCTGAGATCACGAACGGTGTCAACTGTTCGTTCACCGAACCTACACATATACTAGTCTCCATGGAAATGTGCAACGAAATCAATAACCAATCCAAATGGATATGGCCCTGCAGATGGCTTTTGTAACTCCCTAACTAGGTAAATGCGTAAATAGCCTTTGGCAGCTGACGACGTCACACTGGAGATGTAGAGTTGCCTCACAGAAAGCTAAAACTTTGAGCTAATTATGTCACAAACCATGTTACATCTGGGAAGTTCAGATTCTGATATTTCCCCTAGAATCATTCAAAAATTATCTGATGTTGTTCTCCTAGCACGCTTACCTTTCGAGCGTCAACATTGACTATTGGGAGTGTAGAGTGAATGGTCGGACGAGGTAGAAGGTCCAAAGGCTGCTTGACTCGCAAGAAGTGCCATCTCAAATGCGATGGGAAATTTTACTTTACCTTTCAATGATCGGTCTGATAGATGAACCTAGATGAAGTGAGACCAATTTGTTTGCGCTGTTGACAAATCGGTCATCCATGCGAAGGCTATCGTCAACAGGCCTTCATCAACGAGAACAGTCGATTCGGTTCACCGCTTGCCAAAAACCTCCCTCAAAGAAACTGTTCGGATCATGACCTGCTGTACGGGCCTCCAAGTCTAAATCCTGTGCTTGATGACATCTGTATCAGCCACCTCAGGAACACCCTTTTTGCCGCCGACCCGTTGGATAATATCCCATCGTGGCTTGGCTGCCGTGCGCTCGAGGGCAATCTCAATCTATCCCTTCGGTGCCTTCAGTCTCTAGGAGAGCACATTTTGGCCAGGTACAAGGTGCAAATCATGTCCTCATGGAAGGGTCACAGATGTACGTGGATGCCTTGCGTCTCCTCAACGAGAGACTGGCCGATCCAGCTCAAAGGAGGGACGAGGACAGCCTGATGTCGGCATGAATACTGGCAGCTTACGAGGTGAACCGATTTCAATGACTCATATGATGCAAATGCTGATACACTGAGCAGTTGCTCGTTCTTTCGACCTCGACTGGATGGGTCGAGCACGCTTTGGGACTTGGCACAGAGATTGAGATTCAAGATCCTGCGATGTTTGTACATGGTCTGGCCCACGATCTATTTGAGAACGCGCGCATTCTCATTATCCTAGATTCCCTATCAATTTCCAAAAGAACGTTTCTTTCCCAAATGGCATGGAAGAGAGTGCCATGGAGTACTGGTCTGGGGGCCAAGAGTCATATGCATTATTTACTGGACATCTTTGTAGACCTTCCGGGGTTGAAAGAACAGTTCGAACACGAGAGTGACTATTTCATCTTGGAAGAGAGGGCTTCAAGAGCCTACTCAACTCTTCTACATTGGCACCACGAATGGGATATGATATCCGAAGGTATCATCATTCCGGTTCCGTGCAATGAATTCGCTCCTCTACAATTTCCAAATTCCAAAGCCGCATTGAAATTTTTCTCGCTAATGGCTGCAAACTGCGTCTGCATCTATGGTGCTGCGCTAATCCTAATCGTGGAGTTGCTCAGCTTAGCTATTGTGAGGCAGCTGAATTGTGGACTTCGGCAGGTCGATGTATTTCGATGCAACCAGGCTGTGGCCCTTTCAAATACGGCAGTAATCGAGATCTGTCGAAGCGTTGCCTTTCAGATATCTGGCAAATGAGTGGGCAATTTCTCGTGCTGTTTCCCTGGCGAATGACACGGAAAGCGCTGGGCGGAACGTTAAGCGCCGGAGACAATGGATCGAGCAGATACTTGCTGCGTTCGAAAAGCGAGGGCAATTTTGGAAGGTCCAAAAACAGACCACTGCTAAATGATACGGTGTGCGAGTCTACCCACGGGAACAAAGGCAGGGATGAGCCGGTATTTTTGTGTATGGAGTCCATGGCATTGTATTGTACTTTTGGTCCACCAGTCAGCCTTGAGTCTTGATTACCAAAGTCTATTGACATAAGATTTATGTGCAGATTTGAATGATTAGTTAAGCGGAGAATCCCTGCGGATACTGTAACTTCCAGAATCAGTCTGATTCAGCGGTTAGGCGAGAAAGCTTCCAACGCTCGCGTCAATGTGTAGAACGGGTCGCTCTGGTTCGTGCTCAGGTAGACGTCTCCCGGATTGAAGTCGCCCCAGGCTGTCCAGCCTTCCCAGACATCACTGTTCTCATTTAGAAAGGTCAACAAACCTGCGAACAGCTCGACACATTCCACGCTTGGGAGGACCCCAAACTCGGTGAGAATGCCGCGTGCGCTACCATTTCGCAGGGCTTCTGTGACCTGCTGGAAAGTCGGACGGAAAGCGTACCACGGATTGCACAGGCCACATACTCCTCCATCATCGTCAAAGAGCTGATGGAAATCGTAAATTAAATTATTTTGCGGATCGTGCAGCTTCCCGGGCCCAATGTACGCCAACGAGAAGTCGACCCAATCTCGAAGTCATTCGAACCCCGTGCCGGGGACCAGAATGGAACTATTCGCACCAGTCGCACGAATGGCTGTTATGACTTTTTGCACGGTAGAAGCCGACATTGTCATGTTGAGATCGTGAGGCTCGTTCATGAGCTCGAAGATTAGCCGGGGATATGACGCGTATCGTTTTGCTAGCTTTGACCATAGATCGACAAGGTCGTCATCGCTCAAGTTGTGAAAGGGGCTTTGGGGAAGACGAGGCTGGTTGGTTGATCACAGCGCAGTACTAGCCTGCATAATTTTGAATGTCAAGGATGGCAGTATTGCCATCGTCAGTTATGGTTTTGATCATGCTGTCCAGATATGCCATGTTCTTTGTGTTCAGATGGCTGGACAGGCTCGCCTGGGCGTGCTACCAGGCAACAGAGAGACGGAAGAGGTTGAAGCCCATAACCCCGCCAGCTTTGGTAGTTAGCAAGACCATCGTAGAAAGGGTATACACAGTCCATCGGTACACATTCTGTGCTGGTGAAGTTGAATGCTGAGCTTAAGATGCTTACGTCGGCGGCAAGACCGTAAAGTTGAACTCTGCACTATGTGAACTTGCGTGGAGCTGTTAGATTGGCTCACCCTCCATATGTAACTTTGGCAGCACTAGCAGCACTGCCTACAATTGAAAGGGTTGTATCTAAATAGAGGGGATATTGACATCGACTCGAAGCGTAACGAGCTCCAGGAGCTTCGCACGCTTCCCTCAAGCAATATACTAGCTAGTCGCGTTCCTCTTGGCACTTCCTTTCCGTGTCCTTTGGCACGCCTTGTCCGCAATAGTAGGCGTATTCGCGATATTCCTCGTTTCCGCCTAGTTAACCTTAGGATTCTTAAGGTAGTTAGGTTCTATAGGAGTCTAATGGTGTCTAATCCTAGAACCTCTTATCAATCTTCCTACTTAGGTCTCTAACTACAGTCTGCTACGAGCGGCTACAATTGCATAAAGTGGCCACCACTAGTACTTCATGGTTAAATTACTGATCTCGCTACCACGACTCGAGGATTACTCGCCTAGTCTGCCTTTGGATCCTGGGCTTGACTCCGCATTTTTCCGACTCAAGGAAGATCGAAAATGGGGCGCTTTGGGAAGAATGAGGAAATCGTGTTGCATTCTGCGTTTGGAAAATTCACCAACTCGTTGACAAGGTCCCCGACCCGGGTTTAGCAGTCTTTGGTTTAGCAACCCGGGCGTGGTGGCTGGTGTTCGAAACGCAACGTGAAGAGGTTATTGGGGCCGAATACGGAGGTGAAATGCCTGTGCCGATGTCGCCATAGGCTAACGCCCAGCTACTAGGTTTCGGGGGTATAAAGTCAGCGATCAACTAGGTAGATAGTTTCAAGCAACAACAAAGGCGTCCTAAATGCTTGCCGTCCCCAGCAAGCCTCAAAAGTACACACGTGGTATGACCACCAAGTATTATGACTTTTCCAGTGGATTATATACGCGCGTACACAGGGTTCCATCTGTGGGACGGTGCGTACCTATATCAAACTTCCTGGGCTAAAATCTTCTGAGGGTGCAATTGTGGGATTCTAGTCAAGGTCGCCGAGTTGACCTCGCAAACGACGTACCTAACTATGCTCCAAAGCAACCTGCAGGATCAATCTGTCGCAGCGAAAGTCTTCTCTGATACGGGATGCTGATGATGCCACGAACATAAAGATTCATAGGTTCAGAGAATAGGAAACCTTTGTTCTTTACTCCTCTTCAAGATGGAGCCCTCATCCAACCTCATCGTCTGTAGGTTGAGTTGAGAGTCACCTCGACTGTGCTCCACCCGGTCAATCGCCCGATTCTTCCCCCCAATATCCCTGCTGCTATTTCCCTTCTCATGGCTAGCTCACTCATGAATCTCTTAGTGTCTCACTCCCGATATCCTAATTAGCAGGGAGTTAATTCATGTGGTTGACGTGACAGTACATAGTGGTGAATGTCGTACCGCCTTTGATGGCTCTATGTGAGCTGTTCACCTCCCAGAACGACAAACAATGGGGCCGGGCACCAAGCTACATCAGCCTCCTGTCGGCAACATTGGGCCCAATCGATACAAGGAAAACCTAGATTTGTTTGGTTTACTGTACAATTCGATTTGGACTCCCTTCGCGATAGGCGTTGGCACAACGCGGAAATGTAATTGCGAACACTGAGACTATTCTGCGACGTTCATGGAGGGTGCTGCTGCTCCTTGGAGCATAATGGAGCATGCTCGACACCATGTCAGGAGTTAGGTGGTTCTCCCATATTTCGTACTCGATTCTGCACCACCTGCATATGCAAGCGCTGATTTTCAGCCAGAGGGCGCTTATCGAGGAGTCTCGGCGCTAACCAATGCATGCCTGTATGGCACTAATTTGCCCTGCGTACTCCAACACCGTTGCGTGTGGCCCACCTCCATGTAGATAGAGGCCGATGCAACTGCCCCTTAAGCTCGCAGCGTAGATGAATTACGTAGATACAGGTTCGTTGCGTCTGTCGAGCCGAGCTGTCGAAAGGTTTGCCAGGCGGCCGACCCATCGTTGTGGAGACAGAAAGCGTTTGGTGTGCTGCACGTCTACGAAAATGGTGCCTGGAGTCCGGATAAGCATGCTTTCCCTCCTGGCGAGCTGGTGGGATTGATTTTGAACATGTAACACTACAAAAGTGTACATAGCTGTGCAGGAACTCGCCTTTCAGTCTACTTGTTCCAACTCTTCTGTAACGCACTATTATCGTTGGTAGATCTCGACATTTTCGATTTACTATTGATAAACTTCCAGCCAAAGGATTTCAGCAGTCATGGTGAGACGACTTGTAAGTACTCCAGTTTCCCAGAAACAGTGCTTGTTGAAGACGCTAACGAAAATCGTCCAGCTCGAACGAGATTCCTCCAGTGCTTCTTCATCTACGTTCGCTACGCCTCAAGCTCGATCTTCCCAGAGTGAAAGCGATCGAAGCATACCAAGGCAGTTTACGCCCTCTTCAACTGGTAGCTCTTCGGAACTCGGTGCCGTTCTCGGAAGCTTGAACTTCGATCCAGACATGCCAATTCCTTCAATTGAGAGAGAGCATAGTGAGATATCAACTCTTCCTACTCACAATAACTTGCCTCTGCGAGCTAGGACGCCTTCTTTTTCTATTACGCCGCCCAATACCGAAGGACCTGCAACGCCGGTCCCTTCATATCCCACTAGCTATGGTGCAAGTCCGACACCCGGCTCTACAGTGCCCAGCATAACCGAACGCATTGGAAATCTGGGACTGTCTGAAGAGCCGGCAGGGTGCCGAGAAAGCTTCAGCGGATCAAATTCTACTCCAAGAGGTATACTAGGCCATATCCAACTCTCCCCAACGATTTCCGTGGATGGGGAACATTCTACTCAGAGTCTCGTCGACAATTCCATCACTAGGACCCTGGCAAACGTCAGATTGGGTACGGAACGCGCGCAGCCTGATTCTCCCACTCCGGGCACCTATCTCTACCCACGGTCACCGAGTCCAAACCTGCCCAACAGCAGTCCAAGGTCTGCATCTCGACGACGGTCGAGCTCTCACGTTGACCAGACCCCTCACAATGTTGCGAATGAAGAGCCTCCACTGGAGCGGTTCCACGAGCCAGACTTTCAGCGAGAATTTAACAATGCAAAGAACCATGTCGCTGATTTAGTCAACGTTCTTGCAAGCTCAGTGCTGCACAGTGAAGTTGAATCGCGCATACGAACACTGTATTTGCAGGCTGTTGATCTAAGTCGTTTCCAAAATCCATCTACCCGTACTGTGGGGTTGGTAGGAGACTCAGGAGTAGGTATGTAGATATGAAAGTGGTTGCTGGGTTGAATTGTCTCTTACTGCTCTCAGGGAAAAGCAGCCTCCTGAATTCACTGTTGGATTTCAATGGCTTTGCCCGATCCGTAAGTAGATAATGCTCCCTCTTTTCCATGGTCGGTCTATTGCTAATCCAAGCATCGGTGAAAGAGTAATAGCGGAGCTGCGTGTACGTGCGTTGCAACAGAGTATCATTACCACCAGAATGATAATTTCACCATTGAGATGGAATACTTCACGTTGGACCAGCTTCGGGGTCAATTCACCGAGCTGCTCCAATCATACCGGCAGTACCACCTCCGCTCTCTCCATGATGATGGCATGCTTGAAGACGAACGTCGAGATCTTGAAGACAAAGCCAAGGTCGCTCAGGATACTTTCCACGCTGCCTTCCGGAACCACCTGGCCCAAAACGAACAGTTCCTCCTTGATAATTCAGAGGCGACTGTGCTCCAGACAATGTTAACATGGGCCAGAAACTCCGGCCTACCTCTTACGGAAAGTGATAGCGCGGACCTACAAAGAGAGATCTTCAGTGACGCAAGCAGTTGCTCCGACCGCTTGACAGAGCTGACCTCTGAGCCAAATTCTCTTGATGAGTTCTCGGTCTGGCCTTTCATCCAAAAGATAAAGTTCGTGATTGTAGCGAAGAACTTCCTGTTCACCCGTTGGATCCGGCTGACTATGGCAGAGTCTACCTAAATGCATATATTCTGAGCAAGGGCCTTATTCTCGTTGATCTCCCGGGTAGGTAGACTATCTCTGCGGGATATATTCTTTTTTTAACACTCTTAGGTCTCCGTGACCTCAACTCGGCTCGGCTGAAGATCACAGAAAGATACTTGCTCAATTGCGATGAGATTTTTGCCATCTGTTACATAGGTCGAGCTACCACTGATGCTGGTGTGATGGGAGTATTCGAGCTTGCCAGGAGGGCTTCCCTGTCGCGGATTGGAATCATTTGCACAAAGTCGGATGTAGGTGCTGAAGTATCAGGATGGTTTCCAGGTATCGTAATCTTTGGAAAAGCCGTTCTACTAACCAATCACGTAGGATATTCTGGCAGAAGAGGCGCAGCGAGATTGGGATGGAGATTCTAGAAGGATCATTAGGAACTTGATCAGAGACATTGAGAACATGCAGAGATCGTTGGACACTAACGAGGCCAGAATCAGAGATCTTGACGCTGATAATGATTCTGACGTTGAGATGGATAGCGAAGAGAGGGAAGAACTCTTAGAACTTCACACAGCCTCCAGGAAACTAAAGTGAGTTTACTGACATATTTGGTAACCCTCTGACGCTCATATCTCCCCTCTTCTAGAAAACGTATCGACACGCGCAGGTTCGAGTGAGTAGTCCTAAATCCAATTCTTATGGGACCACTGACTTTGAGTTATCCCAGATTGAAGAGTTATCTTATTACTACTCGCAATCAAAAAGTCACAGATGCGCTTCAGGCGACCTATCAGAACCGGATACCAGGAGGGAACTTGCCAGTCTTCTGCGTCAGTAACTTCGAATATTGGGAGCATCGGACTACACCGAAAATGGAGGCTTTGCCCTTCCTCCGTCTCTCTGGCATTTTGGAAGTCCGCAAATATTGTCTTTCCCTTGTCGCCGAGGGTCAGCTTTGTGCTGCGATCGAATACATGACTGTTGCCATCCCAGCACTGCTGGGATCTGTCGAGCTCTGGGTCCAGTCTGGTTCTGGAAGTCTGAGCGCCGAAAGAAAACAAGCCATTCGAAACACCCTAGAAGAGATTGAAGGTGTGTTAGACACGGTAAGTTTTTGGGGGAGACGTTTGAGGATTTTGGTTGGTCTAATTCGGAGTCCTCCACAAGCTGAAGCTGCCAGCATCTTCCATCAACGCTAATGCCCGGTCAATGGGGCAGCATTTCAATGCTCAGATATCTCTTACCTTGAGTTGGGAGTCCCGTCAAGAAGATGGTCATTAGGCTAATGGTTTGGCAGGACAATGTTCGTACCATTGTAGCCAAGCCGCACAAAATGCAACTATAGAATGGCAAGGGGTAAGTGCTTTAATGCGGAAGATGGACCTTAACGTGCTCAAACTAACGGGAGCGCTGAAAGTGGCATCATAGTAAGACAATTATTTTCTGCGGCTACTCTCTCTATATGGTCTTGTGCGGACTTTAATGTTCTCTAAGGTACTTACGCCGCCTTTTGTCGAAATTATGGAGATTATTACACTCCAAAGGTAGGAAGCCGCTGTTGGAATGATGAAGCTATGCAAGCTATGGTCACGCAGCTGGCTACACCTTGGCAGATTTTTCAACAAAGTATCCAGGAATTGCAGGACAGTCTAGTAACAACGATTGACCATGGCTTCGATCGCGCCACAGCTCTATGTATGGCATAAGTCCCGTTTGTTGTTATGTCAAGGATCGATCAAGTGCTGATGGATATTCCAGCTGATCCAACCGGTGTCCCATTGGGCTCACTGCGGACTTTGACTGTCACATTGAGGCATAGACAAGCTCTTCTCCTTTCCGTTGTGAAAAAGCTGGAAGAGGATTTTCAGAGCAATATGTCGTAAGAAAGACCCTCCTCCCTTGCCAGTTGCAGACCAAAAATTCAAAATGCTAACCCACAAAATAGTATACTTCGGACGGATGCCTTTACAGGAATTCGCAGCTCGTTCATGGGCCAGCTCATGGAACCGTCATACGACAAGTGTAGACTTGAGAGTGGTTAGTTCACACCCCAAAGCGCCGCCCTTATGTAAGTTGAGATGCTTATTGAAGAGCCTACATAGGCGGTGGGAGCGACATGAGGCGCAAGAGAATCATAAGAACTGGCTTCGGCGATGCACAGCTTTTCGAAAACCACCGGAGGAAATTTGCGAGCAAATTCTCTGAACTCACTCACGACCTAGAAGCCAAGGTCCAAGAAGCGGTAGCTACGCACCTTGCCGTCGTCCAAAATGACTTGGATACCTTGAAAAACGAAAATGTGGCCCTTGAGAGCGAGAGACACCCTGAATTCCGCAGGCAACTGGATGAAGCGGTGCATAGGATTAGACAGAAGATGGAGGATTCCTACTCGATTGTTTCTCCTTTTAGAACGCTCGCTGCATGAGCGGGCCACTGAAGAGTCAATACGTTACTGTGTGCAAGAAGATTACTCTTATGGCGTGGGCGGAAGGAGTTTATGGAGAGTATTATTTCTTGAGGGAATAGCTCCAGTAAGCACAGCTTCCATAGCACCCGCTTTCGTCTCCCCCTTCCCCAATAGAGCTGTTTCCCTCGTTTGTTCAAGACCGGCAATGGGGATCTAGGCCACGATAACAGTAACGAGTTTCAAACTCAAGGCTCCCAATATGGTAAACTAGTAGATGGTCCGCCCAAAACCATTACATTCTTTAAAAAGACCTACCGATAAGTAAGGTGTACGTTTCTAGTGAGAACAGGGACCTGAGAATGCGACTTGTGGATGGGTGATGAGGAGTGGAGCCGACAGACATCAGCCTGAGCAGAGGTTTGGACCACTCAGGGCTAACCCTGGGCGACGTTGAGCCGAGACTCAAGATAGCTCAGCTAACACGCTGCAACACTAACTGCTAAAATAATTGCTAGACCAGAGGTAGATTCAGGCTCAAATCAGTCACGGGTACAGCGTCCCACCTACCTACGGAGGCAGAATGACCTCACGAGTTTCCTGGATGCCAAATATGCCTTAGTCGAAGTTAGAAACTTGACAAGGGCCGAAACAAGCCGCGTCAAGAGAACAGGCGAGAGATCGGGGTTTGGGAGGGTAATCCGGGTCCAAAACGAGAGGCAAGCCCGCCTAACCCAAAGGCGAATTTCCCGCCAATGATTTTACAAAAGAACAAAGTCATGCAAGCCCAGGACGCGCGACCGGACCGATCCAAGCGGAATAGACCGTGCGATCTCTGCCGAGCCGCAAAGATATGCTGCCGCATCGAGAGCTCGTGGCCCAGTCGAAAAAAAGGACATGTCCAGTATGCAACAGGGCCGTGCCAACTAAGCACAATCTCTGGCAAAGTGTGCGCCCCTGGAGCCTGAGCTTTGATCTTTATGGCGATCTAGCCGAACAGTAGGATTTGAAGTGTCCCATTGGCAGTGCCCCACATACCACTCGAGATGCTGTATGTGTATGCAAAGGTTGGCGAAGTGAGCAGGGTGGCAGACCAGGTCCATGATGATACGATACCAGCGGCGGTTAGTCCTGGCTTGACAGATCAGGATGCTGTACTGAACTCCTCAGCGCTGGTTGTGGAGTAGCCTGTATGTCAGTTTTGGAGGCAAGTCAAACACACCCTGTACAATAGTGGAGTTTGGTCAGCCTACTTTCCTGCATTGTGAATTGGAATCATACATCAGAATGGCGAAGAAGGCCCTTATACCGACAAAGATGCCCTAACCAAATCCCTCGTCCAGGATACGAATGCCCTCTGTGACTGAAGGCATGATTGGTTGTGAAAATTGTGGCAGAGACCGGCTGCTCCACCGTGAAGGCGTTCTTGAAGAGGTGGTGTGGTGAACGTGATTGTTGGAATTGTTCGTTTCCTCAAGTCAAGAGCCTGTGGTATTGAGGGAAGAAACTGATGTCCAACTGGAGAGGTAGATCTTCTGCACTTCTATATGTCGCACGACCACGTTTAGATCATTGGTAATGAGCGTCTCGACCACCCTCGGCGGAGAAGAAGGCCATCACCAGTTTCCCCTGATGTGGCCGGCCGACAGCTGGAAGTCTGGATCAGGCATAGCACGGCTGAGCGATGCACCCAAGATGTGAATGAAAGATGTGGATCTGACCGGCTGATTCTGCTATGCTGATTGTTGTGCATTTGAAGGAATTCGTAGGAGTAGCATCCGTGTTATCGAATTGCTCACCTTTCATTGGCCAGATGGCTTGTCGATCAACTGGGCAGATGCATTGCCAAAGATGGCCAAGTCATTGCTTCAAACACTTCCCACACAGGCATAAGATAACGGAAAATTTGGAGAGAATATGCTCTAAGGCCAACATATTCGGATGCCAGCATCATGTCGCAGATTGGAGAGCTAAGTTGGAGGACAATCGCAGCGGTCAAGCGGAACTCGATCCACAGCCTCATCCCAGACCAGTGGCATCTGCCCTCACAAATTCCTCCTGCAGAATGGCAAAGAGATGTGAGTGGTGAATAACTTCATCAATTTCTGTCTTTGCGTGAGATCGAGATTACAGAGGCCAACGCTACGGATATAGCGCAGCAAACCGCAACAGGCAAGTGGCGGGCCACGCGAGTCGTGAAAGCCTTTTGCTATCGCGCCGCAATCGCCCGTCAGATGGTGAGTAAGATCTCCTCTGGTGTTGTCAACATCAGTTGTTCAATCAGGTATACTAATCACCCAGGTTTCAGGTCAACTGCCTTCACGAAGTGTGCTTCTCAAAAGCACTGGCTGTGGCGTAGGTTTTAGACGAATATTTCGACAAACATAACAGGCCCATTGGGCCACTCCACTAGTTTCCAATCAGCCTTAAAAGCTCAATTCCATATTCGTGGCATGGAAGCGACCATGGGATATGTTGGATGGATAGGGACATTCGAAGGCAAGAAAGGGACTGGTAAGGAGAAGAAGGTCTTCGAGAGCGAATTGGTACGCGAGCTGAGGAACATGGGAGCGATAATGTACTGTAAAACAAGCTTATCACATACGCTCAAGGCTGGAGAGACAATTAACAACATCATCGGATACGCGTCCTCCCCCAGGAATTGGATACTCTCTGCTGGTGGCAGTTCTGGGGGCGAAGGAGCGTTGTTGCCTCTCAGAGGTAGCTCCTTAGGTAGAGGGACTGATATGGGAGGCAGCAAGGCCTGGAAAATACGACTATCATGGTATGTCGCGTTCTACGTGAGGCTTTATGAGACTAACAAGCACTGTGCCAGGTTACGCCGTAGCGGCCAACATATTGGATTATTCGGCTTAGGTATTTCCAGTGACACTTGCTGACCAAGAGATTGACCTCTTCGAAAAGGAGTATACAACATTGAATGACCTCGACGAGCGGCTGTGGAAAAATTGTACTTTAACTCTTTCAACGATCATGATAGCTGAGAGGCGAATAAGGCTGCTGACGTCTTCTTGAGCAGACAATCCAGAAATATATCACGGCACTCCAGTTGGCGTGCAATTGATTGGTCGGAGATTGGAAGAAGAGAAAGTTATGGCCCTGACGAATGTCATTAGCCAGACGTTAGATCACGAGCGGGATCGGCGTTGTATGGCTGGGCGATGTGGTTGAGTACGAGGAAGCGTAATGTGAACAATGAGACAGATACGATATGTAAAGCTAAAGGGCCACTTCTATAAGATAATGTGGCCCGAGGGAAGGCATTATATCAAAGAATTCCAACTTGCGTGCTAAGATGGACCAGAGTTATCTCAGTCAAGTGTCCTTGTGCAAAATTTCAGGTGTCCAATACTATGCACCCTCAGAACTGATATTAATTTTGTACATTCTCAGAAAGGGACACCTAGAGCTCTAGTGACTGACTGAGAAAGGCTGGTATGAAGAACGAGCAGGCTGAGATATCACGGCGAAGCTGAGCCCAGGGTTCCACGGATGGCCTACGCCTGGGATGATGGCAAGACGGGCGTGGTTAGCCTCTGCTGTGTATGCAGCGGTAGGTACTCCGTATAGCGAAGGGAACTTAGAATCTCGCTAAGATCGACTCGATTTACAGTTCTTACACTGTTTTCTTTTCGGGCGAAGGTGGATTTAGCAGTGGGGCAGGCCTCCCGAATAATGACAAGACCCCAGGGAAGCCCCCGCAATTCAATGTGTTGCGTGGACGTTGCCTAGCCGCCCCGAGGTTCCGTAATCTGCCTGGATGTCTTGTGCTCCCGCTTCAATTATTCCCTTGCATTCATCTGAACTGCGTACGTGAGCGGCCATTCGTGTAAGCAGCCCCAACTTTGAATGATCACGCCTTCAGGTCAATTCACCCTGCTGCTATCATGACGAATCGAAGACAATTCACCAGTTGTGATGCGTGTAGAAAATCTCGGATTCGTTGCGACGCTGCCAACCATGATGGTTCTTGTACTAATTGTGCGCGCCGAAAGAGGACCTGCAGTTTCCAAGTAAGTGCAAAAGCCAATAAATATCTTGATCTTCAGATCTGAAATCTTTCAGTGGATCGAGAAGTTCACAGGTGGTCGGCACCGGCGCCCAAGCGGAAGAAGCAACACTGGAGACTTACAGACTATTGATGGAGAAGCGAGTGTTGGGTCATCCATGGTAGAAAATTTCCCAGACGTACGGAGCAGGTCTGCACGGCAACCACTGTCCACTGATCGCTCAGAATCCATCACTAATCGGAGACAACACGCGCTGACGCTCCACAATGTGCTATGGGATATTTTCACCAGTCTTTATGAACCGCAATTGGGCTTGTGGATAGGGACTGAATGCAATCCTTTCAAGAGGTTGAACACTGTATGTCGTTCGAAAGACCATTTACCACTAGTACTCACTAAACTGGGCAGGCTCCTAAGACATTGATCACACGATTGATGGTGCTGCTAGACAGCTCTTCAGTGCCATTTCCCGACAAGCCAACTGTCGAGACACTCGGGCTCCTGGACATGCACTTATCCCCTGAACACGCGGCAGAGCAGGAGTGTATCATTAATCAAGCGTTGATAAGCGCTGTGCACGCATTTTCCGCCCGCTGGCTGCCACTATGTTGTTTTGGAGAGGTAGAGCCAACGAAGTTGCAACATCTAAAGACGGTGAAAGAACATTTCGTTGAATGTATCTGGAAACGAGCTCAGAAAGATGTCACACAGGTCTTCACACGACCAAGTTATCGTTCGATTCTGGCCCTCTACCTGTTCGGCGTTACTCCAACCTCCTCAAAGAATCCATATCGACGAATTGCCGATCACTGTATGGAAACTTCTCTCCGACATTATGTCCAATTGAGAGCGAAGAAGAGAATCGCAGTCAATTCAGCCACTCCACCATCTGCAGGAAGTGTTCAAGCCTCTGGAAGCATAGATGAGCCAGCCACAAACCAAGCCGCTCTTGAGGAGTTTCAGCATCTAGAGGACACTGCGTATTGGTTTGGTGTTGTCATTGACGGATCCAGGGCCTTGACTCGATGCCAACCGTCCGTACTACTTCCCGGCATGACGGGAGAATCGAATGTTTGGAGCCTGATTAAAAAACAATCTAAGAATTTCAGCACTGTCAACCAGTCAATAATAAACTCGAAGGCCTTATTAACGGACGAGACAGTTACGACAATGGTCCAATGTGGCTTCTCATGTAAAACTCTCTTCTGGAAGGCCGTCTCTCGCCTCCAGGAACACCTCTTTCACCAGACAATTGAAGTTCCCTTTTCGGAAATAATGGAGAGCATAGAACAGGAGATGAATCGATTCGAGGAGACTTTTACCCCTTTCCTGGATAGATGTGGGAGAGACTACATTCTTCTTTCGGAGAAATCGCGAATCAGCTACTGTGAGTGAAGTCCTTTCTAAAGCGTTCGGAATTAACCAATAGGAAAGTAATTCTCAGCTTTCATTTTCACCTAGGAATCCTCATTCTAGTTGACACGCTTGACTGGAACCATGAAGCTTTCCGAACGGACACGATCCTTGATGTTGAAGCCTGTCGGCTCTCCTCGACTCGAGCGATAGTGACTTTGATCAACCTGATGCTATCGCAAAGTGACAATTTCCCTAGTGACGATCCGACAAGCATTATACTAAAAGACCCATACCCTGAGCATACTAGGAATGGCCTTTCCAGGGCCGCATATTCTGTTCTGAAGCTATATCAATCTCTATCGCTCCCTAAGCAAGTAGCAGAGATCATGGCATCGTCTCTTCTTGCTGGATTGGAAGTTCTGCGACAGATTTCATACTCGGCAACAGACTCATTGAACAGTCTTCATGCTGCATTCTCAAAGACGGATTTGCTTATCAGATACCGACAACCTGCACCTTCAACTTATCTGACAGCCGTACCTTCTCCTTATGGGGCAGCATTAACCCCCGAGCTTTTTGAAGAGGCAACATTCAAGCAACTCGACCTGGCAGGCGAGGACCCTTATTTGGTCAACAATACAATTGGGCGACATGAGACATATGAATTTCCCGACGACTTCGCTTGGTTTGACTTGGACAGCACAGAATTTGATTTTATGAATCAAGACTGGTCGTTCCAGGTGAGTCTAATCAGATTGCATCTGGTAAAGATGTGCCTGATCTTGGGATTTAGGATTGCTTTGCAAGTGTATAATTCGAACAGAACTCTCATATTCCATACTTTGTGCATCAAAACAGCGGAGGAGGGGTATTTGCATATCAAACGGGCCAAGCGGTTAGTTACATCATGTGCTCGGAACAACACTTAATAGTATGCGACGTTGGACGCTCTCCCCAAAAATCACGTCCGCTTTTGCCAGAGCCCTTGCGGAAAGCTGTTACTTCTGAAACCAGATAATCTCAGTGTAGCCTTTACGGTGTTCGAATCAACTGGGTAAGCTGGTGTAGAGCTAGACGAAGAGCCGAAACTACTCGTATCTATTGCATTGGACGCCGAAGAAAAGCCAATTCCATGGGAAAATGGCATGGCGGTTCTCATCCGAGCTTTGGAGCACCCGAGGTCTCGGTTCTAAGCCGTGACGCCACAAGAGTCTCGACCAGCGGTCGGCTCCCAGCCAGACTCCAACAATATCTTACTCGTATGACTTCATCCAAGCCATACCCGATGCATAGAGAGATCAAGCACATGATGTGGCACATTAGCATCATGCAATCACTACACTGAGCTAGCGGGAGGGCCTGGATCAAAGTTCATATTCAACCTTGGCCGGAGCACTGTCAATCCGCTCCACAACTTCCGCTCATGCACTTCGAAAGTCGGACGCGATGGAAGAAAAGCACGATCTTACACTCTATCCGAAGGAATATTTCCGCCGTCCGAGAAGCTACCTGAGATACCGCTTGCCAGGGCCCTTCATTCACGATGACTTCTTTCACCAACCTCAAACTTGTAAACTCTCTTACTGTGGCCGAATCATCGCATACTAGGTCGACTTCACTATAGCTGCGCAGTACTGTGTTCTTGTTGAAGTTTGAATGCACCTGAGTTTTATCCAGATCATGGCTACTGAAATCATCCATGCCCCAATGGAAACTATCGATAGCCTAGGGACGGGCATTGACAAAACAGAGCCGAAAGCGGGTGCAGATGAACTGCTACACTCTTCAATTCCACAAGAGGCGAAAAGAATTCTCGTGGAATGTTTGGTGGGAAATGAAAGCCTCGCAATGCCACAGGTGGTCGTTGAGGGTGCACCATACGTCACCTTCACTCCAGAAATTAACTCTTTCATGCCCACTCCTATGAAAATGACCGAGTCCGTCTCTGCTATATGGGCGTGCATTGGCTTGTTCGCTGCAGCAATTTTACAGAGACGATATGATATTCAGCCAAGCCTGGAAATTGCAGTGGATGTACAGGCGGCGACCCTGATGCTTTCGTCTTTGGTCTTATTTGAGATCGAAGGAAAGGGAATTGCAGATGAGGAAGTCAGTGCAAGAGCAGCACATCTTGACAAAGGCCGTATAGGTGAAACGTATCGTGCACTCGCGACGAACATGTAAAAGCTAAGGTTGATCTGAAGTCGCGAGTCTCTTGCTGACATTACGCAGATACAAAACCGCTGATGAACGATGGTTCCAATTACATGGCAGCCTGGACACGACGCCCATGCTTGAAATGCTCGGGCTGCCGCAGCATCAACCGGCGTTGAACGGACCATTGAACCGAGATGCGATAAAAGACATATATAAAACCACAATAGCGAGGTGGGACAGCCAAAGCCTCGAGACTGAAGTCAATGAACGGTGGCGCCAGCCTGGAGTGACCTGCCTCACAAAGGAGGAGTACGCAGCAACAACGCATGGGAAAGCGAACATCAACGAGCTATTGTACAAGGTACACCCAATTCATGAGCAACTGCAACCAACTCCCTGGCCACAGACCGCTACCGGCCAACAACCCCTGTCGGGCATCAAAGTGCTTGACCTCACTAAGGTGATAGCTGGCCCTACGATAACCAGAGTCTTGGCTCTACTAGGGGCTGACGTCCTACGCGCGTCCTCGCGCACAATAGCCGACGCAACATTTGCTCTGTTTGACGGTCAGCTGGGCAAGAGAGATACTGATCTGGACCTGAAAACCATTCAAGGTCGAGCAGCACTCCAGAAGCTTTTGGAAGATGCTGATGTGGTCGTCGACGGCTTCAGGCCAGGTGTCCTGGACCGACTAGGATTTGGGACCAAATGGGCTCACGAGCTGGCGAGGCGGAGGGGTCATGGCATCGTATACTGCCGAGAAAATTGCTATGGTTGGAGTGGAGAATGGAGGGATCGCGCCGGTTATCAGCAAATTAGTGATTGCGTGAGTAGCGAACATTACTATTCTCTGCTTCATGAAGAGTTTTCCTGATATTTTGAACAGGTATCAGGAGCATCCTGGGAACAGGGCAAATTTCTCGGCCTCGACGAGCCAGTCGTACCATTACTCCCAAATTCAGACTACCAGTAAGCCATGAGTCTCCGGTCTGGAATCATCAGTGCATCTGACTTTATTGTTTCAGGACAGGGTTACTCGGAGCAGTGGCGATCATGCAGGCTCTTCTCCAACGAGCGTCTGTTGGCGGATCATATAACGTCGAAGTCTCTTTGACTCAATTCAACAACTGGTATCTTCGGGACGTGGGACTACACTCTGAAGAAACACAGGCATATTTACGAGCATTACACCCCGGTTTCTTGCCGCGACACGACATGGACATATTTGAATTGATCACCAAGACCGTAGAGGCCACAAAGACTCTGCGTGAATGCGATGCGGGCCGCCTCTGGGATCGGGCGAAGTTCGCTACAGGGCCAATCAGGTGGGGAGGTCCTGAAGGCGAAATTGCTACTTACCTTGACTGGCGGAAGATTGTGACAGTCAAACGCGAGAATGATGAGAAGCCCTTGGTCTTGTTTGATTTTAAGAGTGGCTCTTGCCTTCCAGGTTCGGACGAACCCAGATGGCTGTAAGTGTGCATAGAATCACAGATCCTACTCCCCCATGGTATTTTGATCAATATCTTTGACCATTCTGAGTTTTGTACTTCTGGCTTGTTAAGCCCGATGACGGGTTTTATTAGTGGGTTAGATATATGGCGGGTGCACCTGAGCAAAAGGTTTGTTGACCAGTTGACTTGCTGCCATCGTCGGGTTGAACATTGGCAGTACATGTCGAGACACGAAGTGAGTAGCTCCAGCGCGCCAATTCGTTCTCAGCTTTCGATCAAGTTCAAAACAGATACGGTAACAACTATCATCAACATCTCTAACGTTTCCAGTCATGTCACATGTATACTCATATCTCTCTGACTGTGGGTGCCGCTCGTGACCACAGCATTTGCAGTTAGCGTTCTTGGTTGCGTCTCGCATCGCTTTCGAGATACTGCAACCCAAGACCTTCGGTTGCTGTAGTAGTCCCCAGATCACGGTGCACGGGTGGCTGCACTGTGCCCGTAGTAGGGTAATGTGCCTATAGTCTGTCTCAATGACTACCAGAGGTGACCATGCAATAGGAACCTCGGCCGGCCGAGGCGCGTCCGTCGTAGCTGAATCAGTTTGGCTGCTTGACTTGCACAGTTGGATTCGTCGGTTCTCTCCTGGAGGAACCTCAAGCTCCGTAGCAAAGCCATTAATTGTTCAAGGCCCATGAACAGCCTACTGGAAGTGGCAACTTGCAAGGTCCGTAAAGTGAGAGTCCCCACTGTGCTTAGGCACATCTTGTATTCGATGAAGCCGATAGAACCAATTTCGGCGAGGTGAAACTTTTCAAGCTCACTCAGTAAGGCGTTCAGATACAGCTGAATAGCCGATGGCCGTGTGCAGAGCTGCTCGCAGTTCCATGGTTCTGGCGCTTTGCACCTCAAAAACCTCACCAGTACTTGTAGAGTATTTCCTGGGAATTGGGCTCTGTCTCTTCTGATCATTCCACGGTTGTTTGTAATGGCGGGACTGTTCGAAAAGTGTGTACCGTGAAGTGAAGCTGAGCAAAGGACATGGATCCTGGTATCCCTAGAACCTTTGGCGTCCGTGGTGTTAGCAATGGCCAAAAGATTGCCCCAGAAAGGCTCATTTCTATATGCGCTACATGTGAGATGTCTGGCTACATACTTTTCGCAGTATAACCGATCGTTTGTCGTCACAATGCGAGATACCAAAACCCGCCATCCACTGAACTGAAATAGCCGAGACGGTGGCCGAGCGCGGATAATATATCCTTAGGGGCCATCGCTGCCTGGCCGCCCGCCCTTCAGATCATCGGAATTACGCCCGTAAGGCCTCCAATACAGGCAAACCTTGTTTCAGCTTCATCAACTACTGTTAAACATGACTGGGCATTCTGACAAAGCCCGCGTAAGGCTCTCTCACTCACTCTGGATTGCAATCTTTAGATTACCCATCTTCATTCAAGTTGTTGCAGTGATCGATAAATACCTATCGAAGCCTTAAAGTAAGGCAAAATATTCGCCAAGACATAGACTCCCAACATGGCCGGTGCGACCGAGAATCAGCATACCCAAGCGTCATCACGGTATAAACGAAAGTTGACAGAGGCTCGGAGAGAGCAGAACCGACGGGCTCAGAAATTATGGCGCGAGAGGCAAAAGAAGCAGCGGGATGAGGATCTTAAAGCGAAGGTCCTCGAGCAGTTGATGCAGGCGGATTCCATGAGCGAGGAAGTGGTGCTGGAGGATAACGACGGCGGTGCCAATGGAGGAGCAGGAGGAGGCTGGGCTGGAGAGATCACTCAGAGCACCGGGATCAATGCTCCCTTTCATGAACTACCGGCTCTCGATGGACCTGTCTCAGCGAGCAGGATCCCTGGTCCAGAATATACGGATCCAAGTCCTGAGACGCCGGTAAGGCTGGAGCTGGCTGATCCCTATATGCCGTTGCCAGTGGCGGTATATTATTTTGTGCCTCCCGACCCGGACTCAGAGGATATGCGGTACGCATGGCCCATCGACGAAGATATAACGCAGAAGATCTACGTTAAGCCGCCTCCGCATCGGAAAGCAGGAGGCAGTCTGGCGAACACGAGCTCGCTGTCATCATTATCTCACTCTGGCACGACGCCCGCTTACTCATACCCACCGCCCTATCCACTATACCCAGTCACAAGCATCGGCACGCACACACCTCAGTCCATATCGACGAACAGCGAGGGAACCCTACCGTCGCCCTACATCAACCATCTCCAACTAGTTGGTGAATCATGCTTCTCAGCAACATTATCCATCGCGACGTGCCTGGGCATCCCACGCACATCGTACATCAACGATCACCCATCACCATTCACGACGTCATCCAACAGCGCCATATCATCAATACCGATCGACCTCCGGCCGTCAGGCTTCCAGCTCATCCTCGCGCACCCATGCTACCTCGACTGCATCCCATTCCCGCACTTCCGCAACATGGCGGTGTACCTCTCGAGCCTAAAGAAACTCGACCACTGCAGCCTATTTCTGGACCTAATGCACGATGGTCTCGTGTGCTGGGGCCGAGCACGCGCGAACGGCGGACATGGCAGGAGCATGCGCGACGGCGTTGCGTGGAGTAGGCGGAGTTGGGAGGCGAAGCCGTGGTTTTGGCGCAAGTGGGGCTGGTTGGCGAGGACGACGATTGAGGATGTTGATAGTGGGGTGTTTTCGCAGGCGGCGGTAGATGATGAGGTTGACGATGAGGATGGCATGTTGAGCGGTAGCCAGTGGTGGTGGTCTCAGCAGACTGATGACGAGGCTGAGCTGCTGTTGGGAGTGTCAAGCAGGAGGAGTGCTGGATCAAGTAGTGCTGGCGTTGGTCGTAGCGTGGGAGATCAGGATCAAGAGGAATTCGGCAGCATGCTTAGTCGATTGGTGTCGTGCAATGTGGGGATACGCAATATGAAGGATGTTGTTCTGTGGGACTAGGACAGCATGAGGTGGGTTGCGGACATGTATTCTATCTGATTATATATTATTATTATTGGGGGGTAGCGGACCGAGAATGACGGAAATCCTGATTTCTGTTTGGATGAGCAAGATCCTCTTCGGAGTTTCATTCTTTCGATCGAGTGCCAACCAATTATGGGGGGCTCCGTGTCCCTTTTTCATAGCTGATCATCCGTTTGATATCTTATATTGAACCTAATGTACAAGATCATGCCCCTGCGACAGCAATGAAGGAAGTTCGCAATGCCCAACACACCTACCATTTCTTCATAGCGCGTTATGGACTTAGCCAATCACTCACACGAGCCCTACCGCCCCCATAAAATGAGGTACCGTTGCCCACTACTTATTTTGCCGCAAACAAACTACTTCCAGATTGGCGTTGCTGCACAGAGATGAGAGCTGGTTCGGATGTTGCTTTGCCGATCGCCGACAATGTGCCAGGGGTAGTGATCGCTACTCAAGGTATCAACCTCTATCTTCTTGGCTTCGATCAACTTGAGAATAGGCTCGCGGTCTAATTGGAACCCGAATAACAAGGCAGCGTCAGGAAAAGGCCAACGACAATTCCTTCGGCCTCTTGCATGTCAGCCAGTACGTCATCGATGTTCTCTTGCAGGTGCCAAGTTTGGTCCCTGCATCGTTCCGTGACCATGAGACGCTCAGATTGAAGACACGAACCATGAGGAAGGCCAGTTCCAAAAAGCTGTCCCTTAAGAGAGAGGTCTTTGGACTGTGGGTTGTTCAACGGCCTCGCGGGAGATGATACCCTTACTACCACCAGCCCAGTGGACATGTGAGCAAGAAAGCTTATGCATTTATATCGAAAATACCACGAAATTTGCAAGGATCGCTTGACACGACATTTGGCTTCAAGACCCAAGTTTCCAACCCGGCTGAGAGTGCTTCGCCACGGCGGACAAGCTCCAGTTTCTACACCCAAGCACCCGCACCCATGGAGATGAAACTTAATTAAGAACTCGCTTAGTGTTCAGCAGCAGAGAAGAGACAGCGCCGAGGATCACCTCATTTCGTCGAGAAATGGGTTCCTGGTTGTGGTCTTTGCGCAGACAATAGCCGGAAGAAGATCTCGTGAAGCCGACCACGACGTGGAAGGGCTACACATGGGATACATGGGAGCTGCCCAAAGAGGAACGGTGGCTGTTATTCAAGGATAATACCCTTATGTTGACCTTTGCGTCGGTAAGATACTCTTGACCCCCTTGTCGCCATGCTCTCGTTGCTACATGTACGTGTTCAGTCTGGCTCAAGCGGTTTTCCAACTAGATCGGCTACTTCCTCAAGCATCTGGATCAGTACAACATCAACAATGCCCTCCTCAGTGGTATGGAGGAGGATCTTGTCATGTTTGACAACCAGCTTGTGACTAGCACTGGGCTATGTCATCGAATCGAATCTGTTACTGACAAGGCTGCCGCCAAGGGTTGTCATCCCTGCTGTATGTTGATTCTCTGCCCTCGCATTGAGGAGGTTCTCGTTGCGGACGCCGAATCCCACAGCTCGAAGTTGGGTGGGACATTGCGACCATCGCTGCTTCCTCCGTACAATCCTCCAAGGCGCTTTATGCGTTGCGATTTCTGGTTGGCTTGTTCGAGTAAGCACACGCACAACTTGCCGTGTCAGATATAACTTAGTTACTCCTGTCAAACCTCAGATCCAATTTCTATCCTGGTATTCACTGTCTGCTCGGGGCCTGGTACACTCCACGAGAGCTCGGTAAGCGAGCCATGGTATTCTAGCTTGCGAGCTCTTCACGGTTTCCTGCAGGCTGCAGCATGGACCGGACTCAATGGTGTGCGCGGACGCGCTGGGCGACGTTACCTTTCATTCACGGAGGTGCCACTATCAACGTACGTACACAGGTAAATCCGCCATGAGGCGAATGGTTCCCTCGAAAGAATAACCACTAGAATCGAAACCCGGATTCAGTTGATTTCCAATGTCGTGCTTTGCCAAATGCCGCCGTACACCGATGTCCACGGCCGACAAGGTCGTGTACGGGCTGAGTCAAATCGGCTTTGGGGCGGGCCCGCTCATCCTCAGCTGGATCAACGAGATCTGCTCGAGCGACACCGAGAAGCGTGCGTTGCTCGTCGCGGCAGGCAACAACTTTGCCTATGTGGTGCAAGCCGTGGCTCCCAATTTCGACTACAAACTTCCCAGCCGCGAGGGAAGGGCATACCTGGTCGCTTGTTTTGCAGATTCATCTCAGTACGTATCCATCGCCGTTCCTGAGGCCAGCCGACAATCCCCACTAGCTAACCAATTCCTCGTCCGCGGTTCTGTGGACAGCGCTCGCTCAGATCCTGCTGTGGCGAGATAAGCGGACTGCTGCAAAGCGTAGGGTCAGTGATGTTTCTGTCTGAGTCTGAGGCATAGGATGGCTCGACGGGGCCTGTGGTGCCTGCTGATGGAGAGAAGGAGCAGGCCGGTTTAGATGCTGTTGTGGTGTGCCTGCGACTGGACTTATCAACCACTAAGGGAAGTAAAAAAGTGTGTGGCGCTGCGGCCTGGGCAGTCTAGTTTAATATCAATCATCCCTTTGACTGTTTGAAGTGCTGAGGGAGAAAAACACAATCGCACATTCGCACATTCGCAGCCTCGAGTACGTTCTGATTAGTGATTAACCCAGGGGGAGCTGCTGCTCACTAATTTGGTGAGAATGCTTTTAGATCTCAATTAAACTATGTACCAGGTCTACTTTCATAGATATTATGTCTCTGTCTCTGTCTCTGTCTGTCTATTATCTCTCTTTCGGGAACTGAAATCACCACACTATGGGTGGGAATTAAGTAAACAAACCAAATCGTTGGTAACTTTTTCTTCGCTTTGTCACCAGCACAGTGGACGGCTGGGTGGGATGTCAGAGCCCATGCTTCGAAGCCCAGTCCAGAACAACATCATATGCGCCAGTGGCGTTCTTATGCAAGTTTAAGCCATGGCCGGTCCTAGGCTGAATGTACGTCTCGACGCTGCTGCTGCCATTGAACGCCTCGACCGTGACGCTATCCGCACCATACAAACCCGTACAATTAGAGCCGCAGAAGATCAGATCGGCCTCGGCGGCGAGGAACAGCACAGGGCCCTTGAAGTTCGGCGCGGTGGCTGGAACGGCCGAGGCGGTAAGGAACTCGCCGATTGTGAATGGGTACTTGGTTGCCTCTGCACGGGCGAGGACTGCTGGGTCGAAGTACGGGTACTCGAAGAAGGAGTACTGATTCGCGGCGCTGTCGGGCCAGGTGACGAAGCCCGTGCTGTATTGTTTGGAGGGGAAGCGCTTGGGCGCGTTGGAGGACGCGAGGTGGAAGGCGCTGCCTGCGATGAAGAGAAGTTGGTATTGGTTGACGCCTGAGAACCCGGTGAGTACCACACCGTCGCTCAAGGTCGGTGCGACGCTCGCGAGGCCGAGGCTCAATGTACTGCCCCAGGAGTGGCCGACGTGGATGACTTTCTTGGGAACGGGGACTTGAGAGATGTTTCCCGCTCGGGCTAGGAGGGTCAAGGATGCGAGCGTGGCTAGCTCCACGGGAGCTTGGATGTGTTTGTAGGGATCCGCGATGGTGGAGGGTTCGATGCCCAGGCGGTTCCACGAGAGCGTGCTATAGCCTGCTCCTGTGATTCTGTTGATGTAGGAGTACTCTGCATCGTCTGTCGCGTTCGGGAGGTAGAAGTCCCAGTATGACCTGTTGAAGCCTAGGCCGTGGGTGAGAATCTGGAGAGTGGACGAATTTGGACCCAGGACCGCTGGCGTGCAGTATTCAGCCGAGATGTTGAATGTCGTGGTCAAGGAGGACAGGTTCACTTGGGGGGCCGATGGTGTCCGGATCGTGACCTGGTTGGAGAATGAGGTGGCAGCGTATTGATCTGGGAAAGGAGCAAAGGGTGGATCGACGAGGGTTACATTGTCGATGGGAACACGGACAATGAAGCTGGTACAGTTGTACTTGTTCTTGGGCACACCAGCCTCTGCGCCAGCAAGCAGGAACGACAACAGAGTTAACGAGAGGATATGCATCTTTGCTCAAGTGGGATTTGTATAGGCTTGAGATTGAAGCAAAAGCTGAATGATTAACAACAACGGTACTTGCTGATCTTTATATGGGCGTCGACTGTCGGTCATGTCGAGCACGGGTAGCAACACGGCGAAAGAGCTTTCAGTACCACGCCAAGGTAGTTCATGATAATCCATGTCGAAAGCATTCATCAACGCAGGGCAAGCGTGTAAGTCGCCCACTTAAGCGACTGTCGAATGACGTGGGTGAAGCTGCTTGCACCCTTCGCAGTAATAGGCCCCGGCCATAATGAGAAATATTGAGCTGGGTTAGGAAACCCAAAGCATCTAAGCTGTTTGCATTGGCAGCAGAAGCATCCTGGTTCTATTGGTTGATTGTAGCTTGGTCGCATTGGTAGTCCTCAGGCTGGCACCCGCTGGCACCGCTGGTGAGAACTCTCCTGCTTAGTCACTTGGTGAGGAGAGTAAGCAGCGCCACCAAGTGACAAATATCTGTACAGTACTCCGAAAGCCGATACTAAACCAGATCGAAAGAGCTTGCTGCCGCCGGAACCGTGGATTATTTGGAAGGAAATCAAAACATGAGCGACGATGAAGCTTCCTCGCTTCGATCACTGGGATCCCAGCCCCGAGCGCGCTGTGTCTCCGTAGGGCTTTCGGACTTGAAGGAAACGGCACACTTTGGATTAGTCGTGATTTTTCAAGGAAACCAGTTATCCACTGGCAGGCTGGGCCAAGCAACGAATAAGAATGGGTTGCAGGGTCTGGAGGGCTGTCCTTGGTCAGAATATCTCTGCGACGATATGAAAAATTGACAAACTCATATTGTAAGTGCGAAGGACCTGATACTCGATCGATCTTGTTCACCTGACAAATCACTTCCATGATTGAAATTGTTGGAAAGTTGCGGCCAAAGTCATCTCAACGCGGTGCAGTAAAGGTATCCAGCTGGAGGTAGGGCTTCCCTGATTTAGAATGAGAAAAAGGAGATTTATATTTCATGTCTATCGTGAACAATGAAAGATACAATCCCAGGCTCACTCCAATATACTGGCCAGTTTGGTTATTTGGGATGAAGCATGCAATTGTACGCCTAAGTGCCTGGTGTCAGCATTGCGGTCAAGTTTCTGTACTGGCCATGGCACTTTTCGGTATGGAGAATCCAAGAGAGAGATACTAACCATTTCAAACTATAAAATTGGTCAATTTTTCGTGTCCACTGAAAGACTGAAACACTCACATCTTCATCTGTTTCGCACACAATCGTCTGTGGTTTCTTACCGTCCGAACCAATATCCACAACGTCGCCTCCTTCGGCAGCCCTTTCGTTTTTCGCGTCATCCAGAGAGAACCCCAGACATGCCACTTTTTGGGTTACGACACTTCGAAGGTAGGCACTCTTTTCGCCAATGCCTCCTGCAAAGACCAAAGCATCTACCTTACCATCGAGCTTGACGTAGTAGTTGCCGATGTACCCAACTACTCGATCGACAAATATGTTAAAGGCAAGTTTGTGCGTATCAGGGGCGTTCGGATCAGCAATGTTTGCGAAGTCGCTCGTGCCCGTCAATGCCAGCCAGCCACTACGCCGATTCAAAATATCTTCGGCCGTGGAAATATGCAGATCTTTCGTGCTGCTGGGGCTCAAGGCACTGGCGTGGGAGGTGTAATGAAAGACCAGGCTGGGGTCGATATCGCCAGACCGACTGCCGCCCGGCAAACCAGAGACAGGGGTCAGGCCCATGGTTGTGTCTATGGACTGACCATTTTGGATCGCGCATGCTGATGCTCCGCTTCCAAGATGAAGCGCGATCAGATTTGTCTCGGATTGCGGCTTGCCTAGGTGTTCTGCCACCCGGCGAGTGATATATTGATAGCTAAGTCCGTGGAAACCATACTTGCGCAGTCCCTTCTCTCGAGCGATCTTCTGGTCGATAGCATAGGTCTTGACATAGTCTGGCATGGTATGATGAAATCCAGAGTCAAAGCATGCGACATTGACGACATTGGGAAGGTCATCGTGACACGCAGTCATTAGACTGACCGCAGAAGCATTGTGCCTGCGAGGATGATGGGGTCAGCGTGGGAAGTTTCGAGGTGGAGGGAGTCAAGTTAGATTACAAAGGGGCTAGATCAGAGAGCTTCTCGATCTTTTCAAAGGTGCTTTTATCGATCAATTGGTCGTCCTCGAAGTCGCCGCCTTGCACGGTTCTATGACATGCATAGTGGATGTCGTCTTTGCTCGAGACTTCGGGGACATCAGGGTCCGAGAGGAAGGCATCTAGGACGTATGCAAATGCTTCCTTGTGGGTATGGATGGAGCCTGCCTCGGCCGTCTTTTTCTGATCGCCCCGGACATATTTGAATTGGGCTGGTGGTTGATTGATTGCCGACTAATTCAATCAATGAATGAATGGGTAGATGGTTAGTTGTCGTCGTCTGGGGCCAAAAAATCCTCGGCTTTTCTTACGATTTGAGCGGAAGCCAGCCGCCGGAGCAGCTTCTCGTTTCCTTCGCCTTGGTGCACTTCTTTGAACACGGTTGTTTTCAACGAAGATGAGCCGGCATTTATTGAAAGAATGATGTTGGCCATGATGAAGCGATATTGGGAATTCTCCTCCGCTTCAATCTGGATGTTTGATGATGACTTCTGGCTTTATGAGGACTTGAGATGGCAGCAATGATATCAGACCACCAGAGACTAGATACGAGTCACCAGTCACCACTCGTAACCCAGCGGTAGCCAACTACCACTGAGCTTAGTTAAGCTTCAGCACAGGTACCGCGCTCCACAGGCACCACCAGTACATTAGGTACAGTAGCACGCATAGCCAATACCACCGAAACTGCCTGTCACGGACTCGCAGGGATGGATGTGCAAATGACAATCCCATCATGAGGGAAACGCCGCGAATAAGCTCGTCGATTACATCACCTCACATCTATGACATTTGTCTTGCCGGACTCTCCGCGACTCCGTGCTATGAAGCCACTTGAAGCTGCGCACTACAGCACCACATCCACTCCTGCTGACTGTGTATAAAACTTCCAGGTTGTTGTTGAGAATCTGTCCCTGGTTCGTCTCAGTGCCCGTTTACTCAGAATGCCAGAAATCTACTTAGTCCTCATCAAACTTCTCGAAGGAACTTGATTGCATGGTCACCAAGAAGGATGAAGAAGATATACAATGGATGTCGACTGTTCACCGTCAATAATAAATGATAAATAATTTGGCTGATGAATGCGTATCTGGGTAGGGGAATGCATCGGAAGGCATCGATTACTTCGGGACTCTAAACCCTATGCTTTCATACGAGCTAGCTATACTGATTCTTTATCGGGAGAAGAATATAGTAACTGGAATTGGCAGCGAATGGCGATGGGTAAATAGCCTAACATGCGAGAACCAGATCGACCAAGTGGACGAGGAGAGAAATTCTCGCCGTCAGCAACAACACGTGGATACTGTATGATCGGAATGTGACTGGGTGACTGAGGCGAGAATTTCAATCTGTATCATGCGTGGTGCACGCAGAGTGACCCTTGCAATTGGCTCCGAGCCGATTTGGCTGCATCAGATCCCATGAAACCCGCGGTTGAAGGCTGAGTGGATATCACACCACGACCATCAGTTCATCACGTCCGTATTGTTTCGTGGGCAGTGAGAATTTCCCGTGGTCGCATTTGCGTTGGTGTATGCGTTGTATGGGCGCAGGCTCAGGAATGCAGTGATGCAGTGATGCAGTGATGCAAGGAAACAAGTTTCCATTCCCGCCCGAGCACCTGTACCTGTGCTTACCTGCAGAGTCACCCAAGAGTGTACGCTCGGCACGGGATCAAACGCGAATTTGCTCGGCTTTTCTTTCAACATCCTCCACTCTTCGCCTCTTCCGGCGTCGAAGGGAAAAAGCATTCGAGATGTGCCCACGAATTGTTCTTCAGTCTCTTGTAACCTATCTGCACCGGACTTTTTGTATTTTTGGGACTAGATTGAAGATGGCCGTTTGCAAGCCTCAAAAGGCTTATCATTGGGGACTGGGGACTGGGGCTTTTGCGGGAGTCTTGTCGTGGCGATCAGGCGGTAGCTTGAATTAATTGGGGACAGTCTTGTGGGTTGCGGGATGCGATGCGCGAAGGAAGCGAGTGCGGTCATCCTCGAAGGCGTTCATCTCCAAGAGAACGGTCCTTTACCCAGCGGCCTTACCTCGTACCCCAGGCTTCTGTGAAAACAGTCACTGATGATCCGCTACGTGCTTGTACACCGACAAGATTCCGTTGTGTGACTTCCGACATGCCCGTGATATTTCGACGACACATAGTAATTGAATGCACTGCGGTCTGCATGCAATTCCGTTCCGAGAATGGATGGCATGGATGGGCCGCAGATCCAAAGGGAAACCACCGGCGTGGAAAATAAGGTCAAGGAAAGTGCGTGGGAAGTCGGGAAGGCAAGAGCACCGAGGTCACCAGGGCTCCTTCCAACTTTTCAATAATAAGAATTTGAGGGCGCCTGTCGTTTGTGTTGCACGGCAGGACCGCCAGCATAAGGCTCCTCGGACAGGTGCATGCCTGCTGTTTTAAGGACCAAATCGGAGGATAACATTTCCCCCCGGTTTGGCTCGTTATTGTTTTCCCAGGTTCATCAAACACCAAAGGCCGAGGAGGATGCGTCATGGTCACCAACAACAAAATTAGGTGAGGGAGCCAATAAGCACGTTCGGATTGGTATGTGCTCGAGCTTCTTAGGTTCTGAAGTGGATGGTGCATGTCATGCTGATGCAGGGCTGTTGGGCTCGGGTCAGGCACAAGGGTCGAAGGGTCCAGAGGCATCTCTCCACCCCCCTCCGACTTCGGCAGCGAATTTAGTGCCCGAGTGCTCGTGAGGAAAAAAGGGCTGCACCTTATTGATGCAGTCAGATGGGATGTTCGCATGAAAGTGCGAGCAGTCAAGCACCGGCATAATAGCCGTGGTGTGACTGGCTGAGGAGACTAACGTCGTCTGACGTTTGCCTCGACGCACATGTCAGTGGCTCGACTAGAGGAACAGAAGAGAGAAACGTTTTCTTGCAACGTGATCATGGTGCGGCGAGTAGTTTAGAGCCATCTGGTCATGCAGTAGATAGATGTACGGTACTCGGTCCGCCGTAGAGGATGCAAATCTAGCGAAGAGCGAAGAACGACAAGCCTGGGGACGCGTGGGGTGGACATTGGAGTCTGTTGGTCGCGTACACGTGCTCACCAAGGAGATGCTTCTTTGGAAAGAACGATTCGACCAGCACACCTACTAGTAGTACATGCTCACTAGGTACGAAGCGTCATCATGTGACTCAGAAGGGCATCAAGAATTGATCGTATGATTGACGGGAGATTGTGCACTGTATGTACATAGTTACTGACTGTCCCTCGCTGTTGGGCTGGAGGATGGCCTGGCCGGGGCATTACTCGCACTCGGAGAGTGGTAGTGTCTTGCAAGGCAGGTGGGGTTTGGTTCTTGTGAAAGAAGGCAGGAGCCATCGAATCAGGCAAACGGGAGACTCGCGCACTCGTACGGAGTACACTCGTACAGTAAGTACGGAGCAGTAGGACCGAGTTCCCTCGACTCCTGCCCTGGGCCCTTCCTCGTACACTCTCCCACCCGTCTTCTCTTCGCCTTGGTAAGCATCAGAAGAAGCAATCCATAAAAATTTTCTTTCGTCCACCATGCATTCGGGCAACCTCGGAAGAACCTATTCTTACGACTCGGGCTTCTGTCGTACCAGCCTTGCTAGGAATAATGTGACAGAAGTCTGACCACCCGTAGAGGACATACATACTCGTAGATACGATTCGCACGAGCAGATCTATCAAGAGCCTGATCATACATAGATACCTGCCCACTTCGGGTGCTAATCCCCATGGTAGCATTCCGCTGTCAAGGCCGAGGCATTGCTCTGCGCTCTTCTCACAGGCATGGCACGAGCTGTTCCGCGTGGTAAGCGAGTCGAGAACGCTGGCCACCTCCTACATTCTGCTGGCCTTGGAGGAGGGCCCTCCACTGGAATAACAGTGCCCTAGCAGTCGAGGAGATTTCCAAGCGTCTAGACGTGCAGGTGGAGTGCATTATGACACACAGTTTTCTATGCAGACTCCCGGAGATCCAGGGTTAATAATTATTGTTGGGCTGAAAAGGGTAACATCCAAGGGAAGCTCTGGGAGAAAGGACACACAAGGGCCGGTCGCGGAGAAATGACCATCACTGCTGAGATTCCAACTGGTAATGGTTGTAAAAAGAGAGGCTGCCATTGGACCAGGAGGTCCTTATCAGCACATGCACAATGATTTAGATTATGCTTTGGGATGGAGACGTGCATGATGGAGACATGGAGGCTTCGTATGCACCCCTGTCATCTCATGTATAACCGGAGACTGGCGACCATCAACCGACGCCATGGTGCACTATGGCCAACAAGGTCGACAGGGATGCGCTCTTGTCCCTCGATGCTGCTCGGGTCCCCTCCATTGCATGCCCCCACCCTGCGACGAAGAAGCCCCGAGGGGCTTAACTTACAGGGCTCCAACATAGGCACGGGCGTTGACACGGGCTCGCATTTTGGGTTTCTCCCCCTCCTCGCGCCCGGCTAATGGACACTTATAGGCTTACTTCGTGTTTCTCCAGTTAAAAGCCTGCCCTAAACACCAGCCTTATTCCACCACCGCGCCAGTAATCCGTATACCCATGCTCCCCACTATCAATCCCTGTCACCTATGACAACACGTCTCTTTTTTCATCCACCCTCTGAATACCGAGCAGCCCACCAGCCCACCAACCAACAAGACAGTAGTGCTACTCCTGCTGTATTGCCCAGTTCTCTCGTGAGAGCCTGAGCATTGAGGCAATCGACTAGCTTTTCGCCGCCTGCCGGTAAACCCAGCTGCCAGCTGCAACCTCGTTAGCTGGAGCCACCCAGAGCCCAGATTTTCACCATCTCAGAGCTCCGGATTGGGAGTCAATCTTCACCACCAGTGGCCCATTCACAGCACGCTAGCGATCGATCTTTGAAGCACCAGGCAAGACCGAGAGAGACTGGCGACTGGCACACTTCCTTCGACAACCCCACATCCCAGAACCCAATTTCTTTCTTCCTCTTGTCCACCCTCTCGTCCATCTTTTTTTTGCATCCTCACCCAGCACTCTGTCCTCTCGTCTGATCGCTCTACCATCACCACAGACGATCCTCACAAGCTCAAACTTGACAGAGAGACAGCCTCCTTGCTGCCCCAGACAGATCTTGGTATTACCCCAGAGGACCACCCTCCTGCTCTACCACAGTCGTCCATCGCCAGAGACCACTGTCACCACCTTCCTTCTACCCGCTTGTCTGCTTCAACATCGTCGCTCGTCGACTCTAGGATGGGCTTGGAAGCGGAAAAACATCAAAGTCAAGAGATTGAGACATCTGAGGTGCAAGAAGAGTACACGCCCTACAAGCCCCAGAAGGGCTATGGCTGGGGTGAGGCTTTGCCAGAGAAGCAAGGTCTGTATGACCCTAGTCTTGAGAAGGATGCCTGTGGTGTAGGCTTTGCAGCGTAAGGAACCCCGCCCTCACCTTGTCGAGAGAATCCTTTTCGCTAACCATCTTCCAGCCATATCAAGGGCAAGCCAAGCCACAAAATCATAAGCGATGGTGAGAATCACCCCGCTACTTTGGCCTGAGTTGCCATGGCTAACAGCTTTCAGCCCGTAATCTCCTCTGTAACATGACCCATCGTGGTGCGGTCGGTTCAGACGCTCGAGATGGCGACGGTGCCGGTGTCATGACCTCCATCCCGCACAAATTCTTCGTCAAGAACTTTGCCCGCGAGGTCGGCGTAGAATTGCCACCCCTCGGACAGTATGCCGCTGGTAACTTGTTCTTCAAGCCAGACACTGAGATGCTTAAACATGCTACGGTCAGCTTCGAGGAAACTGCAGAGTCGCTGGGTCTCCGCACCCTAGGCTGGCGTGAGGTTCCCAGAGATTCTACTCTTTTGGGTCCAGCTGCGCTCTCCCGCGAACCCATCATCCTCCAACCCTTCGTTGTCCTGGCCTCTGCCTACGGCACAGGTAACAAACCCGCGACCGTCGATCCAGAACAGTTTGACGATGTTGAATTCGAACGAAAGCTCTACATCCTCAGAAAAACTGTTTCTCATGATTCTCGATGGAAGCCCTGGTTCTACGTCTGCTCCTTGAGCAATAGAAACATTGTCTACAAGGGTCAACTCGCTCCAGTTCAAGTCTACCAGTACTATCATGACTTGGTTTCCGTGGACTATGAAGGTCACTTCGCCTTGGTCCACTCGCGCTTCTCAACTAACACATTTCCTTCCTGGGATCGATCACAGCCTCTACGGTGGCTCGCTCATAACGGTGAGATCAACACTCTAAGAGGAAACAAGAACTGGATGAGAGCCCGTGAAGGTGTCTTGAACTCTGATTTGTTTGGAGACGAGCTGGAGAAACTTTTCCCCATTGTTGAAGATGGAGGTTCCGACTCTGCAGCCTTCGACAACGTCTTAGAGCTGTTGGTCATGAATCGTGTCCTATCCCTTCCAGAAGCTGTCATGATGATGGTTCCCGAGGCGTGGCAAGGTAATCATGCCATGGATCCTGCAAAAGCTGCCTTTTACGAGTACTCTGCCTGTTTGATGGAGCCCTGGGACGGCCCTGCGCTGTTCACATTCTCTGATGGTAGATACTGTGGCGCCAATCTTGATCGAAATGGCTTGAGACCATGTCGTTATTACGTGACTGACGATGATCGAATTGTCTGTGCTTCAGAAGTCGGCACCATCGCAATTGAACCAGAACGTGTCATTCTGAAGGGCCGTCTTCAGCCTGGAAAAATGCTGTTGGTCGACACGGAAGCTGGCCGTATCATTGACGACGCAGAGCTCAAAGAGACCGTCGCAAAGCGACAACCTTTCCAACAATGGTTAGACAAATATCTGATGAAGATGCCTGTGGTCAGCGAGGCTCTCAGCAACGAGATCGATCTAGACTTTAAGCTGAACGACGACACCATCCAGGAAGATGTCAGACTCCGTGCTTTTGGATATTCCTTCGAACAGGTTAGTCTACTGCTCGGGCCTATGGCCGCTGATTCGAAAGAGGCTCTGGGCTCAATGGGGAACGACGCGCCACTTGCATGTCTTGCACAGCAACCTCGTCTGTTGTTCGAGTACTTTAGACAACTTTTCGCCCAAGTCACCAACCCACCCATTGATCCCATTCGAGAAGCTATTGTCATGTCTCTAGAGTGCTATATTGGCCCCCAAGGCAACTTACTAGAAATGGAGGAGTCCCAATGTGGTAGACTATTACTCCCATCACCAATCCTTGAGATCGAGACCTTCAATGCTCTCAGGAATATGTCTCGATATCAAAAGGACTGGACGGTCAAGACCATTGACATCACTTTCGATAAGTGGTCGGGTGTCGAAGGCTACAAACAGGCTCTAGACAGCATCTGTGATGCCGCAACGGAGGCCATCGAAGCAGGTGACAAGATAATCATTCTATCCGATCGTGCAACATCCGCCGACAGAGTTCCAATCTCTTCACTCCTGGCAACTGGCATGGTTCATCATCATTTGGTTCGCAACAAATGGAGATCTCGAGCAGCGATTGTCGTGGAGACCGCAGAAGCTAGAGAAGTCCACCATATGTGTGTGCTTGTCGGTTATGGTGCTGATGCCATCAATCCATATTTGGCTATGGAATGTATCCTGAAGATGAACCGTGAGGGACTTTTCAGGAAGAAATTGTCGGACAAGCAAATCATCGCAAACTACAAGGCGTCGTGTGATGGCGGTATTCTGAAAGTCATGAGCAAGATGGGTATCTCTACTCTCCAATCTTACAAAGGTGCTCAGATTTTCGAGGCTCTTGGTATTGATGATTCTGTGGTCGATCGCTGCTTTGCAGGTACTGCCACTCGTGTTCGAGGTATGACATTCGAGCTCATTGCCGAGGATGCTTTTGCTTTCCATGAGAAAGGATACCCTTCACGCCATATTCGCGAGATCCCTGGATTACCGGAATCAGGAGAATATCATTGGCGTGACGGTGGGGAGCCTCACATCAATGATCCCGTCAGCATTGCCAACATTCAAGACGCTGTCAGAACGAAGAACGATAAATCCTATGAAGCGTATTCTCTTTCCGAATACGAGCAGATTAAGAACTGCACGCTACGAGGCATGCTCGACTTTGATTTCGATCAGCGAAATCCTGTACCTATTGATCAGGTCGAACCTTGGACTGAAATTGTGCGACGATTTGTCACAGGAGCCATGTCTTATGGTTCAATCTCGATGGAATCCCACTCCACACTCGCGGTCGCCATGAATCGTCTCGGTGGGAAATCAAACACAGGCGAAGGTGGTGAAGACCCAGAGCGAAGCTTGAAGATGGAAAACGGAGACTCCATGCGTTCAGCCATCAAGCAGATTGCTTCCGGCCGATTCGGTGTTACCTCCAACTATCTTGCCGATTCAGATGAGCTACAAATCAAGATGGCCCAAGGTGCCAAGCCTGGTGAGGGTGGTGAACTCCCTGGACATAAAGTATCGGAATCCATTGCACGCACCAGACACTCGACACCTGGTGTCGGTCTTATCTCTCCTCCTCCACATCACGATATCTACTCCATTGAGGACCTAAAACAACTCATTTATGATTTGAAGTGCTCGAACCCTCGGGCTCGAGTGTCTGTCAAGCTCGTTTCTGAGGTTGGTGTGGGTATTGTCGCTGCTGGTGTTGCAAAAGCCAAGGCTGATCACATCTTGATCTCTGGCCACGATGGTGGTACTGGTGCCTCTCGCTGGACCGGTATCAAATACGCTGGTCTTCCATGGGAACTGGGTCTTGCTGAAACTCATCAGACCCTTGTTTTGAACGATCTTCGGGGACGTGTAATTGTCCAGACTGATGGTCAGCTCCGCACTGGTCGTGACGTTGCGATTGCATGCTTGCTTGGTGCTGAAGAATGGGGCTTTGCAACAACACCTCTGATTGCAATGGGCTGTATCATGATGAGAAAGGTAAGCAGATGACTGATAACTAAACCTCTCAAATAACGTTTACTGACCAAATAACAGTGCCACTTGAACACTTGTCCTGTAGGTATTGCGACGCAAGACCCGTTGCTGAGGAAGAAGTTCCAAGGAACTCCCGAACACGTGATCAATTTCTTCTACTACATTGCCAACGAGCTCCGAGCCATCATGGCGCACCTCGGTTTGAGAACTGTGAATGAAATGGTTGGTCATGCCGAGTTGTTGAAGGTACGGGAGGAGATCCGTACCCCCAAGACCGAGAACATTGATCTTTCTTTGATTCTCACACCGGCGCATTCTATTCGTCCAGGTGTTGCAACATATAACGTTCGAAAACAAGATCACAAGTTGCACACTCGTCTCGACAACAAGTTGATCTCTGAGTCTGAGCTCGCTCTCGAGAAGGGTCTTCCATGCCGTATCGAGACCGATATTGTGAACACCGATCGTACACTGGGTGCCACTCTTTCATACCACATCAGCAAGCGCTATGGTGAAGCCGGTCTACCTCAAGATACCATCCATGTCAACATTAGAGGATCTGCAGGTCAATCATTCGGTGCTTACCTGGCACCCGGTGTCACGCTTGAACTTGAGGGAGATGCCAATGATTATGTTGGAAAGGGTCTCTCAGGAGGTCGCCTGATCATCTACCCACCACGAAGCGCCGTATTCAAGGCAGAAGAGAACATCTTAATCGGCAATGTCTGCTTGTATGGCGCGACCTTGGGAACATGTTACTTCCGAGGTGTTGCCGCTGAACGTTTCGCCGTTCGAAACTCGGGAGCGAATACTGTTGTGGAAGGCGTTGGTGACCATGGTTGTGAGTACATGACTGGTGGTCGCGTCGTTATCCTCGGAAGCACTGGCCGTAACTTCGCGGCTGGTATGTCTGGTGGTATTGCCTATGTTCTCGACATGAACCAAGACTTCCATTCCAAGATCAATATGGAGATGGTTGAAGTTTCCGGCGTCGAGGACCCAACTGAGATTGCTTTCCTTCGAGGTATGATCGAAGATCATCATCACTACACGGGTTCCGAGCTTGCGGCTCGTATTCTGTTGGAGTTCAACCGTGCACTTCCACGCTTTGTCAAGGTCCTCCCTACCGACTACAAGCGCGTACTTGCTGAACGTGCCGCTAAGGCCGAGGAAGCAAAGAAGGCCGAATACCCATTGCCTTTGCTTCCAGGGAACCCCGTCAGGTCCCTTCATCAAGAGCAACGTGACGCCGCACAAGATAAGGAAGCCAAACAAAAGAAGGTGGACATGCTTGACATTGAGGAAGGCGTGAACGGCGATGCTCAAAAGGCGAAACAAAAGGCAGGCCTAGTTCTCGACAAGACGCGAGGTTTCATGAAGTACACTCGTCGCAGCGAGAAATATCGCAACGTCAAAACCCGAACGAAGGATTGGGCTGAGTTGTCTTCTCGTCTCAACGAGGATGAGCTCAAATACCAATCAGCACGGTGCATGGACTGTGGTGTTCCTTTCTGTCAATCTGATTCCGGATGTCCGATTTCGAACATTATCCCCAAGTGGAATGAGCTTGTCTTCCAAAACCAATGGCAGGATGCCTTGAACCGACTACTCATGACCAATAACTTCCCTGAGTTCACTGGCCGTGTCTGCCCTGCTCCATGCGAAGGGGCTTGTGTTCTGGGTATCAATGAGGACCCTGTAGGCATCAAGAGCATCGAGTGTGCCATCATCGACAAAGGATTTGAAATGGGGTGGATGGTCCCTACTCCACCCACCCAGCGCACTGGTAAGAAGGTGGCGGTGATTGGATCTGGCCCTGCTGGTCTTGCCACTGCTGATCAGCTCAACCGTGCTGGTCACTCCGTCACGGTCTATGAGAAATCTGATCGCGCCGGGGGCCTTCTCATGTACGGCATTCCCAACATGAAGCTCGACAAGCGCATTGTTCAACGACGAGTGGATCTGATGGCTGCCGAGGGTATTGTCTTTAAGACTGGTGTTCTTGTTGGACCCAACGAAGAAGCTAGCCTCGAATCTCTACGTGCGAGCCATGACGTTGTTGTCATTTCTACTGGAGCTCAAGTTCCTCGGGACTTGAAGATCAAGAATCGAGAGAATGAGGGTATCCATTTTGCCATGGAATTCTTGCACGCAAATACCAAGTCCTTGTTGGACTCTGAGCTCGGAGATGGCAAATACATTTCTGCCAAAGACAAGCATGTCATTGTTATTGGCGGTGGAGATACCGGGAATGATTGTATCGGTACATCACTCAGACACGGCGCCAAGTCGATCACCAACTTTGAATTGTTGCCCCAACCGCCACCAGAGCGTGCTCGAGACAACCCTTGGCCTCAGTGGCCCAGAATCTACCGTGTTGACTATGGACACACAGAAGTCAAGCAGCATTATGGCAAGGACCCTCGTGAGTACTGTGTGATGACCAAGGATTTCGAGGTCAAGGATGGCCGAGTCGTGGGCATCAACACGACTCGTGTCGAATGGACCAAGAACTCTACTGGTGGCTGGGATATGAAGCCAAAAGAAGGCAGTGAAGAGTACTTTCCGGCCGACCTTGTCCTTCTGTCAATGGGCTTCCTTGGCCCCGACGAGCACCTGTTCAATGCAGAGGTCGAGCTTGATGGACGCAAAAACATCAAGACCCCAAAGAATCAGTACAACACCAACCTGGACGGTGTGTTTGCTGCTGGTGATTGTCGTCGTGGACAGTCCCTCATTGTTTGGGGCATCAACGAAGGTCGACAATGTGCTCGTCAAGTGGACAGTTACCTTATGGGCACAGGCTCTTCGCTTCCGGTCACGGGTGGCATTGTACGACGCGCTCAACATGACACCGTTCCAGTCCCGAAGGAAGTCAAGGTCGCCGCTTAAAGAGCCAGCACTTGAATAATGACAATCTCCCCATCTGAAGGAAAAAGTATAAAGCGGAATTCGAAATCCAAACATGTTACATTGGGCGGCATTCCATATCATTTTGTGTTCTTTTCTGGGCAAGCTAAAACCATCGGGCGTGATGAAAACGCGCGCAGTCGGTTCGATACTGATACCCCCTGCGCAGCATGTTATGGGTGAATGAAAATGAGAGAGTTATGCAAAATTGGAAAGACCGAAAGAACAGCAACCAGAGCACCGGGTTTTGATGGATATGGACCATGATGATTTTACATGTCTCTTTCTTTTTGGTGTCGGTCGTTCTTGCGCATGTTGCCACAATCATTGATAAAGTGGTGGAGTGTTTTTACCTTGTACTGCAGACTGCCAATGGAAATTGTACCAATAGAGAACAAACTAGCGGTAGATACATAGCAGGAATTCATCAAATTATGAAGAAAAAAGGAAAGGTAACGATCTTTGGTCTGGAGTTGCTATTAGAACTTGTCTCAGGCATTAATCGGGTGTTCAATTCAATGAGATAGTACTGGAACACGAGGGGATGTGTTGTAGGGTTCTGGTTACTGTAGTTGCCGCAAGCATTTAGTTATTCAACCCAGAGACACCAAAAATGCAGAGCGCCGCCAGCCTGAGCCAGCCATGAATTTAGAGACTGTGTAACAGTCATAATAGGCCTCGTCTGCACTTACTCGTATGTTTGTGCCAAGAAACCTGCTACTTTATCAATTTTGTCATTTTATTCTTGAATTCACTAAAAGTAGTTAGGTCTTTCTGAGAGGAGTCTTAAACTACCTTAGCTTTGGGACCAAGGGCTTTAGTAGCAATGCCAAGCCTATAGAGCTTTTAGTGTGAAAGCAGTCTGAAACTCTAGCCATCTGCTTCCCATTGGACAGTAGACACATTCCTTGGCGTCCCCGGTCTCTCGCCCTCCTCATCCTCATCCATCAGGAAAAGCAACAAACACAAACACTGCCTTTTTGATTCATATTCACTCGTCCAACTTAGAGTTAAGGCTCATTCAAGGCCGGTCGTCGTTGGTGGGTCGCCGAGACCCCGCCATCAGCTCCGCTTCAATACACGCGTTCTCAGTGGGATCATCACTTCTCTGAACATCGGGCCCTGCTCCCGATCTCCGCTTAGCTTATTCAACCTGAGCGAGAGTGTGTCGATCCGCAGGAGTTAAGTCTTTTGTCTCTCGAAGCTGGGATCACAATCGGCCGACCCGTGTTCTTTCAGACGCGTTTACCGGGAGACTATAATTGCCTGACGCGTGGGTTTTCAAACCATTTTCCAAGCGCGGCGTCGCTGAGCTTTGGTCGGCTACGGAGCACTCACGCATTCATACGAGGCTCTGCACAGAACGGAAAGCTTTCCTTTTCCAACGAAAGTGGTTCGCTTGCCATCTAAAATTGAGGCCTCGACATGCAAGCAGGCACTACCGACTGTTCAGTGACTTTCAAAGATCGACAGAATAGCCATCATATATTATACATTCGCCCTTTGAGGTTACTGAACAGGACAGAGGGGTCAAGTAGAAGCCCATCGTCCATCCGTACAAACTGAGCCTCACGACCCTTGCACTCCGGACACACATCTCCCATCACATACATCCGCAAATGAAGAGACAACCCTCTCCGCCTCAGCCAATCCCTACGTAACCATGCTTCTCACAACATCACTCCCGCTCTTCGCACCACCACCATCATCACTCCTCCCATCTCTCAGCACCTCAACATCAGAAATACCATCCACGGTTGCCCAAAACCAACTGCAACAGCAAGCACAGCAACACTCATCACGGCGCTCAAAGCAACATGCCTCGGCATTGCGGAACAGCACGCTTGCAGTCCTCACCGCGGACGAGCGGGCGATCGCCCAACGCAAAATGGCCATCGCGATGTACGGCTACGGGTGGTTGAAGCCGGCGGGGTGTGCGAAGACGATGCTGGGCCGGAGAGAAGAAGAGGTTGAGAGGGAAGAAGTCGAGCGCCAGTTGAGGGAGGTCGAGATGCAGGAGCGTGCTGCCCAGGAGGCTGACGAGCAAGAGCGACAGGCGAGATTGGCCGAGACAGGGGAGCCGGAGGAGGGGCGGGACTTGGATGAGGATATCCCTGATATGGATGGGGAAGACGGTTTGGAGGATGACGATGACGAGGTGGATCTCGATGGTGAGATTCCAGACATGGACGGTGAAGAAGACGAAGAGGGCATGGACGGCGATCTAGACGATGAGATTCCCGAAGCCGATGATGATGAAAATGACGATGACGATGATCCCATGTCACCCGATCCTGATGGAACCGATTCAAACTGGGTTTACGATTCACGGCGCGAGCCAGACACAGACGATGAGATGCACAATGCGCATGCATCTTCTCCAGGAAATCACCGCAACCGACGGTCCGATCGATTCAGGCACGGCACAGCCATTGTGGCTGGTGTGCGGGTCCCTGTCCCGGGAAGTGAGTACGACTACGATGAGCGCGAGGCCGAGGAGTTGGCCAACGCGATGCTGGACGAAGACGAGATCTTCGACCAGGAAGATGAGGATGAAATGGCACTGGAACGAGATCTCGACGATGACGTCCCCGAGGCGGGGGGAGAGTCTGAGGGAGGCTGGGAACACACCGACACGGAGCTCGAGGACAGCGAGATGGATATCTCCATCTTACCGCCCTCGCACATCGGCACAGGCCGGATTTCCGGCGTGCGACCACCACCGCAACAAGAGCAGCGTGTGAGCATGGCGGGATCATCAGCGAGGAGCAACGCACGCCACTCCAGCGCGAGCGCGTATGCGGCTGCGCAGCAGCAGCAGCAGCAGCGCCGCAGCTCTGGACCGTGGATCACTGAGCCCTCGCCCACGGCGGCGCCGCATCCGGGGGACATCAATTCCCGACAGACTCCTGCTGACCTACAACCACAACAACGCCGCACAATCGCCCCGCGCGGCGCCAGAATGGTCAGCGGTAACCAGCGCCAGTACCTGCACACACCTGAGACGCCGGACTTCTCGCCCATATCCCACGGCGAATACGAGGACGAGGACGAGGACGAGGAGGAAGAAGAGGATCTCCCTGATCCATTCAACTCCTCGAACGCCCCTCGACATCATCCACAACGCCAGCCCCAGTACCAAGCCCACGCCCCGCGACAAAGCAGCAATCTCGTGCCTCAGCAACCATCCCTCGACAACTCGACCTCAACTTCCCGGACCGGAGCTGGTAGCGGCACCAGCTCGACGCGCAACGCAGCGCGGTCCTGGCTCGACGGCGCCGCTGCGGCCGTCACCGGCGGGAGTGCGCGTAGAACGCTTTTTGGTCGGGTTGCGAGACGGACGAATGATCCTGCTGCGTCTGGTATGGGAGATAGAGTCGGTGGTACTGTTGGTGGAAGTGGGAGTGGTGGGCTATTCACGCCGTCGCCGCCCGCCGGGGCTGGTGGCCCGGCTGGTTCGGGGGCTGCGGCTTCGACGGCCGCGTGGGACGATACGCCAGTTACTCGGGGACAGGGACAGGGCCAGGGGCAGGGACAGGCCGAACAGCAGCAGCAAAGACACCACCAGCGGCGCAGGAGTGGGCGGTTCCTCGCTGGACGGCGGAGGGGTGCTGATGCCGAGTAAGGCCAGCACCTGCTTGAGTAAATTTCCCTTTGAACGGGCACAGCGCTTAGGTAGACGTATGGATGTAAACTGGTCGACCTGTTGCTCGACAAGACAACAAGACGAAGCGCGCTTGATCGAGAATAGATTTAGGTAGATTGATTAACTTGTTTCGCTATATCTGATATGCGTCCGTTTTGTATATGCTATGCTATGGGGACGATTGGCACTGCGGGCCGCCATGTGTTGTTTATGGGGCCCTGTTGGCTTTTTCGTGCTACCCTGTCGCCATTCCATCACACCGTCGGTCCTAAAACCTTTGTCTTGCTCCTCGTCTGTCCCCTGCATACGCAGAATGTAGATTCAAACGCCGTGACACCTTGCTTGAAAACTCCCAGAAGTAAAAACAGCGGTAAATGTGTTTGTACAGGTTTGTTTTGGGATGATCCCGGAGGTGTTGGTAGGTCGCTAGTATCAAGTAGATTTCTCATGAACAGAAGTCTATTGCCTTGAGATGCGTCCTGGTGCAGATGATTAGGGTTCCGAGTTCTGCCAAAAAGGGGGTGCTCCTAAGCTTTCGCCCTGCTCGTGGTGGTGCACTCTCACCATGAAGATGGAGAGCACGAAGAAAATTGTTCGATGTGAAATCTTTCGACCCTTCTTCTCGAGTGTGTGTTGTCCCGAGGTGATTTTTCTCTCTTATGTTCCCGAATGTGGCGTCATGGCTTGAGGATCAGAACAGCCAGACATATGCGAAGATAGCCCAGACCGCAAAGAAGAAAAGCACCCAAACCTTCCAACCCACACCTGTTCGTTCGGCCATTCTGAGCATCCTCCTCATCGTCCCGCGTAACCTGACCCCGGTATTCTCAAAGGAGTCATTGATCTGCGCGGCTAGAGTGCTGGAGTCTCGGATTTCATCGCCAATAGCGACAGTCAGGGTTTTGAGTTGTGATACTTTTTGTGAAAGCAACGTCGTCGCGGTAATTTCGTTCTGGGACTCTAGTTCTTCGAGGACGGATGTCGAGTACTGGCCCTTTGAATTGGGTGTCGCCGGACGGAAGCCAGAGGGTGGGCTGGCTCCATTTACACCTCCGTAGGAATTTGTATACGGCGATGAGGTATTCCGGCCGTCTGGCTGAGATGGGTACCCTCCATATCCTCCTGGCCGGTTGGTGGATGAGGAACTGGATGGTCGAGAACCCGGATAGTCTTGGAAAAGGCTGGAGGAAGGGGCTGCGCGCCGGTTGAGGGCCGAGTAGCGGTTACTGAAGGAGAGACAATTATCAGCATGTGTCTCAGTCAAATCATGCGTGGCAGAGAACGTACTTTGACATTATGGCAGCCGCTGTTGCGCAGGGGCTCTTGATTAAAAACGTTTCTTAAAGGTTGGGGCTGTTCAGGAGGTGGCGACGAGATCATAGAAGGTAGACATCTGTGGATCTACTCTGCAACTCTGGCCTGTATAATCTTGTCGTGAATGAGTGCCTGAGGTGTGTCCGATGGTGTTATTTGGTAGGAAGGCGATCACAGGCTAACAAAGACGGCGTGTAATACCTTCTGTTTTCTGTTTTCTGTTTGATGATGACGGTGGCCCCCGGAGTTAAGAAATCGAGAAAATGGAAATGACGCCTGTGACCTCTACGCGCGGCCGAAATAACAGCAGCTAGGTCTTCAAACTTCCCCGTATACATATATCCACCCCAAACAAGCTATCTCGTTCTCTGACGGGATTTGATTTGTGTTAGAGGATGAGACGCATGCCATTTCTAACTTACGATTTTAGGTATGCATCAACCGCCTGTCACAGGCTGACAATCCTTGAACACAAACCCATCATCCCCCAACGGATCCTTTGTCTCGACTGCATACGTGCTAAACCCAGTGTAAAATGCGTACCCTTCTCCTTTTATTCGCACAAGTGGACCATGGATTTCTGGATATTTTTCTGCCAATACCTCCACCACCGTACCTTTGAAAGCTGGCCCATATCCAGCCGCTGAGACCAGAGAATGATATTCCCAGCTTTCGTTCAACTTGCGATCTCCTTTTGCGTATGCCAGAGCAGCCCTTGCGGCTACACCGCCGCCAGTAGGAGAGCGATCAATCTGCTGGTTGGAAAAGAAGCACAAACCCACTTCAGAACCAGGGACATTTCTTGAATCGTCAACCACGATGACTGAGTAAAGGAAGCCCAGATCATCGTGTTCTGGATGCCGGAAGTATTTCGAGAGTGCTAAATCCGAGTTAATGTGCGCTTTCAACAAGGCAGTAGCCTTGTCCAGCTGATCGAGGTCCTTAGTTTTCAGTTCATCGGAAAATCCAAGCTCTCTGGACGATACTATACAAAAAAAAGCCCCACCGTAGGAGAAGTCTACACGAATGTCCTTGCTTCGGCCTTCCAGACCACGCCATTGCCTAGCGGGTGGAAGTGAAATCTTCACGTCGATTCCTGTGGCAAATGATGGTACTGAGATGAAGGAGACAGGACGACTGGGGTCTGAAGCGGAGCCATCATTGTTGACTGGAACCGTGACCTTAAGTAGACCCGATGGGTTGTGGAGGTTAACAATCGCGGTTTTTGTCTCTGGATCATGCTTGATATCATTTCTGCAAGGAAAGACGTTGAGATCGTGAGTATCTAAAAGGAACCGACCGAGGGCAATAGTTGCATGCCCGCACATAGTAGAATATCCGTCGTTTGTCATAAAGAGAACTCCAACATGTGCTTCACCAGACTTAGTAAGCTCGGTCTCTGGTCGCAGCACTGCTCCATACATGTCGAAGTGGCCACGAGGTTCCAACATAAGTCTTCTCCGTAAATGATCATGTTTTGCTTTGGCTTCAGCACGCTGCTCAAGAAGCGTGCCTGATAGATCTGGATAGCCTTCAAAGACTATTCGTGTCGGTTCGCCCGTCGTTTGCATCTCAATGCATGATATCGGTCGATGTTCAGGCGTCACAAGGCGCTTGGCGATATCCATGGCGAAAGCTTGTTACAAGATTCTCAATGATCTCCAGAGCGCGCAAGGGTTTCAAGTGGGATTTCTGATCGTTGTACTCCGTTCTCCGTAATAATTGGAATAATATGTGAGAGTGAATACCCCCCTTCCCCCGCCCTGTGACGATGAGCCAAGGATTCATACAAGGCTGTGGCAGAGCCTTGTTCGTAGTGCGCATCATTGGGGCAGTCGCGCCGCCTTCACCGTGACGCGTTTCTTAATTCTACATGGCATCTGCAGCATTGAAATCCTTCTGGCCACATCGCACAAGATCACAAGCCTCATACCACTGCGGCGTTGCTGTTGGACCCTTCCCCTGGAATATGGATACCGTTTGAAAATCATAACTCTCTTGGCAGCACACTGGTGCAACAAGATGGTCTCGCATCGACAGGCCGAGAGTTTCGCCTCTGCTGGAGAAATCAATACAGAGGTGACGGAAGAACTGCGGAATAAATTGACAGAGGCTTCCATCAAATGCTCAGAGCGTTGCCTGTACCAATCCGCGAAATGGTGAGTCAAGCAAAGCGCTTAAATGATTCTCATGCTGACTGACGCAAGGGCGGCCGAACTGCTGACATCCCTCCCCGACGAAGATGAGCTTGATGATGACGACTCTCAGATGCATGATACGAGTAACGTTCAGTCTTCTTACCGAATATATACGACAAGTTATGACGATCCAGACGAGGCAGCTTTGGAGGCGAAAGAGGCACCGAAATATCTTTTAGCAAAAGCATTTTTTGATACCAAGGAATTTGAGAGATGTGCTGCTGTTTTTCTTCCCCCTGCCATACCAGCTGGTGGCCTCGCAATCTTCGAGAAGCCCAAAGGACGAACACCTACTTCAACGCCATTACGACCACAAAGCAAATCAAAACAGAATGAGGGAAATGTCCTCAACCCGTTTCCACGCCTCAGTCAAAAGTCTCTATTTCTCTCCTTATACGCCCGATATCTGGCTGGAGAAAAGCGGAAGGAGGAAGAGACTGAGATGGTTCTAGGCCCTGCGGACGGTGGACAGACGACGAATCGCGAATTATCAGCAATCGCACGTGGGTTAGAATCATACTTCCAAGTAAGAGATGCCCAGGACCCCAAACTCAAACATTCTCAAGGATGGTTGGAATATCTCTATGGTGTTGTCCTGTCCAAATCACGTCAGGAAGTCCTTGCTCAAAAATGGTTACTCCGTTCCGTTCGCCTCAATCCCTACCATTGGGGTGCCTGGGAAGAACTTGCATCGCTCCTCAGTTCAATCGATGATCTTAACGCACAAGCCTTACCCCAACATATTATGTCTATTATGTACCACACTCACGCCAGTGTCGATCTTTTCTCGACCTCAGACCAAGCCTTGACATTTGAAAACCTCAAAGTCCTCTTGAACTATTTTCCCAACTCGACCTTTCTCCTCACACAGCTCGCTCTTTCATATTACCACAACAAAGACTACGAGACCTCCGCCTCCATCTTTCAAGAGCTTCTCACCGCTCACCCGCATCGTCTTGACGGGCTCGACCATTATTCCAATATTCTTTACGTCATGGCTGACAGACCCAAATTAGCTTTCCTCGCCCATTTGGCCACATCGGTCGACAAATTTCGACCTGAAACTTGTTGCGTAGTGGGCAACTATTACTCACTCTGCTCTCAACACGAAAAGGCAGTCATGTACTTTCGCCGTGCTCTGACTTTGGATCGGAACTTTCTGTCCGCCTGGACCTTGATGGGGCACGAATACATCGAACTGAAAAATACCCACGCCGCGATTGAATCATACCGACGTGCTGTGGATGTCAACCGCAAAGACTACCGAGCCTGGTATGGGCTGGGTCAGGCATACGAAGTTCTCGACATGAATTTCTACGCACTGTTCTACTATCAGCGGGCGGCAGGACTTCGACCTTACGATCCCAAAATGTGGCAAGCCGTTGGTTCATGCTACACAAAGATGGACCGGCTTGAACAGGCCATCAAAGCTCTCAAGCGGGCCCTTGCCGCGGGTGCCTATTTCGAGAATGAAGAGTCCCCTCAGCCTTCCTTTAACACTTCCAGCGGTACCGCAACGAGACCTAAGACAACTAACCCCACTAAATCACGTAAACTCCTCGACCCCGAAACCCTCTTCCAGATCGCGCTGCTACATGAGCGCACCAACAATGAAGCTGAAGCAGCACGATACATGGAGCTGTGCCTCGCGCAGGAAACGGGAGGGAGCGCCACTAGTGTGGAGAAGGCGAGAAGGAAACACGCCCGCAGAGAGGCAAGAAAGACTGCCGTTGCCAGCGAGAGACGAGAACGGGTAGCTGCGATGCGAGCTGAAGCTGGAGGAGAAATAGATCCTGAACTCGAAGCTGCGGCTCTCGCAGATGGAGATGATGATACTGAAATCTTATCGTCGCCATCAGACCCTGAGGAGGCCGGTGGAGGAGAAGGCGCAGATGGAGAGACCAGTGCACTGGGCGAAGCAGAAGGCTTCGGCACGGGTACCACAGCAACGACATCCAAAGCTCGCCTTTGGCTCGCAAGGTGGAGTGTCAAGACGGGAGACCTGGATCGTGCAGAACGTCTAGCCGAGGAGCTCTGCATGGATGGCTACGAGGTCGAAGAAGCGAAAGGCTTGGTCCGAGAGGTCAGAGGCAGGAAAGACGCTACTGCTGGTGGTATTAGTGGTAAGCCTAGAAGCGCTGCAATCAACGACTTAGGTAGTCCCATTGAAGATTGAGATGGTTGTGACCAGAATGATATTCATGATTTCTGTGTCTCCTCCAAGATCATGCTGAATGTATTTCGAGGGGGCGGGCGACAGAATAGTAAATAGGGTAGGGCACCTAGCGTCCTACAGCGTATTTAAGCTTCGCTTACGGGGCTGTTCTACCTAGTCTTCAATTACTGCTCTTGAGGAGGGAGAACGACCCTACAACAACGTGTCGGTAATAGAGAGGGTGGGTGATGGAGGTATGGGATAGGTGGACGGCTGAGTACTAAGCGCGGACATTAGACAGGACGGGATATAAGCTATAGGAAAAGCGGAAGGCCTTGGGACAACGAATTATCGGTGGAGAGGGAAAAGAAGAATCTGTCTTTGTCTGCAACATGCCATTAATACTATCTATCTATCGAATGAATTAGGCTCGCGACGCGCGCTGACTCCATCGCAGCCTTGCCCCCTTTGTGTGCAGCCTTGCTAGACCCCCTATCCACTCACATCTTTCTCACCGCGGCCATCTCGCAGCTGATGCGAGCGAATTTGACGGCACACGCGGCTTCTTTGTCTGCACACATCATGAGAGCCAGCTTCTGGCCGCCGACAAGGCTGTTCAAGATCTCCGCGATGTCCTCGTCTTTGGAGAGGTAGTGCCATTGTAGTTCGTAGGCAAAGTAGGAGTGGCAGGAGTGGCAGGAGTGATGGTTGTTCATCAAGCGCTTTGGAGGGAATAACGTGCGATCGTTGTCCGGCCTGGAGACTGTATCATCTGGAAAGACCGAGAGCGCGAAGCCTGAAAGCTCATTTGGGGCGAGGAGGGGATATTGGTGGTGCCAGACGTGCTTGATGAGGTCTTTGGAGTGGATAGTGAACGACAGCGTGCGGATTGAGCCTTTGGGAAGTGCTCGTGGCAGTTCGGCGGTCAGGAAGATGCGGCCGTTGCTCCTGGAGCAGATCTCGAGCTCGCGGTTTGACGCTGCAAGGGGAGTGCTGAACCACAGCTCGGCGTAGTCGAGGATCGTCGGGATTACATCCCCAGGGAGTCCGGCTTGTTTGAGGAGGAATGCCGTGTGGTAGACGTCCGAGGCGTCGTGGATTCTGGGCGCGTGTTTTATTGAAGATGCGCGGCCTCTGATGATGGACAAGTATCCCTCTTCCTTGGGTCGACGGAGTCGGTTGGGAAACACACAGACAAGCAAACCGACGCCGACGAAGCAGACAATGAGAATAAGGATGGCTAAGTAAGCCAGACAAAACCCCCCCCAGTGGAGCAGTGGAGCAAAGGGGCTCACAATGAAGACTGACACTTGATAGAGCAGCTTCAAGATGTAGCCCAGAGGCTGGTGGACCAGTATTACGACGGCAGCGGTACATTCGAGGATTTTAAGTGCTAGATATACCTTTGCAGCAGGAGAGTAAGCCATTTTCGGAGTCTATTCTGGGTCGTTAGGATACATAGGATTGAGGAGATAGAGAGAGCCACTAGGTCTAGTAAGAGAGTCATCGTAATTATGAATGAGGACCTATTTGAGCGCCGAGAAAGTGAGTGAAGGGCAAACAGAAGGAGGGACAGAAGGGCTGCTAGATGGTCCATCGCGCCCTAAATCGTGTGCTAGTACAAATGTAAAGTTTAGAATTCGCCTATCTCGGCTAGTGCCGAATAGTGCCGGGCAGTGCCGTGAATGTCAGACGTCGCAGACTGTGCCGGGATGTGCTTTGAAACCGTCGGGGACGCCGTCAGACAGAATCTTTCTAAAGTGCCAAGGCCCGGCGTGGCTCGAGGCACAGGGCATAAACAATGACGTAGTCACGCGGTCAGGCTGCACCTACCCCCAACGTCAGCCTGATGATCTGAGAATGCCTACCTAGGTACTTTGTGAAAGGGCAGCTAGTAGAGGGATCAAACAAAAGAAACTTTTCACAGCAGTGAATCAGATGTCTGAAATTGTTTTGGGAGATCAAATGTCTGATCAAATGAGCATTGAAAGAATCACCACTGCTAAGTCTCAGGATTTTCACCCCTCACCACCCACAAGGGATCCGTCGTCCAAGATCCGTCGACAAGAGTCTGAATCTCAATGTTCCTCCATCCGCTCCACCACAGATAGTCTCCCACCATGTTTAAACGTGCCTCCTCGTCGACTTTGAGCCATCTTCCCACAACCTTTGCTGGAAAGCAGCGATTGGAAATGATCAGGTGGACTTTGCCTCCATTGTCCGTTTGCTGTCGAATGCTCGAGAGCACCTCCACCGGTCTTGTCAGGTAATCGATGGAGACAACACATGTGGAAGCATCAATTTTTCTCCCTTCTCCCTCCCCCGGAAGCCGCATCTCAGGTTCTTCGTTCAGATCTTGGACAGACCAGGCTTTCAGAATGGGGTTCTTGCTTAGTTCTGACTTGTTCATGCCCGTTCCAAGGACCTCCACTTCTCCTGCTGCGGCCTCATTTGCCAGATCTGCTGGATAATGCGATATCCAGCTTGAGCAGAAATCCAGCACTCGTCCTTTTCTGGGTATGACTTGGGCGTAGTATTTTCTCAGATTGATGATGGCATTATCGTCGATATGCGTGACAAATCGGGGAGTTGTGTAGAAACTCTGATCACTTCCCGCATCCATGGGAGTGAGATCTGCCTTTGAATATGGAAATGGTCCATCGGGGTTTTGGGGTGTATAGCTTCGTATCGGTGGTAGCGAGGAATCCATCTTCTTGGTGGGGGGGAAGACGCCTGAAAACAGTGATAATGACCGCAGGGTATATCTACTCGCTATTGGAGGCATTTATTATCAACGGCAATGATAACTGTCAGTCAACATATCAATACTAGGCACAGAGCACACCCCGAGTTCCAATCCCTTTTCCCCTGGGTGAGGGCTATGAAGAGGGAAGTTGGCGCTCCATGGCCTTGGCATGTAATGAATCATGATATTCCAGGTTGCCAAGCCTCGATACATATCAGCATGAGGGTGAGGAAACCTTTTCAACCATCCAATAGTAGCGAAGGATTTCTCTGAGGCACTGTCTTAATTCCTCCTATCTGTTACGGCCATGCAACAGAATTCAAAACTTGATGGTTAGATGGGTGGCAAAGACAAGGCTTGCCATATTGAATGACGTCGAGCCCTCCGTCGTGGTTCTTCGTACGAGCGGAGATTACACCCGTCGGCTTTGATCCTAGCGTTGACATCCGAGAGGTCAATGGTGCAGCCTGCATTCCACCGCTCTGTATTATTACAAAGCATTGGAGGACTGAGATGCGGAATGGCCCAGATAGTTAGTGGGAAGACACTGTTGTCTTTACGTTGTTAAAGTGATCGACCTTGGTGCTTCGTGTTCTGATGGTCCGTATAGGGCTAAACCTAGCGACGATGTCTATGAAGGGCAATTGACTCCGGACACCATAACAGAATACTTTGGCGATCACGTTCCGCTCCAGATTAGTCTGGATCTGAGATTGATAAGACAGGAATGATATATACAGTAGGAGGGAGCGAATGCTGAAGTCTCGATCAAGACAAGCGCAGCCGATGAGCGAATGAAGGAATTAGTTGTTGTCAACAACGGGATCGTCACAAGTTACTGCCCAATAAATTAGCGAACTGCCTGTCCCATGATATCAGGGGCCGCTTCTTGCTTATGGCATCAGCGCGAGTCTAGATTGACCCTCTTGTTACCTGTTCATCTTCCCCAGAGTTGTCTTGTAGGCACCCATGGGCCAAAGTCTCTGGAATATATCCCATTGGTCGTGTTCTCCTCACTGCTGACCTCATTGCCGTTACATTCGCTATTCCTTGCGCGATCATAAATACGAATTCGATACCTCGTGGTGGTGTTGGTGTTTGCTTCGAAACAATACTACAATACAACCAATGTTTGCAAGATCCTTGATCTTCCCAAAGTCTTCGGTCAATTCCTTACTACGACTACAATCATCTACATCTACAGCCCGAGCTTTCCGCCATTTGCAAGCGAAGAGAATAACCAGTCAGAGGCGCAACATGGCAACTGCAAGTCATATCGAGCTGAACCCAGCATCTGCTGGAGTATACCACGCACCAGAAATCACGTCCGAGTCGGGCAAAGTTGCAAGTCAACTGCTTCAAGAAAATCATGATAGGTATCATATGTATTTCAACCCGAGCGGTTTTCACAATCACATCGCCCATCATCTGTTGACGATTTATGCGCTGGGCGCTACCCCGGGTGAGTTGAATGAAGCCTTTGACCATAATAAAGGATATCAAAGGCCACTTCCGGCGGTGCAGGACAGGATCGTCGAGGATATGACGGATCGTGAGAAGTTCAAGCAGTATCTGGGAAAGGAGCGCTATTTCCACGACTATGCCGACTATTTCCGCAAAGACATTGATGAAAAGGGTTGGGAGGCTGTGTTGAATGAGCATTTGTTTGCTGGAGATGAACATGCCGAAAGATTGCTTACGAGGTTGTATGCCGGTAAGGTGATTGTCGACGTAGTCAGTGTGGAATCAATGACTAAGTTATGCGTCAGGTTTTCTTCATCCCATCATTCATCTCGGGTTTGGAGTGGAGTTCAAACAACCAGCGATCATCGTTGAAGCACTTGCTCAAACGGCTACGCATGACAATTGGATTGCTCCGTTCCTACTTACCGCTGAGGAGAAGGCTAGAACTTCCACCAAAAAGTCAAAGAGTCTTGTGCAGTTGATCCACGAAGCGCAAAAGAATCCAAAGCTCCGATCATCAGCTCATTGGGATGACGGGAACAAGATACGAGATGGCGTTCTGGTGCGTGCACCGGATGAGATGCTGGAGCTGGCTTCTCAATGGACGGTCAAACCTGAGGAGCTCAAACAGAAGACGGCTGAAATGATCGGTGCATCCATATATTTCACAGGCGCAGCTCAACACCCTCCCAAGAAGGTCAAGTTTGATTTCTACTACATGCACTGCGTCAACAGCTCGATCTTCTTCTCGACTCTGATCAAGGAACCCTGGCTTAGCACGGAGAACAAGTGCAGGATACTGGAATGGAAGGGGCGCATAGATCTAGCGCTGTATGTCTCTCGTGCATGTCCAGAACTGTTGCTCGACGAGATCAAGAACTACAAACCGAAGAACCCAGAAGATGGTTGGGCAGGCATTGTTCGAAGAGTGGATGCACTCCCCGACGATGGCCATGCAAGCAAATTAGTGAGAGCTATTGCACACGGCGAGCAGGCTTGCAAACCATATGAAGGTGAAGCCGACGATGTTTTCCCTCTCAAGGGCAACATGTGGGAATTGCTAGGACACATGGCTATTGACTCGGTTGAGGGTAGCCGAGAGGATAGTTGGGTTCGAAGCGCTGGGTTTGAGCAAGCCTGGCAGAACGTGCCTGAGAGGGCAAAGCTGTGACTGTACTCCGTACTTGTAAATTGATAACAATGTATCTATCGGTCTGAGAAAGCAAAAAATCCAAAAGTTGAAAGAGACATTTCCTCCCCAATCGCCGACCGACAACCAGGGGTGATTGTGCGACCTGTCTGGGGTTTGAAGTTTCGAGTTTATCAATTAGTTAGACGCCCTCTTTCACAGTCGAAGTAGTCCCGCGTGTCCCCGCGTGTCCCCGCGCGTGGTTCGTGTTCTGCCCCACGTGCGTCACGGGTCACGCCTCACCAGGTGACCTTCTACTCCGACTACTCATCACCAAACATCATCCGTCCTCCAGGCACCTATCAATGCTGTACAATCATACCTGAGTCCATCGATTCTTCATCAAACTGGAGCATGTCTCCCATCCCTTAATCTCCTCGTTCTTTCATTTCGTCCATTGCTGCCTCCCATCCACCATGCCCGAAGATAAACGCTGCAAAGACACCTCCATCCCACCTCCGCTCGATCCATTCCCCACCTACCAGACACCATACCCTCGATCCAACCACAATCAGCACGAGAACCCCTTCATTCAATTCCGCCGCTTTGCTGACGAAAAATTCTCCTCCTTCTTTCAAGGCATACCTAATCTCTTTGGAGTCCCTGCCAAAGACGTTGACGATCTGATGCGGCGCAGGCATGAATTAGAAGAAGGATGGAAGAAGCAGTTCGAGCAGGAGGTGGAGGAGATGAGACACGAGGTGGAGAAGACCCGAATTGCCACATTAAAGGCCATGGAAGATTCGTGGTCTCGGTCCACCGAGGCTGCCTCGAAGTCGTCCGAGACCGTTGAGCCCTCGCCGTGGTGGATGAGGGGAAATCCATCCAAATGCCCTGCATTGAATGGTCAGGAGCCACAGCCAAATGCCCACAAGTGCCCTGCTCTTTACGACGAGGCCGGTGAGCCAAAGACCGAGTTGGATTTATACGAAGCACCTACCGTCTCCAAACGCCAACCAACCGATACGCAAGGCGTTTCATCAAGTGGTCGCCCATGGCCTCACTGGCTGACTCCTGGGGATCTGAAAGCAAAGGAGAAAGCCACCGAGCAGACCAAGCAGCGTTCAGAAGAAGCCCCATATACTCCTGCGACCCGGTACAGCTTGGGAAAAGCCCGACACATGAATCCATTCGACAACCCCGATCACACTATTCCATGGCTGATGCTGAGTCCTTACTCTCCCATCTACCTGTGTAACCCGGGCCAGGCTCGCATGTTCCGAGTCAAAATTCAAGACGCGGAAGATGTTCCTTTGCAGATTTCAAGACCAAAGTACTTCGAAAGATGGTACACTGAAGTGGACGACAAGTTATCACGACAACTTTCCTGGGCTGATGCATTTGAGGATCTCATAAGTTTACAGCAGAGAGGATCAATGGTGGACAGAAATTATTCCACTCTTCGAACGCCCCCTACGTGGATTCATGATATGGTCAGTCGCGGAAGCCTCGGTGATCGTTGGGGATTTAATGATGATGGCATTCTCATGAAACGCTCCAATGGCAATGCAGCTACTGAAACTGCCACCATCAAAGATCATTGTCGAGGGCAAAAAGAGCAACGATGGCGATCTTGGAGACGTGGCGAGGATGCACAGAAACAGCCCAAAGATGATGAGAAGGAGAAACGTGAGGACTTGATCGACAAATTCGTTGATGATCTTCCAGAATCGATTGCTCGATCACCAATCTTCGGGGGTCTTCTATCAGCTGCGGACTCCATCGTCTCGGCCGTTGAACAGGGTATTGAAGATGTTCTGAAGCAGACACAAGAGGAGTTAGCTACTTCCACTGATACAGCGGCAATAATCGAATCTGAAGAGCCGGATAGCACGCCGTACAGCTCGCTAGCGAACTCGTCGAGCTCATCGAGTTCGTCATATTCGTATGCGAGCAATACTTCGGCAAGCTACTCTTCCTCATCAGACCAGGACCCGAGTTCAATCATCTCAACTCTAACGACCACAGTCACACGGACCCTACCTGACGGGTCAGTTGAAACGAAGCGTGTTTTCAAGAAACGATTTGCCGATGGTACGGAAGAGAGTGATGAAAGCACTGAAGTCAAAAGCGCTGCATCCAGAGCAACCCCCGCTAATCCGGAAGTGTCTGATAAACAGACGCAGACTCAACCTGCAAGCAGCATTGAGCCGGGGAACAGTCAGGTGCCTGCTCCAAAGCACCTCGACCCAGAGATGGCAGATAGGATACACAACACGTACGGTGCCCAGGTCTTCCAACGAGGTCACGACGAAACCAATCCACCGTCCAACGAACAAGCAGAAAATCCGCAGGCTAGGCGGAGAGGTGGCGGATGGTTCTGGACTCGATAGAGCCGAGCACGCGGTGAAAAAGATGCCCGCCTTTCACGAAAAATTGACTCTCTGACAACTGAACATTTGGAAGCTCCAAAAGCGATAACTCTCTCCCCGCTCCAATCAACGATTACAACGAAGCCTCATTCCGAAACGAAATTTAACTATTCACATCTCCCCCCCTCCTCCCAAAACTCCAGCACTGATCAGTCGAACATCATTGCCGTAAAAGACGATTCATTGATGAATGACTGTTTCATACTCCAAGCCTGAATCCAAAATGTCGATTCTCCGCTCTACTCCACCATGGTTCGTTACGAGTACGAGGTGTATGTAGTGACAAGCTTATCGTCTGGCCCACATGTGAGATTTTCTTCATGTATCTACATATCTAGTCGTGTGTCTGTAAAGTATCGATTTCCATGATCTTCTCCCAGCTAGCAGTGCTGCGCTACCCCTCTAGCCTATGCCTGTGCAATTGGACATGCAGCCATGCATCCATCATTGGTGCTGTCCTCATGCTCGTTACGTGGCTTTCGTCCGCGGATCTTTGACTCATTCTCTCGCCGCTGCCAGATGCCTGGATAGCCCTACCGTTCTAGGCATGAGGACGTGCGTGCGTTCATGGTGTCACTATATTTACATTCGCCTTTGGACATTGACATTGACATTGGAAACACGATGTGGCTCTCGACTTGGACGTGGACTTGGACTTTGAGTCTGAATTGTGGAGAAAGCAAACGCTATGCTATTGCTATGCTAGGCTGTGCTCGAAAAAAGAATGGGGAAAAAGGAAACACGAATGAAAACAAACAAGAATGGATGAAAAACGACCGCTCACTCACTCGCTCCGTTGCTTTGTTTCGCTCTCGTCCGCTAACGGAAGGATAGAAAAGGTGTAGGAGCAAAGCTTGCAAAGGGATGGGGGATATCCCCATATTCAAGCAAGCCACCAGCCCAGAGAAGGGAAAAGAAGTCAAGAAAACCAACAGTCGTCCTCGTTTCTCCTCCAAACATCAATCATCGTCGTCACCCGTGAAAAGCGTCTCGTTCTCAAGTAATAGTAATCCCCATCGTCGTCGTCCCTGAGAGAAACACGTCACACCACAGAAATACCTCATCGTCATTGTCATCATGGCCAAGCGCCAAATCTGTCAGCACTATCATGTTTCTCAGCCTCAAAAGATATCGTCCGGCCATTCCCACTGCTCACGCTGAAGGTGATGTAGACGGATGGGGGAAGGGGTGAGTTGCTTGAGTTTGGCCATGTCGTCCATGATCAGTGACCGTTTCCCAACTGGAGTTCTGTTCTCCACACCTTCTTCGTCTTCCTCGAGAATCATTGACACAGGTCGTGGGAGAGGAGCACCGACCAATGTTCTCCTTGTTGGATTGTTGTTGCTATTATTAGTTGCGGTACAGTTGAGGTCCACACTTGGATTATTATTCACATTGGGACTATTATGGGTGTTTGCTGTTGTTGCTGGGTTGGTGTTTACACTGCGAGGCTGGTTTCTCGAGTTCGTCAATGGTTGTAAGGCAATGCGGTCTGGGATGGAAGGGACTGGTGGAACGCCCTTTGCTCTTGGTTTGGAAGTCTTTTTCTTTGAAGGGGTCTTTTTCTCCTGGTCGACCGTCGAGGTGTCGGAAGATGTTGGGATTTGCTTGGCCGATGCTGAGCGGTTTCTCTCGAGGTTTGCTTTAGAAATCTTCGGAGCCTGGCTCTCCTGTTGTTGGCGTATCATTGCTCGGAGCTGCTGATTCTCCTTTTCCAATTCACGACGAGATGGTCGTTTGTGAAAGTCGATGTCGATGTGGCCGTCGGAATATTCAGCATCAGTTAGAGCCACATTTGAAGTCGAGGATCTCATGCTACGTCGAGCAATTGTTCGGTCATCTCGGGAACGTGGTGGCTGTTCTCGCGGTGGTTCAGGAATGGGTTCAGCAAGACCGACATTAGATTTCCGCTTCTTTATTCCGAAATGCTGGGCATAAGCTTCTTCAGCTCTTCGTTTCCGATCATTAAGCAGGTCAAGGTCACTGTTCATGGTGGTCTTCTGTGGTTGAGCGGCTGTGGTGGCCAAGTCCATGGTAGAATGGGCAGTATTCTTCGACTTTCCAGCAATATTATGCAAGTTCCATAATGACATGCTCTTCCTCAAGCCTGTTTTCTTCTTTGCATCCCTTGGGTCTGCTTCAGGTCTACTGGCGTGATGACTAGGCTTGAAGGCGGAGCCCAGTCTGGCAAGGCGTTGTTTGAAAGTACCTGGAGTTACAGCGATGGGTTTGAAATCATCGATGTCAATAGACGAACGCCGAGGAGAGGCTCGAGGAGTGGAGCTGTGCTCCGATTCGTCTCCTGACGTGGTGGATATTGAGCCATTTTCGAGCCAGGAGGATGATATACCGCCTGAGCGATCAGTCATACTTCCCTCAGCGAACTTGGAGTGTCGAGATGGGAAATCCTGGTCGTTGGTTGGGAACCCCCCGAAGTTGGGCTTGGAGCCACGACTCGTCTTTGGTCTCTCATTGGTATCAACATGCTGCGTAGAGGGAGCGAAAGGTCTCAGCGCTCTCAAGTGCTTACGTGGTTGCTGAACCGGACTGTGATCCTCTGGAGGTTCAAGGACAATGACATCTTCTGAAGGGGCGTTCTGTCTGCGTCGGGTCGCGAGTGGGGATGGTCTGCTCCAAGCCTCGCGTTCCTCGGTGATGAAATGAGGTTCATTATGAGTGGGTGTTCCTCCTTGTAAAGTGGGATCACTGTATCTGTAGGTATTGCTATTGAGAGTTGGTGATGGCGAGGGCAAGGGAGAAGGAGACGCGTTCCCGGAGTATGAGGGGCTGTCTTGACTCAAAGTTCTGACATGAGACTGGAACTTCTGCCTTGGGGACAGAGACAGGGAGGGGGGCTGGGACATTGTTGACTGGTTACACGAATTCTTGGTAGGTTTAGCGGAAGCGGAGTGGGCGGTGGGATTGATGGTGGGATGGGTTTCGGCGAGAAGATAGGCCAATTCGCGTCGGGTCATGATGCATAGAGGGGATTAAGAGTTGCATTAACATTAGAAGTTATGGAATCCAAGGCATGATGGTTGAAGGTAAGAGTAAGAGACAGGTAGAGGAAATGATGGGTGTTGATGAATTGTTTACATTTGTTGTTGGTGTATGCGGGTGGTGCATTGACGAAATTGGGCGGGGAGGTGCATTGCAGTAGGTGTTTAGACCTGAGCAAGGGCAGAGGGCTCTCGGGCCAACTCGTACGCCTATGACGTACGTTCTAGGCTTGACACGAGCCTGCAGGTCATCTCTTAGGCTTTCTTAGGCTCTCTTGGATCCTCTTGGGCGCCAATCCCTTAAGTAAGCATGCCCGTTATGGCGTTATATTCATCACTTCGTCTGCCCAGTGGGTGTCAGTGCCCCTGCGCACTCACACGCTAAAGCGGGGCATCTCAAGGGGTCCCAAGACTGGATTCGGTACTTTCACTCTGCCTGGGGCATCTTCGCACCTCCCTTATTGCTCAGGTCGCGGGGGTTAAGTACCGGTTACCGAGTGCCCTTAATTCGTGGTTATGTGAGTGGGCTCCGCTCCGTAAACCGTTTTCCAAGGCCTGGAACGCTTCTAACTAGCTAGTGTCTGTGCATCTACTGGCAATCCGTACTGCGTCCAGCTTCTCAGCTGCGCGGCTCTACTTACACCTGTTCGGCACCAATTACACACCTTCTTTAGGTAGTACAGAGTACGATCCATTACACTGGAGTATCGCCTTGAGGCTTGAACCATCCACTCCTTTCTCTACTGCCAGAATGTATACCACTGTGACCATCCCTCTCGTTTCCACTCCATCCATGTCTCCTCTCTTTGGCTAAATCCAGCCTCGGTCCATTCATGTTCATGGAAATGACTGTTCATCATGGTGGGCGTCCCTGGCAAGAGTAAAGGCTGCAGCACTTGTCGACGCCGGAAGAAAGGCGTAAGTCAACCAGCCCTGTCCGCAACCTGCATCGACTTCTTCTCTTTTCTAATATCCATCTTCACCTCCTCAGTGCGACCAGAAACGCCCTATCTGCGGCCAATGTGTCTCTAGTGGCTATGAATGCGGAGGATACAATCGTGACAGAACCTTCATCCTACATCCTGCCACCAAGACCGTCCGACGTGCCATCTTCCTCCCACACTCCAAACCATCTCCTCTTGCCCTCCCCGGCTCGTTAAATCGAGATGCCGTCCAGTCGCAATGTAGGAGTCTGTTCTGGGATCTATACATGCCCCAAGGCGATTGTGTCTGTCGAGACGAGCACATCATCAGATGCGGCCACCCCATGAATTGGACCGAAGTCATTCAAAATGTCGCAAAGGAGGATTCATCCCTACAAGATGCTTTCTCCGCCCTGAGCATATCCAGAGTGGGCCAGGGCAATAAAGATTTCCGTCTCGTTCACGAGAGTACCAGACTCTACGGCAGGGCTCTGAAGGAACTCCAGCTTGCTCTCTACGATCCAGATCGCATGCATTCCAATCATGTTCTCATGGCTTGTATGCTTCTAGGTCTCTATGAGGTCTTTGAAGGGCCTGCCTTCAACTCCAAATCATGGATGGCGCACGCCCAGGGTGCTGCTCGGCTGATCGAGTTACGCGGTCCCGCTCGTCATCAAGAATGGGATGCTCATCATCCTTTTCTGGCTTCGCGAATTCCCACTCTATATGCTGCCATCCTATCCAGGCAAGCCACATATCTGGCCAATGAAGACTGGCTTACACTTCCCTGGGAGAAGCAATCCAGAACATATTTTGATAGGTTGATCGATCTCGCGGTTCATGTCCCGGGTATCATCGAGAAGTTCGACCTGATCCTCGACAGAGACCAAGACATCGAATTCGATCTTCTCCAAGTTCTCGAAGAATGCAAAGATCTACAGATCAAAATGAACATGTGGAAGGATGGCACTAAAGGAAGTGCTGTTCCTCGTGTAGAAAAGCACGATCCTACCGATTCCAACGGCTACCCTTTTGAAACCGATCTTTGGTTTGAGAATCATCTTTTCGTTCAAGCTCGTGTGGTATTTTATACCTGTTCCTTGGCGTTGGCAGAGGCCGTCACTGACATTGTACGAGCTCTCGATGTGAGAGACCACAAAATACCCGACACTGCCGAACCCAATCCCCTGCTGGAGCTTTTCACCCCAGAGAAACATGCTACCAATATATGTCGAACAATCCCATATTGTATTCAGCCCGAGATGAGTGCTTTAGGAGCAAATATCATCAACTTCCCGGCAAACCTAGCCTACGCCTACTATCAAAGAACTGGCCATAAGTCCGTCATCAAGTGGTTGGTCAAAGCATTTGAAGATGTTAAGACCAGAGGTGTCCATGTGGAGAACATCCTCCAAGGCTTATCTGAAATTTCTGCTGATAAAGATGTGCGTATTCATCGTTGGAAGAGAGCCTCAAGTGAAGATACAAATGAGCCTGGTTCTTCCCCAGGATCTGCCCAGACCATGTCAAGTTGCACCACAATCTTCGTTTATGAAGATCCATCCAAATCATATTACGATGCTAGCAATGACCCCGGGTAACACGGTCCCAGACGTGATACTGAGTTATTATGATCAGGATAAATGACGACATATCTTGTACCCAGCTATTACCCCAAGCTACTACAAGTGCCCAGCTGGGTACAGTTTCCGTGATCAGAGGGGTTTATTCACACCTTTTTCGATAAGCAGCCACTACTCGACAAGGCAGATGTCGAGCGATCCGAAGTTCGATCTAGGCCCAAAGATCAACGTACAGTGTCAGTAATACCACAGCACGCGATCATGTCGACAGGTCTGGCGGGGACAATTTTGTGCGCTCCCAAAAGGGTGGCGCGAACGGAAAAACCGGGTGTGACAGGAGGTCCGCCTTTCTCGTTCCTCCCTGACAGGGCATGAGGCCCCTTGGATTTGTGCCTGCAATTATCATGTTGTGGGACCTATTTAATCTTGTCCATTGTGTGGCTTTCGAACAGGGACATGCAGAAGTATTCTTCAACCATTTACGTTGATGCAATGAACGTCGGTATCTCAGTGATTGCCCATTATATGTACATATGCTGTGGACACATGATGTTGGCAGGGTCTCAATCAAGTCCCCTCACCGCTTCGATGTTGAGTCTTGACTGCCACGTAATTTCCCGTCACCGACGGGGTCCAGCTTGTCACTTGGTGTTTGCTGCGGTGCTAATGGTTGTGGTGACTCAGTGAATGGCCACAAACTTTCTAGACGGACGATCATTGATGTCTCCTTCATAAAGTCAGACTGTCTACTCCGTAATGATCACAGGACGTGGGGCAATAAAGGTTGAATGGCTTTTCCGAACCTTTTGCCTGCATGATATTTTATGCGTGATCTGTGCAAATCTGGTGGGGCCGGTCCTAGACATGGCCAGTGCCTTCGCTCATTCAACTCATGCGCAAAACCATGAGCTTCGCGAAGCGTATACCGGGTCAATGCGACAAGCTATTTTGACATGTTCTTTTCTCATGACTCCAGCCCGTCCCACGCCAGGTTTTGCGTCTCGGGAGAATGGCTTAAAGAGTACTTAGTGGAAGTCCCAGCGTCGCCGGTGTGGCTGGGACGTTTGATAGCCCACATTTGAAAGAAGGCACCAGCTCCTTTCACTCCTGTTAAGAAAAAGGCTTCTCGTGACCGTGGCGTGAACTCGCTACTAGAACTCGCTAATGAGAAAGTGGTCGGACGGCCCCTTTGGGCGGAACAGGGATCAGCGAGTAGGATTTTCAGCCTACAGGTACGCGTAAGTCCAGTCCAGCTGAAGCACATCAATCAGTTGCCATCTTGCCTATTCTGGACTTGACTTGACGTACGGAGCACTGTCCCCTCCCAGACCAAGTGCAAAACATCCATCCCAACAAGCGTATGGATACCACTGAGGTTGCGCCCTGAGTGTGATGGAGTTGTGCGATCACAAGCCACTCAAGATGCATAACTGATGTCCGGTGATTCCGTTAGTGTTAGACTACGAGTAGTCGCCTGCTTCAAGGAAGCTCATGGTGGCAATCGATAAGGACTGCCAGCTGCGAGGTGCTGGCAATTTTAGGCCAGGGCGACCTTATGGGGAACTGTTTCAGAAGTCAGGCTGGGAATCTTCCTGGCCAGTCGTGAGCCGTGGAAGCAACGTTCCATCGGAACCTTACGTTTCTCCATTCCGGGTTTAACCTCTTCTGGGGTAGCGCATCTTGGGCTTGCGCTTACTGATTGGCGTGCATCTAACGACAGCAGCCCCGGCAGCCCCTGACCTTTGGCGAGAGGCGTGAGGCCGATCTCTCCACGGACACTCCATAAAATCCACGATGGAGTGCTTCAGCCTCCTCCAAGGGGTTCTCCTTTCTCACCTTTCGCGAGCTCCATTGACGTCTGTCGTCCAAGCTTTCTCGTATCCACTAGGGTGGCATGACCCTCCACCCAATCGTTGCTCCCACAGCTTGCCTTTCCTAGCTGGTGTGCGATCCAAGCTTGACAGCAAGCTCCCGCAAGGCTTCTCACTGGCTGCTTAACGGCGCCCGGGCTCTGGCTGGATCTTCCTCGCTAAGGCCACGTTCAAGGGTTATCCCTTGACCGCCAATGGAATGCCGATGTTTCATATCCCCCCCTTATGCCGCTATGGCCTAGCTACGTGTAGGGGGCTACAAACTACGAGCCACACGTCTATATACAATCGACCTGGTCATCCGGTCAGGATGTGTCGCTTCTCTACAACCACTTCTGCATCCCTCTCTTTCAGCAGACCCGTCATTCCTTTCCTTTTGTCTCGCCTGGTGCAGACAATTCCGTTCATTCATTTAGCAACTTACGAAGAAACGCGCTGACGACATTCCTTTGTTGGCCTAACAAAACGTGAGTGCCTGGTTCTCCTTTCATTACTTGATGTCATTTGGGCTGGAGACAGCTTGATTGTTACCCCGTGCCATCGTGGACAATGTTGCTTTGTCGTGCTATTGTTCACACAAGATTCACCATTGTGAAGCTTTTGTGGCACGGAATCATTAATAAACGACCATCGCTCTGCATTAAAAATATTTCCGAACTGCATTAATCAACCTTGCTACTACTTCTGATACAAAGTTCCAAAGACTGACCAGCTTTACTAGCATCACTCTCGACAGAATCACTACAATTCTTGCAGGGACAAGAAAACAACCGATCTCAACAGAACACAACCTCCAGCTTCTTATCAAACTCGATCAACCATGGGGTTTTCTATCGAGAAAGCTTCTGTCTTCTTGACAGCCATGCTCGCCGCCGTTGCCCAGGGCCATATGATCATGAGAACCCCGGTTCCTTACGGCAAGAGTAGTCTCAACAATTCGCCTCTCGACGCCTCCGGTTCCGACTTTCCATGCAAGCTTCGATCTGGTGCTTTTGACAAAGAAGGCGCCAGCAACGTCATGGCGATCGGCTCCCCTCAGACCTTGAGCTTCACTGGTAGCGCAGTCCACGGCGGCGGATCCTGCCAGATTGCTTTGACGACCGATCTTGCACCTACCAAGGACTCCAAGTGGATGGTCATCAAGTCGATCATCGGTGGCTGCCCTGCTAATGTGCCCGGGAATCTTCCAGCGGATCCCGCGGGAACTGGTGCTTCCACCTTCCAGTACACCATCCCTGAAGGGATCGCTCCCGGAGAGTACTCGCTCTCATGGTCCTGGTTCAATCGAGTGGGTAACCGCGAGATGTATCAAAACTGCGCACCAGTCACTGTCACCGGTGGTACAAGCAAGCGCGACACCCAGGATAGGCGCCGATTCGAGGCGGTCGAGGCTGCTAAGCTTCGCGCACGTCAACAGCAGTCAGCCAGCTTCCCGGATCTGTTCGTCTGCAATCTCGCTGGGATCAACAGTTGCACCACGCAAGAGAACTTCGAGTACGAATTCCCCAACCCTGGACCGGAGGTGCAGACCGCAGGCAACGGGCCGTTCACCATGCTGAGTGGAGGCGGTGGTGCGGGCGGGCCTGCCCAGCAGCCCACCGGTGCTGGTTCTCAACCCACTGGCAGCCCACAGCCATCCTACGAGGCCCCCAATCCTGCATCTGGTCCTGCTACTGTCACACAACCAGCGGGCTCTCAAGATCAGCCAACGGGCGCCCCCACCGGCAATCCTCAAGGCTACCCGCAAGGCAATCCTCACGGAAACGGACCTCCCGCAGGCGCAACTGGCTCAGCCGGCAACTTTGCGGATGGAGCATCGTCGTCCTCGTCTCCAGCTGCAACCAGCAACGTGGTGAATCCAGTGAACACCGACGTCACGCCGATCCAAACCCCCGCTCCTGACTCACGGTCAGGCGACACGACCGGCAGCAACAGCAGCAATACTGGAGATTCCGGTACCGCTGCTGGTACTCAATCTGGGCCCTGCACGTCCGAGGGGGAGTATAACTGCCTGACCTCTTCCTTCCAGCGCTGTGCAAGCGGGCAGTGGAGCCCCGTGATGCCTCTCGCCGCGGGAATGCAGTGCAGCACGCCGGGGTTGTCTGCAAACTTCGCTATGAATGCAGGCAAAGTCAAGCGCCACTCCCACGGAGCCCATTTCCGGATCTTCGACAGCGTACATTAGACTTTAAGTCTTCGCATATCATCCATCACCTGATGTAACCTTTATTGTCGAATAAAAGAAAAATCCAGAATATGAATCGCGATGAAAGTTTCATTCTGTTTTCGTTTGGATTGGATCTTTCGCCATTTTAAAAGAGGGGAGGCCACGTCCTTTCCGAACCCGCATTTAAAGCAAAGCATTGGAGATCTTATTGGAGTATGGCTTTAAAAGCTCACTGTTTATCATGATAAACTGAACAAACCATTCTTTTCTTTCTTCGTAATTAACTGTTTTTCTATAAACTCACTGTAGAATTTTCTCCCGAAACAATGGGGTTGAAGTGAGTTGAGGGAGAGTGAGCAGAGGTGCCTACGTTAACTAGTAGGGGGAGAAAGAGGGTACGGTCATGAAGTAACGAAAACTCGGTTTCTCTAGCTACTCTAACTGAACCCCATAGAGTATCTTTTGCTGAAATTCTAACTATTTTCGAGTATTCTAGGGTCTGAATCATCGTCATCATTGGACGAGTATTTACTCATACTGTGTGGCATCTTCAACTGATGATGTAACTTGTACTCGTAAAACGCGTAAGGACAGGACATGAATGAAAAGAAGCAAGACCAATTGGTTGGGAGGCCGTCCAGCCCACTGTGGAGGATGGCTCATTATTGTAATTAGCAAGTTACGTACTAACCAACCAAGACGCTCCATTGCCCCTCAAGATCAAACTCACCAAACTCCAAGCATCAACCTCCCTCTCCATGTATCCTTTCAATTCATTTCCTCATCCTCAAGAGCAGGCTCGCCTGCCGTGCGACCGAGTCGTGCACCAGCATCTCCTGCACCGAGACTCCGTGATAGCCTCGTTGGCGCAACATCTCCGTCAGGAGGCACGTCGCAACGAAGTCCCCGCCACGATGATCCGAGAACGGCACATCTCGCGCGACTTGTTCGTTCTGGAGCTTGAGGATTTTCCGCCAGAGTGCGAGGAGATCTGCTTCAATGAGACGGGTGTCTTCTTCCCCTGTGCTTGCTTCGTCTCGGTTGGCCTCGTTCATATTTGGAAACGTGCCAGTGGATTTGTGTTCGGGGGCATAGTAAGGGTGGTTTGGCACACCCTCGAACACATGTGCTTTACTCAAGATGTCACCGACTCGCATGCTGTTCGAGACGTCGGAAACGATGATCTGAACGAGTTTCCCCAAACACTCTACCAGCGCCATAGCCTCATTCTCGTCTATGATTTGGTCACAATAACCAATTTCCAGCTGCAGGTTTCTCTCGTCTTTTCCACCTTTGGGTTCCACAAGGGGAGTCGACAGAACAGCAATGTCGCTGCTGTCGACGTCTTTCCTCCACGCTTCGCTGTGGCAACCAAGATCTCCGATGTTGACTTGATCCATGATCTCAGGCAAGTTTTGGTGTTGTACCACTGAACTAAAACGTGTATGACTCGGCCAATTTGTACAGGTTCGGATGATGTCACGAAATCCCATGTTCTCGTAAGGAAGTGATGCTGTATGCTGCTTCTGGATTGACATGACCAGTTCGTTGAGCGTGGTGGCGAAGTCGAACTTCACGCGAACAGGGGCGATGTTTAGAAATGGCCCGATTGCATCCTTGTGTGGGATAGAGCTAGCAGCGCGCCCAGAGACAAGAGTTCCAAAGGTGATATCAACATCTCGTAATGGAGTCATTCCATGTTCGTGCTGTGTTGAGTTGAGATGTGAGAGAACTAAAGTCCATGCTGCTTTCACAACCGTCGCTTGCGTGAAATCTTGATGTTGGGGTTCAACAACCCATGGAATCGTGTATTTGTGGGTCTTATTGAGCGGATATGCGTAGGTTGGTTTGATTTGGGAATTGAACGGTGTCATTGACGAATCCTTCAGGAGTTCGCTCCAATAGTTCAATGTCTTCTGAGAATGAGTAATGCCATGGACGGCCTCGACAAGAGCAGAGAAAGATGGCTGGGGCGATATCTCAGTACTCGACAATGCCTTGTGCAGAGTCTCCCAGACTCGTGGGAAAGAAACCCCATCATACTGAGCGTGAGACAAACGCAATATCAGGCACTGCTCATTCTGAAGGCTAGTGCTCAATAATGTGAACTGTGTCACGGGGTTCAACATTTCAGTAGGCCGCTCTGTGTCTCTCGACAGCCACTCATTTCGTGCTGATGTTAAGTTACTTATGCTACTTTTGTGGTGATCAAGCTTCGGTGAAAAATCACGGAAGATCACTTGTAATAGGTGTCCATCTTCGAGGAAGAACCCCGTCCGCAAGATTGGAATAGTAGCTACGGTGGCTCGAATTGCTTCTGACAAGCGGCTGTAGTCAAAAGGCTCACTCGGCGTGAGGATCATGTAGGTGACAAACCCTTTTGGCTGTAAAATGCTGAATCCCACGGCCCAAGACTGAAAATCAGTAGCTGGAACCACATCCTCAATCTCCAAGTTGTTCTGGCCAGCTCTGCTATAAATGATTTGCTTCAAAACAGCTTCATCCCGGTCTACCAGTGAGAAAGGTAATGGCCCACCTGGGGAGACGCAGGTGTCGGGCTCCGGCCGCCCGCTGTTGAGTTCCATTTGATCTGCCATATCTCGAAGCACGGGATACTCAAAAACTACCTGGACACTCAAGCGCAACTTGCGGGCGTTCGCAAGACCGGAAAGTTTCATCGCCGCAATCGAGTCCCCACCAACCCGAAAGAAGCTGTCATCAGCACTAATATGGTCCGCAGAGATCCTCAACACCTCTGCCCAAAGCTTTTGCAGAAGGACAGCCATTGAAGTCTCGGGTGCACATTTACTGGCCGAAGATGAAAGGAAATGCTCGCGACGTTTATCCTTGACCACCATGTTTGCCTGGTCGACGAGCCTTTTTCGATCCACTTTGCCTGATGTTGCCACCGGGATCTCGTACAATGGCACCCACATCGTGGGCATCATGTAAACGGGTAGAAAGGAAACCAAAGCTTTGACGAGTGTCTTCAATTCCGTTTCTAGTGTCAGACTCGTAGGGAATGCTCCTTTACTCTCCACAGAGAGGCCTAGTTCAGCGTAGAACTCAGGCTTGATGGTTAGAAAAGCAACGAGTGTTCGAGCTCGTCCATCTTCATTCCGAGAAGCTTCAACGACGACTTGGTCAAGTGCAACCATATTCTTCTTGATGTGATGTTCAATCTCACGGAGTTCCACGCGTTGGCCATTGACCTTAACTTGACTGTCTTTCCTGCCAACAAAGATGATTGTTTCGTCGTCCGCATATTTGACTAAGTCACCAGTCTTGTACAATTTAGTTCCCGGCTTTGAAAGCCAGGGGGGGTTGAGGATGAAGGCAGCATCCGTCTTTGCTTGGTCATGCAAATAGCCCCGTGCTAAAGTTGGTCCCTCAATAAGCAACTCCCCAACTGCCCCGATCGGCACAAGCTTGTCGTGATTCTCTGGATCGACGATCCATGTGGCACATCCAACAGCACGGCCAATGTTTGCCCCGGTCTTCGCTGTCATCTTCTGGTTCATCACAGCCGCAAGCGATGTCTCAGTCGGACCGTATCCATTTATGAGATGTGCGCATTGGGCCCAGCGCTCCACAAGAGCGGTGGGAGCAGGCTCTCCAACCATTATGCAGGTCTTCAAACTAGGGAGATCCTCCGGGGCAAGCACTGATAGCACAGAAGGTGTAAGTGCAAGTACCGAGACCTCCATGTTCCTCAATGCTTGCTGCAATCGACTGTCCCGGTCAAGGGAACTTGGTATACAAGTACAGCCTCCCATCATCAGAGTTGTGAGGATCTCCAGGCAAATGGCGTCCACACTATACGAGGCGAATTGGAGAACTCTCGATGTTGGACCAATTTGATGCACGGGACCGTGCTCCAGACCAGAACTTGAGTATGCTTCATGTGTGATGACGACTCCTTTAGGTCTGCCGGTACTCCCGCTCGTGTAGATAAGATATGCCGCGGAGGTGCAGTCGCGGTGAAAGTCAGTTGCTTCTAAACTCTGAGTACTTGTGGACTGAAGCGAGACAGGATCAACGATAACGAGCACCTTGCTAAGCCCAGCACAGAGCTCGGCATTTGTGCGGGTGGTCAGGATTATGGAGCAGTTAGTCTGCCTGACCATTTCGCTGCGGCGTTCCTCTGGGTGAGCTGGGTCCCATGGGAGAAAGGCACCACCAGCCTTGAGTACTGCGAGCATGCCGACCACCATCCAGGCAGACCTTTCGAAGCAAACCGGAACGATACTTTCTGGCGTCACACCAACCTCTTTGAGTTGCAAGGCTAGGCGAGAAGAAATACTGTCAAGCTGCTCATGCGTCCATTCAGCATCCCAAGCGCACACCGCTGGTCGAAGAGCAAAGGATTTGGAGCGATCATGAATAACTTCGTGTATTGTTTTATGGATCATCTTGGGGACATGTTTATTCCAGATCTTAAGCGTCATCGCTGCATGGGAACTTATTTTTTCGACTTCGCCCAGCAGCCTATCAGGTTCGCTTTCACTGAGTTGCTGAATGGTGTATGTGAAATGCTCGATAACTCTTTCCGTGTCGATTCTCGACATGGCCTCAGAATTGGCGTAGATTATAGTTTCAATCTCGTCACCACGGATTCTGCAGTCCAGAGCAAGAGGATATGATGTGTAGTTGGACAGGAGTGGGTGAATTTGTTCAAGGTCGAGCCAGGTTATGCCAGCCTCTTCTTCCGCTTGTATCATGAGGTGGGTTGTTGCATCACAAGCTTTTAGAGCATCGTCACTAGCTTGTCGTATATTTTGGATCCCAAAATGTTGAAAAGGAGTGATGGAATTCAAGTCGTCTTGGGCATTCGTGAGAAAATTGTACACTGACTCGTCCCTTATCACTTTCATCCGTGTTGGTATTGTAGCCAAGGTTGGCCCATCCACCTCTGTGATACCAGGAAGGTCTGTGTCTCGGCCATGCAACGTCGACCAGAATACCACATCATCAGTGTTCGTGTAGTGACTCAGTGTCAATGACCAAGCTGCTCTTAACAGGGCCGCAGTGGTAACGTGAGCCTGGACACTGCCCTGAAGCCGGATCTGCAACGATATCTTCTCGATGTTTGTTTCTGAGTGGTATCCTTCAGCCAAAGGTTTGGGAAAGTGTACCAAGTCCAAGTCACTGAAGTATCTTCGCCAAAAGTCTAGGTTCGATTTCATATCGCTTTTCATTACATGATGCACGAAGACATTAAAGGCCACTGGCAGTGTTATTGCGCGATTGTTGTACAGTTTTCCAACATCCTGAAAGAGCAGGGGCAATGACCAAGCATCGAAAATGGCATGATGAGCTGAGAAGATGAAATAGGTGTTTTCTTCTCCGTCGTCGAGTAGCAGATATTGTGCCAGAGGATCACCTAGGCCTGGTGAAAAGACAACTTTCTGCAGCGCCTTCAGCGGATCCTTGACGGTGGAGTGTTCGACCCTGATTGGCGATTTTACCAATGCTTGTAGCATTTTGGACTCATGAACAATGATCCGTGATCTCAGAATGCCGTGATGTAGGCTGACTGTCTCCCATGCATCTATGAACGCGGCACGATTGATAGTCCTTGGAATCCGCCAGATCTGCTGAGCAATGTATGTGCCTGGCTGCTTCTGAGAAAGAGCTAGGAACCCTTCTTGTAACGGTGTGCATGGGTAGATATCTTCGACCTCCGTTGGACTGAGATTACATTGAGCTGTACATGAGTCAACGATTCTCTCCAGCGAATCATCTTGTTGTATTGTAAGGAGAGAGAAAGGAGTCAAATCCCGTTGTATTTCCGGTTGAATGGCGCTCAAGGGTTGAATTGACAAGGCCATTACAGCAAGGACAGGACTACTGAAAATAGTGGCAACGGGCAAAACAAGGTTCTTAGACCTAGCTGCCATACTCAACTTGATTGCCACGATGGAATCGCCTCCAAGGTGCAAGAAGTTGCTGCGTCGATCAATACGATTCACTGGGATATCAAGGAGCACTGCCCAGAGATCTCTTAGCTCGTTTTCGTAGATTGATTGTTCTAATGTATGACGCTCGACGTGGGCATTGCCATTGGCTTTAATATCTTGCTCATCTTCGTGGCAGTTTGCCTCCTCCTTGTGGTCAAGCTTGTGATACAATTGGAGATAGGACATGATATCGCCCACCGACTTGGTATGTTTTTGATCACCTAGCTGGAGGCACACGTCTTGTAGTATATGTAGAACTGATTCCAGCTCGGTTTCCGGTACAACGGTAGGGTCATAACGAGCGGCAATGTTCATACCAAATTCATCGTAAGGGGCAAACTCTAAAATCAGCGGATAGACGTCAACGCTGCCCCTGTCGTCCGGCGTGATGCTTGAGTCTAGGAAGGTGAACGTCTCTATTCCAGATTCCGCCGATTGCACAACCAGGAGACTTGTAAAATTGGTTGCGTTTTCGTTCTCTAACATTTGCTTTATCTTCTGCAGCCCAGTATGCTCATACAAGATTGTTTCTGTCGCTTGTCTTTGCATTTGGTCGAGCAGGTCGCTCACAGATTGCTCACGTTTGAACTTCACACGAACCGGTACCGTCGCCACCATAGGGCCAATGATTTCCATTGCTGAAATAATCGGAGTATTACGACCATTTAGAACCGCACCAAACACAATGTCGTTGGAAGTTGTCAAGTGAGAAATGGCGAGAGTCCACGCTGCTCGAATTATGACCGATTTCGTGATATCGAGGATATCTGGGAGCTCACACCTGACTCCGCCTTTGGTCTTTAGATGGTACGGACCAGTCATCTTGGTCGTAGGGAAGTTTGTTGGGGAGCTGTCAGCTAACTCTGAACACCAAAATCGTTCTGCATCGATGCTTCTTGATGTTGTGATGTATGCGATAAAGTCTTTGTACTGGGCGGGAGATATCTGTGTGCTGCTCCGGTACCATTGTTCGATACACTTGAAAAGAAGCTGTAGAGACCATCCATCATAGATAGCATGGTGCATCGTCAGTGTGAAAACATGACGCTCATCATCAACTCTCCCCACAGCAAACACACTTAAACGAGCTCCAAAGTCTGCCAACGCAGGAGTGCTGCTCTGTTCCTCGTCTGTTACCCATGATAATGTCTCTTCAATAACTGCTTGTAGCATTTGAGCCTTGAATAAGAAGATTCTCGTCCTCAAGATGTCAATACCAGCATAGGCAAGTTCGCACGCTCTCATGAAACGAGGCATATCGATAGCTTGTGGTAGCAGGATGGAGTGCTTCGTGATATAACTACCAGGAAACCTGATTGCGGCTGCAACTAGACTCTCTTGTTGAGGGCTACAAGGGTAAGCGTCTTGAATCTGCGAGATTGAGACACCACACTGGGCAGCGGCAATCGAACGAGAAGCAGCCGTAGGATCACGAAGGTCGTCACCGTTGAGTAGTGAGAACGGAGTTTCATTAATCTGGGGAACCAATAGTCTCTCATGATTGGCCTCAACAATGATAGCCATCTCAAACAAACGTGGATTTTGGAATACTTCCGTAACAGTTAAATGCATGCCCTGGCTTCGAGAAAGGCTAGTCAGCTTCATAGCAGCCACCGAATCTGCTCCGATATGGAAGAAATTGCTTTGCCTTGATATCTCTTCCATCTCACATTTAATAAGCTGAGCCCACATATTGGCCAAAGTTCTCTCCATTGAGGACGAAGGCGGTTCGATAGGCCCAGCTTCTCGAACCAGTGAGTAAGACCTCATTTGCGAAGATGTGAGACTTCTTACCATTTCATGCAAGAGTCTCCTATTTAGTTTTCCGGAAGGCATGAGAGGGACATTCGACAGCGGAATGTACAATTCCGGAACCATATATGCGGGTAATGATGTTTGAACGGCGTCTTTGGCATGCTCAAGCTGATTTTTGAGTCTTTCATCATACTTCAGAGCACACGAGCTGCCAGTTTCATCTGGTGGATTCTCCGTGAGAAAAGCAATCAGAACTCGTCTTCTCAGTTTGTCTACGAGAGCAAATTCAATGAAAAGTTGAAAGTGGCTGTCAAGCATTTTGCTGATTTCGTGTTTGACGGCGTCGAGCTCGACTCGCTGACCACGAATTTTGATTTGTGATGTATCCTTTCTTCCCACGAAGCTAAGGGATCCGTCACTTTCGTACCTGACAAGGTCGCCAGTTCTGTAAACTCTGTCGAACGGAGTGGGAAGCCACACAGGTGGTTTGATAAATGCAGCTTCGGTCCTTGAGATGTCTCCAAGGTAGCCTGTTGCAAGTGTTGGCCCTTCTAGAATGAGCTCCCCCACTGCGCCAATGGGAACTGCTTGCAGATATTCATTCACTACCCAAGATCGGCATCCAATAGGCCGTCCGATGTTTGATATGTCCTGAAGGTCAACAAAACTAGGATTCAACGTGGCAGCAATACACGTTTCGGTTGGTCCATATCCGTTGATGATTTCTATCGAGCTTCGTTTCCAGCGTCGAATTGATTCGGTTGACATTGTCTCTCCAGCGATAACAATAGTCTGAAGTAGTGGCAAGTCATCCTCAAGTAGTAGTTCGGCAACAAGAGGGGTCAAATTAGCCCATGTTATCCGCATGTTTTTGATGACGTGTGCTAGATTGGACCAACGATCGCCCTCCGACGGTATGCAAACAACGCCTCCAACAGTAAGTGTGGTGAGCATCTCTAAAAGACAGGCATCGAAGCTATATGATGCAAATTGAAGGACCCTAGAAGAGCTATGAAGCTTCAGGGGAGCAGTGTGAGCTTGGGCTGCTGATACAAACGCGGAATGAGACAATATTACCCCTTTGGGATTTCCTGTTGAACCGGAAGTGAAAACGATGAACGCAGAGTCATTAGAATTGTTGTTTGCTAAGGCTAGCTCATCAACATCCCGTCCCTGTGTTTTCGTCAGTATTTCTGGTTCGAGGATGTAGACGGCTTTCGATAGGTTTCTCGCGAGGCTCTCTTGATTTCGAGAAGAGATGATCAGTCTTGGAGATACCTGGTCAATGATTCTCTGGAGCCTAGCAGCTGGCTGAGACGTGTCTAGGAGAACGAAGCTGCCCCCAGCCATCAACACTCCTATCATAGCGACAATTGTCCATGCAGATTTCTCAAAGCATAGAGGCACCACGGTTCCCGTGGTGATATCAATCTTACTTAGATCTCTTCTAAGACTGCAACATAGTTCGAGAAGCTCCCCATACGTCCATTGCGCATCCCAGGAGTCGACTGCAGGGTCGTTTATTTGTATTCTGGCACGATTCACGAAGGCAGATTGAATTGTGCCCTCTGCACGAAGCTGATTAGGGCCAGCAATCTCGATGATTCTTTCTCGGCCTTTCGTACTTAATACCTCGATACAAGATAGCGGCCCTGTAGGAGATTTCGTGATTGAAAGCAGCACCGCTTGGAAGCTTTCCAAAACATGCGATGCATGATCCGTTGACAACAAATCCGAGAGATATTCCATCTTCACGAAAAGACGTTTGTCAAATTCATGCACCCCAAGTGCTAGGCCATACTCGCTGGGGTCCGACTCGCCAATCTTTTCAAATTCAATACTTGATCTTGCTGCTACTCTGGACATTTCGTGCTTCTGGTACGACAGAATAGAATTAAATAGCGGCCGATGCATTCCCAGAGCATGCTGAATATCTCCTAGAGATAGGAACTGATGTTCGCGGTCTACAACCATCTGAGATTGTAGCGAGTTCAGCATGTCAACCACCGTTGACGCGGAATCGAGCTTGATTCTGCAAACAAGTAGATTTGCAAATGCGCCAACCGCACCCTCAATACCCTTGATGGGTATGTCACGGCCGGAGGTAAGATAGCCAAATAAGATATCACTGCTACCTGTGAAAGCTTGAACAATCAAGGACCAGCCAAAGTGAAAAAGCATGGGCATTGTAATACCATGTCTCTCACAAAAAGCCCATAAGTAGGACGCATCGCTCTCGTTGACGATAGAACGAAGTGCTTGACTCGTTGAATGGGGATTTACAAGGTCGTTGAGCTTCGGGAGGTAACATGGCTCGGCCCCGTAGAGTCGAGCCTTCCAATATTGCAGCGCTGGAGCCCTTTGCTGATCTTGCACGTGGATGAAATATTCTTCCAACGCAATCGGGGGTTGTCGCGACAATTTTCCATCATATGCTTGTAGCATGTCATAAACGATGTTGTCAATTGACAGACCATCCATCATTGCATGACTGATTTTCAGAGAGCAAAATATCTTATCTCCACAGCCTCGGAATATGGTGAAAGAGTGGAGCAGATCTCCTGGCTTATAGGCGGCGATTCTGGCGCCCGGCTGAGGAGGCTCGGGCCCATCCCATTTTCTATGTGCAATCCGAAGGCGAGGATTTTTGAGAACTACTTGCAAGAAATTCGCCTCCAACGTATTTTGCTCGAAAAAGACTGTCCTTAGGTTTGCATGACGAGCTACAACAGCTCCCCATGCTGCTGCGAGACGGCTAGTTTCAATGTTTTGGTTACCTGGGGCCATTTCGACCATCCAGATTGTCTCAGTCACATATAATGATGGACTCTTAGCCTGGCTCAGGAGTATGCCTTGTTGCATTGGCGTACAGACATAGATATCGTCAACATCTTCCTCGAAGTTGACATTCAACTCTGGTGCTACTCTTGAAACCAAATCCCCGAGTGACTCGTAAGTCAATTTTGCATACGGAAAATCACTAGGTGAATAGGGATGCTTCTCGATTCGAGAAATCGATGTTGAGAGATTGCTCAGGAGATGACGAAATGAGTCTATCCACTCAATGATACGAGTTTGGTGAGCCATCTTGGAATTCCACACGAATGTACATGCCAGGCGGTCATGTGAGACATCCACAGATATCTCAAATAGACTGAAACGCTCCATGCGGCCTGCAACAGATTCTCGCGTTGACCATGGCACCTGCTGAAACAATGCAGTCGGACGCTCAATGTGGTGATACGAGCCAGAAAAGTTGAACACGATTTCCATAGGCTCTTCAATTTTAAAGACTTTTCTGCCCTTAGAATTGAGGTAGCGCGAGGTAAAGTAGCCCCAGCCCTTCCAAGGGACTGAACGATGAGCATCCTTTGTGTAACGGATCACATCAATGAAATCCTGTCCAGTGTCGATTTTGACCAGGACGGGATGTAACGTAGTAAACCAGCCGACTGTTTCAGTGATATCAATATTGGCATCCCAAGTCTCACGACCGTGCCCTTCCACGTAGGGTACCGGAGTCTCCCGATCGGGGAAGACTTTTGCAAAGGCACAGATCAAGCTTGCAAGCAAAATCTCATTGGTGTCTGCCTTTGTAAGTCTGGGCCCGTCTCGAAGGAGGAAGCCGCTGGCTTGTGTGTCCAAGATAAAAGTTGATTCGACCTTGTCAAAGTGCTTGTTTGCTTGACCATGCATAGCCCAGAACGAAAGATTTGATGATGGAAGCCTCGAATGGTAGACGTTGGACGGATCAAGATGACTTTCTCCAAAGTTTTCTTGCAATTTGAGCCAGTGCCGGAACGGCATGACAGGTTTCTGAAGGCCAGAATTAGGCGTTCTCAAGACGCTCTCAAGGTCATTTAGGATCACTCGCCACGATACAAGGTCAAAAGTAGCATGGTGAACTGTTATCGAAAGGAATGATTTCTGATCGAAGTGGAAAAGTTGAGAGACAACTACTGGTCCATGGCGGATATCTAGCATTTTTTGGGCGTCCTCAGCCATAGCTTCAATTTCTTCACGCTTTGATACTTGGTGGTATGCGAATTGGTGTGATGTCGAAATTTCAGGTGAGATACTCTGCATCCAACGGCCAGCTTCATCCACATGAAATCGAGCACGTAACATATCATGGCGTGCCACAATAAGGTCCAGAGCCCTTCTTAGCTCAACTTGATTCATAGTCTTATTCGAGAATAATAGAAAGCTTTGGTTGAAGTGATTCTCTCCGTAGGGAGCGGCTTCGAAGAACATTCGCTGTATCGGGGACAAGTTGAATGAACTACCATCATCGGGTTCAAGAAGGGGTCTTATTGCTGAAGTCTGCTTAACATGAGGGGCGATTTTCCTGATCGTTTTGAATCTGAGGATGTCATGGACATTGGTTGCAATTCTTTTCTCCCGACACAGTGCTCTTATCTGCATAGCCGAGATTGAGTCGCCTCCGAGCGAGATAAAACTTAGGTTAGGGTCGATTCGTTCGACAGGAATATTGAGGACTTCTGACCAGATATTGATCAAAAGGCTCTCGACCATGTTCAAAGTCTCCAATTGCAGGTCTCTATTATGCATCGTAGGATCAATCTCAGCGATAGTTGATTCTTCAAGAGTCTCAATCCACCTGGTAATTCCATTTCGATCGATTTTTCCAGATGCCAGCAACGGGAGCTGCCAGACCGGAATGATAAGCGACGGACGCATAAACAATGGCAGGCTAAGTGCCAGGTGCTCGCGTATTGACAGAAGTGCAGGTTGGACTCCAGAGAGACAAGCTCCTTGCAAAATATTTAATCCCGCCTTACCCTCTGGTGCTACTATACAGCCTGGTTTGAGCCGCACAACAGCTATCAACCGCATTTTGTACAGACCTTCCCGAGGTATCAACACAAGGGAAGCCGCTGCTTTTGCAGAGCTCTGAATACATTCCTCAATCTCGCCAGGTTCAACTCGCTGCCCATTGATTTTGATTTGTGTATCCTTACGAGCAACGAACTGAAGGCTACCATCATGGCCTTCGCGGACCAGATCTCCGGTCTTATAGGCTCGTTCTCCGGCGACATTTACAAATGAGGCAGTTGTCTTTTCCGGGTCATTGAGGTATCCTCGGGCCAGGTTTTTTCCTATAATAAGCAACTCCCCGACATCACCTGATACCACGAGCTTGTTGTGATCTTCAGGATCAACTATTCGTATGTGGCAACCAACAGGACTACCTATATTCGCAGGAGAGTCTGCAAGGAGTTGAGGATTCACAGTTGCCGAAACAGCTGTCTCTGTAGGCCCATACGCGCAGAGGAGATTGGGTATTGTGGACCACAACGATACATGACTCTTTTTGACGGGTTCTCCGACCATAACCAGCGTTTCCAGGAGTGGCAAGTCTGTTGGTTTGAGTAAGGAAGCAACGCTTGGTGTCAGAATCGCCAAGTTAACGCGTGAACTGTTCATAAAGCTGACCAAATCGTTCAATCGCGCTTCGGTACTCGGAATGCATACCACTCCCCCGAAAATGAAAGTAGTGAGTATCTCGACGAGGCATGCATCAAAAGTGTACGACGCGAATTGCAAGACTCGTGAAGACGAACAGACCCTGTGGGCTGGGCCATGGGCAAGAGCGCATGAGTAGAATGCTCTATGCTCAACGATACAACCCTTAGGTCGGCCGGTGCTCCCAGATGTGAAGATGACATATGCAGCATTATCTGGTGCCGCCATGTATTCATTCCCGACTTGGACAGGCAGATCGGATATAGCGGAAGCGTTAACAACGACGGTATGATCGACGATTCCACGGCATAGTTCCTCATTTTGGACAGAAGATAGGACAATTCGGGCTTTGGTTTCGTTGATGATGGTCCGCAAGCGATCGACGGGGTAGGTGGGATCTAAAGGCACAAATGCACCACCTGCCTTCAGAACGCCGAGAATTGCAACAATAGCCCAAGCTGATTTCTCGAAGCAGAATGGTACTAGAGATTCTGGGCCAATGCCCAGTGAGATTAACCTGTTGGCTAGCCTGGAGGCTAGGTCCTCGAGCTCCTCATATGTCCATTTTGCGTCCCATGCACTGATGGCTTCGCTCTTTGGACTTTGTTTCGAGCGACGTGCAATAGCCTGATGAATGCATAATTTTTTATCGTTGTTTCTGTCTATCTGCCGAAGTAAGACGTTTGTTTGACCAGCAGCATTCAAATGATCCCTTCCAGAGGCCGCGATGCCGGTGGCCACGGGGGAAATGGTACCATTGCTCATGTGTGCTAGTTTTTGACAGATGATGATGGTTTCTCTAAGTGAGGGGCACGCCTTTAACAAACAACGCTCTGGTTCTACCAGAGCCTTCAGAGAACCTCCAAAGCAATGAAGCTCTCTTTTCGCTCTTGATCCCTTATTTTTGTTGACTATGTTGTTATTCGTATGGTCAGCTTGCCCCTAATCTGCTCAGGAATCTTTTCGACCGAGGCACAAGAACTTGGCGTAGTTGTAGACATAAACTTTGAAGATCGCGAAGAGGACCAATGCTGGCTCCTGGAATGGGCATATACACATGTTGATGGCCAGGCTGTTTTCCATGCCAAGACTAACTTAGCTCGTCCCAATTTCAACTCCCGGCCTTGTCGTTCATATTGTTCGATTTTGGGTGGGGGAGGGGGGGCTAGATGTTCATGCAAACGGGTACTCTCCATGTCCACCATCGCTCCAATGTGGTAACGTACGCTCTGAGGCCATAAAATATGCTCCGTGGTCGTAAAATACATATTTGACACAAACACACCGTTGTCTCGTTGGTAACGATCGGTTCCTCCAATGGCATTTTGCTAATACATTTCCTGTGCTAGCATGAATAGGAGACTGATGGCGGTTGAATATTTGGTGTATTGTGGAGCCTTGAATGACGGCACCACAAACGTAGTAGGATTGACCTTACTCATAGCCACAGTAGACGGAATGTGCCATTTGACCACGTTGGCCACCAGAGTGGGCCAGAATCCTGCGGCCCTTAACAAAAGCACCAGCTATGCATCCAGCTTGGTGGTCAAATAAAAGGAAAGGTAACATCGGTTGTTGCTTCTCCGCAAAGAAGCACTGTAAGAGGAAGACGAAGAATCTTTCCTCTTCGGTCTAAGATGACGTGACCGCTCTAGCGAAAGGTAAAGCTGTCAGCGTAATGTGGGTTAGTGTCTGGAGCAGGCCTGAGGGTAGTGTGATGCAGCGTTGTGGATCCGGAGACCCGCTGCTCAAGACTAGCTGGTTCATGGTACTCTGAGTTCCAACATCGTAGCATAGGGCATAGAACTGTTTAAGGCAATCTAGACCGGTAGTAATCACCTCTCTAGTGTTGTTCCCCCATGGCACCATAAGTCTCCGCAATCAATGTAACTGTGCAGCATGGCTGGAAATCAGAAACTCTTCAGATGAGGTGACGTCCGATTCATCCAATCATTGAAGAGGTCATCAGCGACCCTACTGCAGATCGGTAGTCAGATCAGCCTTTCCAACTGCGACACTTGAGTACCACTGCAAGCCACCGCCGCTCTCAGAAGGTATCATCTTCCACACCAGCTCAAACTGCTTAAGCTATCGTAGGATATGAGTTCAATATCTGGCAGTAGAACTCAGTAATAAGAGCCCAGTTTCCCCGAGAATGGCTATGCAAGCGACATGTTAAGCGAAGGCTGGGGACTTCAACGGTAATCCTCAGAATGAGGTGGTAGAGATGTGCCGAGTACCCTTCATCGACGGAAGTTATGGTTTATCCGATGCCATAATGGTGGGGTTTAGTGTTATCACGTGGACTCTTACTTTTTTGTAACGTCAACCTTGAATTTGAATTTCCTATGATAGAGGGAAACAAATTTGCTGAAAGGGACCAGTGGCACTCTGAATGCACACTCTGCTAGCGTATAAGGCCTACCTAAGAAGGCTACCTGAATCAATGATTCTGGCTCCTCAATATCGATAACACAACATATCAGATTCCGTGCTCATTAGTTCGCGAACCTTAATACTCTCAGCAAGATTACTCATTGGCAGCATATCATCTAGTGATGCAGCATCCTCAGACCCATGACTAGCAGGGCCGCTGTATGCCATCCCATTTGATGGACGAATTTGTTGCCATCGCCACCAGAGGCGGTCGAGCTGGGTGTGATGCAGAATGAAAACAGGGTCATATGGTGCCACGGTAAAGAAAAAGTCGCCTCCAACGCCATGCGGAATGGCAAGATGAGGACCGTCTTCGAGATCTTGTTGGAAGTCGTGGTAATCCTTGCGGCCTAGAATCTGTTCAACGGCGTCGGGGCTAAATCGATAGCCGATACTATCGAAATTGGTCTTGTCAAGGAAGCCACGAGACAAGCAGTGTGGGTTGTCGTGCTCGCCAAACCAGTGTACCTGAAGCCCCGCGAATGGTCCATCTATAACACATCTATCCTGGCCGACAATGACCTCCTCGCTGGGTCTGCTGTGTGGGCTGCTGTCTCCCCCAAAGCCGTGGACAGGGTCCCATACCGGCGCGGCTGTAGGATGCTCCCAATCCAATGTCCAGTCCCAGTAACTGACTGTCTATCAGAGCAATTCCATGTCTCTGAAATCATTGATGAGTACTTACGTCATGACGCCTTTGTATCCACAATCTTCGCGCAGCGTGCGTTCGTATAGGTGAACGAAATACCGATGCCAAGGCAAAAATGGTGCTGCATCGTGTGCTACAGAGTTGTTAGTTCTGAACCTGTGTCACGATATCTGATACACACAGAAAGCTCCAGTCGTGTCATGTACGTGTGGGAAGTCATCATAGAGTGTCATGTTGGGTGTCCATCTTGAAGGCGTGTGCGCGAGACATTGGACCGCTTCCAGATACGCATGTTTTTCCTTCATACTCAAACTTCTCCACTCACGGCGTATCGATGGATTTTGGCAGGACGACTTGCTTTGCTTTTGGGCAATGTGCTGATTCCCCTGTGGCCAATATTTCTGGCCGATGTTGAATGCATTGAGGCCAACCAGGAAACATAGAAGGAATAAACATGTGCCAGAGAAGCAGCAGCCATGTCGCGTTGAGTACTCTGACTTGACTGAAGGTGAGTTCGTGTCTCCAAGCTCACACTCCTCAGCATCATATTTGCTTAAAGCCGAATATTTCCCTGACGACCTCTTTGAAAACCACATACTGAGGTATACTGAAAGCCGTATGTCTGAGACAGTGCTGGGGTGCACTGTAAGAAGAATGATTGAAACTCTTGAGGTGATAAGAAGTTGGCTACGCTTTGGGATTACCACTTTTGCATGAGCCGATACTTCGATGTCCTCACTTTCCGGACCATGAGAATGCCCCTTACTGAAAATATTATGGATGAATATTGTTCAACATCTCTCGGAATTGGCGCCCAACGCAACATGTATGTCTGAGAACGTCTCCGCTTTGCAAGGACGCAGGTTGCACACCACCTGAAATGCAACATTCTTGTCCGGGGTGGTTTTCCGGGTTAGTATTTTGAATGTCCATTGGCTCATTCCAGGTGTGTGGGAGCGCAGACCCATGTCTCATCATCAGGATTTCACCGAACCTTCGTATTATTCCAGATACGGATCTGCCCCCGTTGCTAATAGCTTGTCTATGCTGACCTACCCATCGACCCACTACATTCACCATTCGCTACTGGCCGGGTTCTGAACATGAAGGCTGAGTGGATTCCATCAGGCTGCTTGACACTCTCAGACTATCCATACCACTTTGAAGTACGAAAATCTCACAACTGTCAATTTCGTCTCGAGTTTGCTAGCTGTCCTTCCCTAGCACTTAAGCGGCGAAGCATACCGGGAAGATCAAAAGCGCTGGGGATGTGTTGAATGTTGATTGGATACGATAGGGAGTTGCATGTGTTGACCCCGCCGAGACCAGAACACAGCTTCCTCGCTAGCCCCCAGAGGATCATGTTCCCTTCCACATGAGCAACGCGCCGACCGTCTTTCACCATTCAACTTCCTGACACTAAGTCGAGCTACAACGGACTGGCTGGTGAAAACATTGTCGATGACGTGTAGGTAGGATCACTAGCATGACTTGTTGCGTTGAAAACTTACTGCACACTAGGTAGTGGAGCATCCAGCAGTACATGCTCAAGAGTTGTTCAAGATTGACCGACTACAGCACGAGACAAGGAATGTTCTGTTCCCCAACAACTGCTTCGGTGGGATTGCACTGGTCGACCTACCCACCTTGGTCTGTTCAGCGTTGCATTAACACCCTTACATCTGTCAGAGCAACTATTTGTATCTGTCCCGAGGCCGCTGCCGCCATATTCTCTCCAACCCCCCTAAGATCACTTGCTTGTTCATTGCCCTTTTGTTGACCTACCACAATGAAGTCAATCGTGGTTTTAGGAGCTGTTTGGGCTCTTGCAAACTTCGGTGCTTCCTTCGCGATACCGACTCCAGCAACATGGCTTCAACGAAGGCATGAGGACGAGTCAAGGGCTGAATCGTATGACCGACCCTTTGTTCATGAAATCCAGGACTACGATGCCCCAAACTATCACAAGAACAAAGATTCTACTTACAACGATCGACCATCATTCTATAATGCTCCATCGGACAAGCCAAGCTCGTATGATGATCCTGCAGGCTATGAAAAGGCATCAACTTATGGCGCACCTTCGAGCTATGATCTTCCGGCCGGTGACGATAAGCCTTCTAGTTACGACAAGCCATCCAGCTACGACAAGCCATCCAGCTACGACAAGCCATCCAGCTACGACAAGCCATCCAGCTACGACAAGCCATCCAGCTACGACA